ATCTTTCTTATAGAATATAATGCATTCCAGTCTCTCATTCTTGCTTATCCCACTGGAATTCTCATAGTCCACCCGATGGATTATCCTGTTACTCCAACTCCAGTTACACTTGGTCTAATTTCCAAGTTTAGTATCACCATTTTGCTTTCACACTCTATTATATTCACCTATAGTCTTGTTTCTATAGAGACATCATCCAAAAAATTATTTAATTAAAATAAATTAATTATAAAGTGTTCTTTTTTTTTTAATTCTAATATAAAATATTTATTATATACTTATAGCTTTACTTTTAATATTTAAAAATATTTGAGTCTATTAAATATACATTGAAAAATTTACTAAAACATTAACGATAACTAAGTCTTATTTTTAACAGAAAAAAAATAATATGCTGAATAAATTTGATCTGACATAAAACTTTTCGCAATCTATATAAATATCAATAATAGTTTACAGAAAAAGAAAAATTAAATGCTACCCACTGACAATTGTAGGGAAAAATAAATTTAATACTTATTTTATTCCCCTTTGGAATCCATTGACTGACCCCTAGCTGCTATGAAACATGAAATTCCTGAATGGCCGACAATCTCACCCCTTGCTCAACCCCATCAGAACGCAACAGGTGATGATCCGTTCCCGATATCGGACCGTCCGGTACTGTAATACCATTCAGTTTTTAGATTTTTTTTATATTGTTTCCTAAATTTAACATATCACAACAATGAATTCTTTTATTCTTTCTTCCATTCTATTCTTCCATACCACAAAAACTTATTTCAACAGTTGACTTTGTACCAATGTTGAAAAATATTTTTTAAATTTATTACACCTATCTTGCCACGAAATTGTTCACGTACATCAAAGTAAATTGATGAATAGTAGTTGGGGTGGACACATAGCATCAATATACCACGCACGAAATTCCACAGACTTCAGGACGTGCTCTATGGCTGTAACAACTGGTTTGGACTACAAAAGATAGAAAAAAGCTAAGGGATGAAAGAGCAGTAGTAAAAAAGGGATAGAATACGCGTAAATCGTGTCATTTTACTAGAAGACTAGAGGGTGACAACTGAGTACTTCTCATATATCATTGAGTAATACTTGAACCGATTTATGCATTTTGAATTTATATGTTTTGAAAATATAAAATTTTTGCCTTTGAATAAAAATAAATAAAATTAACGAAACAGTTAATGTTAAAATAAATATTATAAAATATGACAATACATAAATGGAGACGTATATTTATTTTATAATATTAATAATAATATAAATGATTAAAATAATAATTATAATATATTTGAAGTATTCATATTATTGTTGGAATATTTCGTCAGTGTATATGACGTTAAAAGTTACAGTTATAGAGTAAAAAACATTCATCGTAAACACCCTTTACCTCTTCTACTTTCATTCAGACACACTGAAGATACAAGGCCGTTGTTAAGGAAGAGAAAGAGAGTTGCCGAGAGATCCGGTAGTTTCATAACTATACGGATATAACCAAGAGTTAAAACCGCAGCCCGAATGTCGTATCTTACAGCTCTTACTCTGCTTTCTACCTTGGTCGTCCTTACTACAAGGCGGATCTTATTATCAGACTAAATCCCATTTCTCCGAAACAACGAATGTACCTACCTCGTGTTACATGAGCTAACCTATATCAACTCAGACAAAATCTTCTAAAACTTGAGCAATTTTAATTTTTTTATCCCTATAATACTTTTTTTTATATTCTTAAAACTTTACTAACATTTTTGAACAATTTATTTGTACACATCCCTTGAAATTATGCTTTTGATATTAAAACAGTCGTAAAATTAATAATTATAAGAATTTATTTACTTTATCAACAAGATAAAGATTACAAACATGCATCCTTTATACTATTTAATTTAATTAGAATCCTTTAATTATTATTTTGCATCAGATGCAGTCATAATCAAACTTGTATTTTATTTCTTTTGTTTTATATTTGTTATCTCTTAACAATAATAGTACTATCATTTAAATGTTCACCAAATATACATCTTTCAAATTTGTCATACCATTTTTTTTTCCATCTTTCATCTGATGATTTTTTATAAAATAAAAAATTACATCTATAGATACATGAATATTTTTTTTTTTATAAATAATATGTTTTTTCGATATCGTAAATACATGATTTAATGAAGAAAAAAAATATTCGATAACAGATACAAATATAAGAACTAAGAATAAAAAAAAATTTGGTAAAACCCTTGTGATACGTTTGAGACATATTTGATAAATGGTCGAGACATATTGAAGACGTGATAATAATCGAAAACCTCAAATGCACTCACTCAAACTTACTTGCAAACAATAAGAAATATCATGATAGATAATTTATAACCCTGTAGAAAAACTACCAACAACGATTGGGAGGGTTCTATTGATCTGACAATTATTAATAGTATCTATTTATTATCTATCAACATTTTCTACAATGAAAAACCGATAATCCTATATCAGGAAGAAATTTATCCATAATCCTAATATCTTTTAATACAGAATAATTATCCTTGATTTAGGTTTGATTTATTATTTGAAAAAAAGAATCAGAAATAAATTTTTTTTGACCTTAATTTTATTTAAGAATAATTTAATTAATTATTTCTGCGTAGTTAACAATTTTGATTGATAAAAAAATCTCTTTAATTCGTGTTTTTAAACCTAATTGGAATATTTTATAAGTAAGAATTCACAAATCGATCAATCATCCACAAAATATTCCTTATCTAGGTTCTTTTAGTGCACTGCAGAATAAATGAAAAGAAAATGTGGAAAAAATTAATTACAAATAAATTTTATAAGATGATGTAAATTATTTATATCGCATAAAATGTTACTGGCCGTGCAGTAAAGAAACTACAAAATAAAAAGTAAATACGCAAAAGGAAAAGGTCCAATTTGTTCTCGTCGGGTGGTGCTTTCGTGGGGTATAATTAATATTCATAAGCGTCCATAGACCATCCTGAGGGCGGGGTCAACTTACATGTATCTTTTACCGTTGACCCCAAACTCACCCTCTCCTTTACCTTTTTAGACTCGCCCTTGTCGCAACCCTACCGAGTCGCATATAAGCTTGTGATAACGGTTGGAAATTAAAATAGTGACCGTAACCTCCAACAAAAACTCATTCTTCCACAAGTTACCATGGGAATTTAACCTTTAAACTCTCTTATTCTATCGTCTTTCTCTTTTGGATTTACTGTACCAAAAAGTACAATAAAAATTTCTTTCATTTCTTGGTGTTTATATGTTATAGTACTTTTATTTTAAATAATACCAAAACTAATTAAACACATTACATTCAAAGAATTCAAAAGTCTTTTTTTAAATCTACATTGAATTTAATTCTTAATCGAAATGAGTTCTTCAATTGAAAAGTTTATTATAAAACTGACAAAAAAATTTTAATAATTTCCCACAGTGTAAATATTTCCATAAATAATTATTTTCTATCTTAAAAATATTCTATATCTTACGACTTTACTTTGGCGGGTTAGCAATAATAAAATGATATAGTAAGGCTAAAATATGCATTTAAATTATCGTACGGCGATAATAATTTGCATGCCGGCATTGCGGCACCTACGCTTGAATACTCTTGTACCATCACTACGAGCACCGGCACCACTCCAACCACTAGCATCATCCATCCCTTATAACTACAACCCTCTTATTCACATTCCCACTTCGATGCTCTTCGTTCGCTTAGTTTAGTCCCGTTTAATTTAAATAATATTTCTCGTTGGACGATAGTACTAACACTAACGTTGGTGGGGGTGGTGGTAGTGGTGAGAATAAAATAACCCGATATACATAAAATCGCCATAACATTGTAAATTATAACTGATACGCCTTTGAAACCCCCTCTCAGAAAGAAGAATTAAGGAAGAATATTATATCGTTAAATTGATCATATTTAACTTCATGAGAAATAGACGGATAATGATAACTAAATAAGCTTCATTGTAAATAAGGAAATTTTTTATTACCAAGTCGTGCAAATAAAACCATCTTTTTAAAATATAGAAAAAAACAATTTACTATTTATAATATTTATTAAATGCTATTATGATTTTCTATAATTAAATTTATTTGCTTAAGTAGAACATGTCAATGATACATTTGACAGTGAATATATTGTTTAAATAAAATCATGTATTTCATTTATAATGAAAAATGAAATTTTATTTACCATTAGTATTCAAACAATTGATAATAATTATGATAGTATATTAGTTGTGTATGAGAATAATAGACTATAGAGAGTCAAATGAATGTAAAAGAGGGTTAGCTTTACGTTTGTCTTTTCTCTCTTATATTATACGTGGCATCGCAATTGCGCCAAGTATTTGAGATCTAAGAATTTCAATGGCTGTGCGATGGAAATGGAAGAAAGTAATAGAATTTTATAAAATGCTGGACAATTGAACTCATAAAATACTATATTAAAATTCTAATAGTACAATTTAGAAAACACTTAATTTAATTAAATTGAAAATATTAATTTATCATAATATTCATTTGATTAATTTTTTTTTTCGTAATTTATGAATTTTGCCGATAGTTTTTTAAATTATCTAGAGTTTAATAAAGGGGAGTAGTAAAGGGTTGGATCGAAATTTAGTAGAGGATAGTTGGCTCGACCGAAGGTAGTAGTTAAATGTCGTATACGTGGGCTATAATGCGTTTATTAATGAACACCAAGAATTTCATTAAAGATTGTTTGTATATCAAACTGTCCACTAAATTATTCGGTATAACACCCTCCGACGCGACATCTCCGTGAGCAGTAGAAACTATTGGTTAATCTCTTTCAACCCTTATCCTTATTCTCACTTTTAGACTTCCCTTGTACTTTATTATATCTTCGAAACATTGTTTTATTTCATCCTCACATTCCGTAATCATTACTCCATCACTAGTGGATAATTATTGTTGAATGAAGAAAACATAAATGTTAATATGAAAATTTTATTTTTCTAATAAATACATTTGATAAAGCTGTTTTTTATCATCTGAATCAAATTTTGGTACAAAATTTACTTTTACAATATCGATAAATCCCTCATCAAGTGTCGGCTCTACGTAATTTTTACTGAAAATGAAAGTTATTAGTATTAAAATAATGGATATATTTTATAAGAAAACTTGAGATACTTACTAATAAGAATTAATGACTATATCACTAACGACGGAATGATTTGAGTTAGATAATTCTCGGAACTATAAACAATATACATTATTTTATATTAAGAAAATTTAAATTAATATAGATTTATCGTTGTTTGAATATACAGTACAATTGTATTTACCTTATTATTATGTTTAGCATGTTCAACTTGCGTTGTCATGAGGAAACATCTTACTGGAATGTTTTTTGCTTGAGCAACATCGATAAATCGTTTTCTTGATGTCACATCTGGATTGGTATTGTCAATTACGACGCTTCTACCTTTGGATAAAATATTTTCCATGGCAGATACACATTTTTGCCAGCTACCAAGAGTATCTCGATTAATGTGGCTATAATTTTTTAAATATTTTGATACTACAAATGTTTTCCCTGAACCAGGACCTCCAACCATAATAATGACCTACAAAAATTAATTAATAAAACGAAAATACTTTATTAATTTTTTTATATCAACGAAACACATTTTTATTGATCACTTACTTCCTGATTATTTGAATTTTCAAGAGCATTTGCTGGTATGAAAATTGGTATATCATCAGTTAATTTATTCGGATCAAATATAGGATTATTAAATTTAGCCAATTTATGTCCGAGAAAATATTCCTCTGGTGTATAGAATTTTATTCCAATATTTTTTGCAAATAAACGATCAACAGATGAATGATCTTTTTTCGCCTTTGGGATCCAATCTTTGGGTCGTCCAGCTGCATCACCAACATAGAAACTTTCATCCTTATTAATGTTTATATTATCGTTATTATATTTTACTAATCTTTCCCACATTCCAGTAATTGGTTTTCGATAATGATCTTTTGATGTTGCTATAAAAACCTGAATAAGAATGTATTTTTTTTTTTAGTTATTTAAAAAAAAATTGTAGCTCTGTTTGTATCAATTATTTTTCATTCAACAAAGCCAAAAATATAAAGTAAATAAAATAATAATAATACATACTTGAATAGGAACTCCTAATTTTTTAACAACCGCTTCAATTTTAGATTTGAAATCATTTAAATTTATTTTTCCTGTGCCTACTCCATTTTGGTTGGTAAAAATGACAATTTTGAAATCACTATCATACAATTCTTTCAATTTCTTTGGAATTTGTGGATATAATAACTTCCAATCATCGGTATTCTTTGGAAAAACTGCACCTGATTTAGTTGTAATTAATGTACCATCCATATCAAAACTCGCGATTTTTTGTTGTGATTTACAATCATTAGCTGTATAAATCAGTAAATGATTTTTATCTATTGTATCCCATTTCTCAGTCATTTTATTAGCAACTGATAATTCTTCTGTCACTTTAATATTTGTTGGACTAGCTAACTTTTCTTCTATTTTACATTTTTTACTTGTACCAGCTTCATTGCAGTCTTCATTTGCATCGTCAATATCACAATGCGAACGTTTTTTGAAAATTGCATGATCTTTATCTTGAAGACATTTTTTCAAAGATTTATCTGGAGATGACGAGTTAAATTCGAATTTGTATGAATATTTACCATGAATTATTTCTAACTGATCTCCATTTTTAGCAATATATTTTTTATGTCTTATAGTTTTATTGCCATTTAATCCACAAGGTTGTTTACCCAATTGTTCAATTGTGACATTTTTTTCATGATAGTTAGCACATAAACGAACTAATAAATTTAAAAAAATAAAATGATACATTAACATTATTTCAAACAATATTCTTAACTTGAATCACAACATTTTATTATTTATTATGATTAAAAAGTATTAATGATTATTTTAATTTTACTAGAAGTACATTGCATAAATTGTCAAAATTGTATTGACACCATGACGTAATTATTTCAATTTGTTATCACAACAATTCGACAATAAACAAAGAATAAAATGCATTTTAAATAGGTTAGAAATTTGTTATCAATCTTCACTTACCTTGTTCACGAGAGCATTTAACATCTGTTATTTTAGTATCAACATTTCGACCGACTACAACTGGTTTATTATTTGGTAAATAAATTGATGGGTATGAAACGTTATCAGTACATAAATAACAGCTTATAATATCACAATTATCTTCATTCATATTAATAACTCACGTGATATTGATACACTGAGAAATGTTTAGTACATAGATAGAGGCGACATCAATAAATGTTTGAGAAAGCGGGAAATTCAAATTAATCGTAATATTTATTTTTACTATGTAAAATATGAAAATAATGAAATTACTATTATCATTATCATAATCATTTATTTATAATATATGTTAAATAAAATATTCTCTCTTTTCTTTTACAGACACTACAACCGACCGATCCGCCAATTTTTGAAATTACAAATTTATTAATTAATGAAACAGCAACACAGTTAGTTTTGTGGGGCAATCTTGGGATAGGAATAGTTGAATTACCACGACGTTGGGGCCGAGATAATTTATTCCAAGGTGGCAAAAGCAGTATTTCGTGCTTGTGAGTATGCTTACAATCATAATAATATTAAAAAAAAAGTAGTGTGAATTATGACGACAATTATAATTAATAAATATAATTTAATTAATAAATTAAAAAAAAAAAAAACGTTTCTACCAAACTAAAGAGACAAATTTACGCGTCACCTGTGCTTTATGACGTTATACTTAGACCTTTTACTTTACTTATACTTTACTTGACTTAAACTTTGTGCCACGCAAGAGAAATGACAGTTACTAAACTACCTTCTTCTTTGTCTCTCAAGTAAACGTTAGATCACCAGCATCATGGTTATTACAATATTTTGAATACATTACACATTTTTTCAGACTTACAATACATATAAATGAATTATATTATGGTAATTCATTCTTTTCAAGTTTCAAGAAGCTTTTAAAATCACAGCTATTTTTATATTCAATAAACAACAAATAAGATTTACCAAGTAAATAAATTATTATTTTAATTATCAATTATAAATAGTTGAATAAATTAATTAACGCATCATTATGGATACATGAAAAAATCTAACTTATTTATCTTAGTAACTAGTCAGTAATAGTTAATGTAAAACAAAATGTCAAATGAGTATGGAAGATGTTACGTTAATTTAGCGAATCTCCTTGTCTCTTCGAAATATCTTTGGCCCTCTCGCCGTATCTCACACAGCTAAGAATTAACGGTCTTAGTTGCCGACACAAGTTGTCCCAACATACAGGCTCAAGCAATGAGGTGAAGAGGGTAAAGAAGCTAGTATGCTGGAAGCTCGTGCGCGCATCCCATGAATTACGACTGAAGCATCCGGGGATATCAACAGAACCACCATAGCTCGTCGTTATATATATTTTGCGCAACATCCCGATTTTATGGGTAACACAGTCGCGTGAGATTTCCGTTCCGAAATTCTATTCAACTACTTACCTGAAAAATTAAATTAAAAAAATACCATTTGATTTATCAATTGCAAGCTTATTCAATTTGATAATTACCATAGCTGCTTCAGCATCTTGATTAATAGCACTAGAAAATGATCTTGATAAATAAAATGTTTATCGTAATAAATATAAGATAAAAATTTTCATCCTCACATTTTCTCGATGCATTCATTAAAAAAAATGATTTAACCTAATGGTTCAACATGTGTAATCCCAATATAACCCCGCGGCTAATCTCCAACAACCACACGCAGTTGACTCATGATACCACCTTCTCTCTCAGCCTCCACTACTCCCCCATGGATATATGTATATATATATAAATAAATATATAAAAGAAAATTTATTAAACTTGAAATAAAATTCCAAAAAGTATAGAAAAAAAATAACAAACAAAATTTTTCTTTTATTCTTATTCAGTAGCAACCTTTTTTTTATCATCTTTTTTGTCACTTCTCAATTCCGTTTACGTTCTGACATAATGCGGAATGCCTTTCACGACGCGAGAAACGTGTAATCAAAGAATTCCGTCGTCTCACAACTCACTAATGGACAAGAGGGTTGAAAATTTAAATACACGACACGCGTCCCATTCTCGTAACGAAATAAAACCCGCTGGCAAAAGAGACATCTGTCTGTTCTTTTAATTACCGCAGTACGTGTGTCATCTTCACTACCAGGATCCTCTTGTGTTTTATTTGTCATTTTAGTCTCTCGATATGAGACCAATTCAAGACTTTGCCACGGAGCTCACTGGAAGTTAATAGTTTTATATGAAAAAATCCAACATCAATCAATAAAAATATCAATTTTATTCCTCTTAAAAAAAAAACAATGTGTGTTTTCCGGTCTGATAGATGGAGAAATATTGATAAAGTAATCTGACAAAACAGAAAATATAAATGAAGATTGAAATCACGTAATTTTTTTTCATCCTCGGTATTTTCTGGTTCATTTTTTTCACTTTGAAAATAATAAATCTTACCGATAGGGTGTGTACACTGACATATCGTTCATTAAACACTATGGCCACAGTCTCGAATAGCTTTGGGTTTAATGAATGCAAGGAAAAAGAACGAAAATACTAACAGAAAATAAAACAGTGAAAGCATAAAGAAAAAAAAAGAAGAATTGAAATTCACGAGTTACGTGAAAAAGCAAGAGGTAGAGAATGATTTCGATGGGGATATACTGGTTGAATTCTGCAGTTAACATAGAGTATTATAAAATAGTGTTTGATCGTGTCCACGCGTGTCTTGTCTTTTTTTACGTACGCGCGTGACATTGCGAGGCTATCGTAAATTTTTTCCCATTTTCTACCCCCTTTCATACACTGCATACGGTGCATTATCGAATTTGTCGTCGTTATTTTTATGATCCCACAACCCCTTTATTTATTGCTCTTTGTGTTCTGATACCGGGATGCTCGGTTTACCAAAAATAAAACTCACTAGTATGTTTTTTTTATTACAAATAAATTGTCGTATTTACTCAATAATATAAATTATAACATTAGATTTTTATAAAAAAAAAAAAAAGAATTACTCTTTAATATTCGTAGATTTACTTACAATTAGACATGAAGAAAAAAAAAAAGTCTAGAATTAAAGTAAAAATTATATTTTTATTCAAGCATTTAAAGGATTGTTTAGTCGTCCTTGTTGAAAAATAATTCAAAAAATATAAATATTCAATGTTATAAAAAAAGCAAGTTTTTAAGTGAAACAGTTGACAGTGTTTATAGGATATGAAAAGCAAGTAAGAGTTGAGAATTATTCATAACCTTAGGCTGGCTTGAAGTGGATTTTGGTACTCTGGTCGCAAAGCTAAAATCTAGCAAATATTACGCGAATGCCGAGAGATAGAAACTGCGAGGAAACAGTCGCATAATAAACACATAAACGGTAATCCTTAAAACAATAATTAGCTTGGAGTTTCATCCCCCGTCATCTCTAGGCGTGAGACGCGTGATCTTGCTGACTGCGTTGCTTTGCAATTTGTTGTCGAATTAATACTCTCTCATAGTGGAAGTAGGAAATCCCAGACTTGGAAATACAAACTTGTGCCCACCGATGAACCTCGGGAAAATCACTCTTCTATGAATTTCATTGAGAAAATGTTGGTTTTTGAGTGGATTATGGATTAATTAAATATAATTCCATCTACAATAAGTAGTGGAAGTTAATTTATCATACAACCAAATATGTTGATTCAAAAAATGTCACTGAAAAATTTAAGATAATAATTTTAATCCAATGTCTTGGAGTATTAAGGATTTGATACAGCATTGCCGTAGTTACTGACTCAAGTAGTAAATGCCAAGCGAAGCTACTTCTCGTTTTGATATCATAATCCGAATAATCACCATTATTGCCACCATTTACGTAATCCAGAAAATCTTCATATCGTGACCTCACAATGCCATTATAGTAGAATAAATTAACATGTTCCAATGAAAGCTCTCAACATATTTAAACCATTTTCTTTTTTATTTTAGTATATTAAATTTAAATTAATTCATTAATTGAAACAAAAATAATTTTTTTATTCAAAGGTTCTATTCCATAATAAAAAAATATTAACTTCAGTTTGTACTACAACAACATAAAGTTAATTATTTTATAAAATATCTATATGTATTGTAAAATTAAACAATAAGGATTATAAGCTGTTAGCGAAAATAAGATAAGATAGATTAGACAGGATAATGGCATGAGTGTGGCATGTGTTGTTGATGAGACAATTAGTATTCACACTAGTACGTTTGGAAACTTGAAACTTTTCTAAAAGTGCAAATGACTTGTAAGGCACCCTTTATTTTATAACACGGTAAATGTCATAATAATATGCGTTTTGATTACACGATATTATAAAAGATATGATAATTATAAGAAATGTTAATTTTGTATCTTTTTGGTTAATTAGAAATCACATTCTCAATGGTATTAATGCTCAATTATCATCATCATTTGGTGTAAAACGTGCACGATGGCATCCAGGATCTCCAAATGATTCTCATTTACTTGTTTTAACATCAGATAATTCATTTCAGTAAGTAATAATAAGAAAAAGTAAGATGATAGAAGAAATTATAATTCAATTATTTGTAGGATGATTAAACATATAAAATTTTTTATAGATTGTATGAATGTTCAATCGGTCATGTTCCAAAGTTGATGAAACACTGGAAAGTGGGAGTAACTCCAGTGTTTTCACCGACCAAAAAAATTTCAACAATCGAATCGTTGGGTGAAACTGCAGTTGATTTTGATTTTGTTACACCAACAATAAAAAACACTAGTCTAAATGATACTAAAGATTCCCACAATTGGAATGAAATTGAATGGCCCATATTGGTACTTAGAGGTGATGGAAACGTGCTTCTTGTACATGGAAATATTTTATCCAACTTGTAAGAAAAATTAATTTTATGAATAATATTTTATGCCTGATGAAATGATTCATAAATAATGTAAAAAACAATTTTTAGATGTCCAAAACCAGTAGTATTTGGTTCACTATCAATTTTTCCAGCAATGTTTGATAATTATGGAATAGATGCCTGTTCGATAATGTGTCTACAAACAATTCCACCAGTTGTTGTCATTGCTACATGTACGGGAAAAATTTATCATGCCATTCTATTACGAGAAAATTTTATTAATGATGATACTCAAGACGCTATAGATAGATACTTTGATAATTATGATAATAAAAAAATGGTAAAAGAAAGAACGTGGTCAGAATATGGATCAAATTATAGTCTTCATACTCCTGACGATGGCTTATTTGTTTTTGAACAATTAGAAATGGAATTAGGATTATTATTCGATGATGAAGATAAAAAATATAATTGCATAATAAATTTGCACAGAGATCGTAGCAATAAATCACGTTATTTTTGTTCACATAATGCTGGAATTCATATGATAACACTTCCAGTTTTATCACAATTACAAGAATATTTGAATTGCAGCGAAGGTAAAGTATTATTACAAGACTTCATTTTCAATTATAATTATAATTCATTATCTTGAATAAAAAAAAACCTATTAAATTAATTATTTATAGTTATAATAAAAGTTTCTATTAATAAATTATCATTTGAAGTTTGAAAGTTTAACTTATTTTTAGCATAAAAATTTTTATCTTTATTCCAGATAATATTGACTTGTATTTACCAGAAACCTTTCACACATCCAAATCTCAATATTTATTATGTACTCGTACAAAACACACAACAATGGATGAAGCAACTTCAATTTTTGGTTTTGGATTATTTCAACAAACATGGCCTATTTTAATAGCACTATTACATACTGGAGTAGTTGTAGACATTTCAGTAATTGATTTAGATTATTTACCTCAAGTAGAAACTCCTGAACCGATGATGAATCTTCATAAAAATGTAAAGTAGTTTATTTTTGAATTTATTTATTTTAAAGAATATATTTTACAATGAATTAACTTTTGTTCTATGCAGGTTACACGAGAATCCTTTGAAACTTATATAAAAAATATCCTGAAACATGAATCAACGTCTTTGCCAATAACAAAATTGAGTGTCGAATCGAACTTATCTGGAAAAGAGTGCACCGAAGTAAATTGAAAATTTATATAAAATTGGTTAATTAAATTTTTATCACAATCATAATTATAAAAATATTTTATCTTATAGTTACTTGATCGAGCAACAAATATTTTCCGGAAACATCATTTTACTAAGCATGATAAAATTCGTAGTGAAATTGGCAGAAAAGTACGTGCTCTGAAAGCTTTAAAAAATCATCAACTAAAAGAATTGGATTCATTGATTCAAACTAAAAAAGAATTACATGATAAAGCCCAACATTTAGCTGAACGCTATGAAGATATCAAAGAAATTCAAGAACATTTAGCCAAACGGTAATTTCATTTTAATTATTTATTTATTTATTTATGATAATATTTGAATGTTCTTTTTATTAATGATTAAACAGTGCTCGAGATCTATTAAGACTTGTCAATCACAAAGAACTGACTTCTTCAGAACGAGCTGATGCTGTAGAACTAAGAGACTTAAATAACAAAGTTGACGAATTCAAAATGAAGTTTGACAGATTGAAAATTAAAATTGAAAATCCAAGTGTCAAAAAAGAATTATTCAAAGATTCAAATAAAAAAGAAAATATTTTAAATAGCAAACAAGAGGAAGCTATAAAAATGAACATTGCACAAATGTAAGTATTAATTTAATATTGAGACAGAAATATCAATAATTGACTCAATAGTAATAGTTGACATGACTATATAATAATGTGATAAATACAAAAAAAGTCTAAACACGTACATACATTGGCTACCCTCATTATCAGCTCGGGTAGCAAATTCACACGTAAAACAAAATATCACATTTCATTCTCTACGTGAGCAATGTATTATTTTCTAGTCAAGTAAATTATATGTCAACTATTACTCTCAAAATGTTGACTATTGATAAATGTATCTTGAATAACATAAATATGTAATATTATTTGTTTTTTAGGGGTAAAAATATTGCTAATATGGTTACTGATATTAAAACGTTTGAAGAAGAATTTGGAATATAGAAAATTAAAACATTCCTCGGCTTTCTACAATAATCATTTTTTTAATACAAATAAAACAAAATTTTTTTTTAAAAATATCTTGTAATATGTGTAATTTTCAAAGAACACAAAACATAGGAATGAATAAAATTCATGAATTATATTTTATGTGATATTGGAAGTTAAATAAAACAAATGTTTTTTACAAGAGTGCTAAAAAAATTATTTTATTTCATAAACTTTTCTTTGTGATCAGTTATGTATGAAATCGTAATTTACTTTGATTTTTTTTATCAAAATGTATATTAAATATTAATGCCAGCCCTTTGAAGATAGTTTTTCAAGAGTAGAGCATTCGGCTCAGGAAGTTGTTGAAATATTCCAGCTAATTGTCCTGACGGTAATTTACCGAGTCCCTGAGCTAAATGTAATCGTACATCACCTATACCTGTAAATTATTAGTGTTGATAAAAACATAGTTTTATATGCTATCATAAATTATTGAGTTAATAAAATTAAATTTTAAAAACAATAATTTGAATTATGTACCTTCCAGAGGGTCTTTTTTTGGATTCTTAGCACAAATCAATTGGCTATAAGCTGCTTGATATCCTGGGTTTTCATCAATTTCGTTTAAAAATTGATCCTCATTATTGATGGCATGATCTTGAGGTAATTCAAAAAATTCAATTAAACATGCTAAAATCTTAGGATAATAAACATTATAGGGACTTTCAACCATCGTATGGCCATCAATCAAAAGATTCGATATTCCAACTGCTGCAACTTTACGTTCAATTTCACCAGATACTTTCTGTAAATCTGTTAAAATGACTCTTTCTAGTACCATTCCAAACATTTGAGGTTGAATCCCATCAATAATGGCTATAATATTTTTCGAACCATATCTTATAATATAGTATGAAAAAAATACTATTAAGCTTTTTACGAACTTTGTCGTTTTACTTAATGATAATCGTTGAAATAATAAAACAAATATTTGTTTCATATATGGTTCTAAAACTTCCCTGTAAATAATAAATTACTCAAATAATATATCAGAGCATTAGATTAATAAAATAATACATTACAATTGATGAGAACTTACGGTGGAAAATTTTGTATTATTGTTTGCATTAGCAAAAAACCTTCATGATCGTTCGCTTTTGAAGCAATTAATTTTTGAAACACTCCTAAAAGAGCACTGGTTTTATCTTGTGCTATAATTTGGTGTGATCCAAGTGTAACAACAGCTTGGAGTAATCTATTTAAAGGATGAATATTTCCTTGACGTTCGAATAAAACTGGAGAAAGTAGACAGGGAAAAAGGGCCATATAGCTTTCCGGTACTTCTGTTCCAGTTCTCAATTCTAACAATAAAGCCAATATTTGAAATACATAAGGCATGAATTCTTGAACATCTTGCTGGAGAATTCCTTGGAATATTGGAAACAAAACTTGCTCAAAAGATCCAATTGCCATTATGTTTGATTTACAAACAATTCTGAAGACAAACAAAAGAACTTACTTGATGAATCTTTTCTAATTTTAGTTGATTAAAAAAAAAAATTACACTTACCTGATTGATAAACTTAACGTTTCAAACAAGTAATGATTAAAATTAGGTCGACTTGGATTGCGAGCAACAACTTCTAATTTTTCTGTTAATTTTGGTAATAATTCGCCAAGATAGGGCATAATATTGTTTTTTAAGATACCAAAACTTCTCATAATTGCTCTCATTGCATATTCATTTTCATCGGAATTGGGCATTTCAAGTATACTAAATAAACCATTCAATAAATTGGAAGACATTGGTACTATTTCTTCTGGTTTAACTCTAAAAAATGAAACAATAATTTTGTATTGTTAAATTTGACAAAGCTACAAAACAAATGAAAATAATATCAAGCGGTATTCTTACAATGAAGTATCATCTGGTCCTCTCAATGAAAATATTTTATCAATGGCACAAGCAGCATAGCTATGCACCACAATACTTGATGCTTGTAAATGCCTAATAATATCAGGTAAACTTCCAACAACTATTTCACGAGGTAATATTGATCTAAATGTCATGATAAACTTGATCGAATCTGCTTTTATCACTGGAAACTCATTTACTGCAAATGTTTTGAAAAATTTTGAATTTCTAATTAGCAACATACAAAATAAGGTGAGTTTAAAATCATTTATATACGCTCAATACCATTAGCCTTAGCAAGCTCCGGTTGAATATGTTGTGTAGCAAATTGTGGAATTGGTACAAATTCATTGCTTTGAGTAACACCATGTTTCTGTGTTTGCCCTTTACTTGCTGAACTTGTTACTAAATAAATGACAGCATCTTTTTTACGCCAATTCTCTGCTGGTTTAACAGCATACTCTTCCAATTTTTGCTACAAAATAATCATAAATATTATGTCGATTATGATTAATAGTACATTATTGTCTTGGCAATTTGCATGTATTTTTTATTTACAACTTACCATAACATATACTCCAAAAATATCCATCACTTTAGCACCAAAATATTTGGCCAGTACTTTAACTAAATCACAAGCAGCACGTCGTCTAGTATCAACATCACTTCCTTCTATATCACGCCTGATATATTCATCTGGATTATCTTCAAATAATTCATTATCTGATTCGCGGAATTCAATGTTTGGAGTTATTAAATTTGTACATATATTTCGTAAAGTATCTGGTGCTTCAAATAATGAACGATATTGTTCACGATCAGCAACTGTTACCAAGAATTGCAACGAGTTTGAGACTAACTAAAATAATATCAAGAAATATTATTTGTATTTTTTTACGTATTGTCGATGATTTGATGGATTAAACCTCAATACCGTATCATATTTAGCTTGTTGTCCCACTGTATTTAATAATTTCCAAATGGCATCTAGAAATTGTGGCACATATTTTTGAAATTCTTCATCATACTTTTGTGCATAAAGTACAATATTATCACAAACTTGAGATTTAAGTTGCTCTATAATACCAGCTTCATCATCATCCTGCAGTTTTAAAATAATTGTAAAAATATACACATCTGAATCAATTCTTTTATATAAAAAATTACCGTTGTCTGTAGAGCAGGAACATCAGTTGTAAGTAAACGATGAAAATTAACCATCCATATCTCCATATTGTCTTCAAAAAATTCAGGTAAATCTTGAAAATTCAATGAATAAAATACTTTTGATAATATTGTTAATGAATTGTATATTACTTTTAATGCTTCAACATTATCTGCATGAACTTGAGTGAGATTCATCGTTGCCTAATGATAGTAAAAAAATTGTTAGGAAATAAATTTAATGATTAATGTAAAAAATAAATTAAAGGTATGTTTTAATTTATTTACCAAAAACAAATCCGTCAATGGTTTGGCAAATTTATCTAATACGAATTTAATTTCCGTCCAAAGAATCTGACTTTTAAATTCATAGCGATATCTTTTAAAAAGAGAATGAGCCGTATGTAAAACACCATTTATTACATGAAAATCGCCTGTATTAAATTTTTCAACCATTTGATCAATAAGATCTGGCCATTTATTCGGAAAATCATGCTTCCCAATAATCGAAACAGCGTCTGACAATTGTTTTTGTATTGAATCAGGTGAATGAAGCATTAAATTAACAATTAACTTTTTAATTGCTTCTCGATCTTGGGCATGAATACGATCGACTGCATCTTCTTCCTTAAATAAGAATATTTTTTATGAGTTACATTAAAGTTGAATTAAAATAGCATGCATATTTATAAGAATGTGAATCATGATTCTCCTACAACATTTTAAAATTAAATACAAAAATAAATTAATAAGATTATATACTTACTACTTTCCAGTTACGTTTTATGTAGTTTTTAAAAGCTACTGCACCAGCAACGCGAATTGTTAGATCAACATCCTGCTTTTCTACCAAGTGTAACAGTAGTGCAGGATAATTCTGATTTACTTCGATTGATTCTAAAAATTTCTCAGCTAAAATGATAAAAAAAAAATAGAACTATGAATTTCTTAAAAAAATAATCCATTACAATAATTTTTTACATCCAACATCTATTGATAAAGATTAATTAGATCATATCAAAATTTTTAGAGGTTAAAATTATTTCAACTACAGCTTACCGGGTCGTCGTACATTTACATCAGGACTTAATGTATGCTTTAAATATTCACTTAATGTTAATAAATTAGCTTCTTCTAGTTCCATAATTTTATAATTTTGATATTTAATTAAAACTTTACAATAATATATGAACAATAATTAATTTCAAAAGTTTACTTTGCGCGTAATGCATGCAAGATATTATATTTTAACCGGTATCGTCGAATTTAATTGTTTAACTGATCCAAACGGTGTATACATATACACTATACATTGACCTATGGTCAATAATGACTAAGATTGCCCGTTTCATAGAATTCCTTTATTTACATGTGGCGCCCTCTCAACGCAATGTTTCCTAGAATAAACTATTATCAACACAAACCAGATAACTTGTTGATAATACAGATAGCAAATCTATTTGAATAGCCGCCACTAATTTAAAATTTAATTTAATTAAAAAAAATTTAAAATAAAATATTTAAAATATATATGACTTTTTGAATATCATTCATCTGTGGATTATTAATAAAATTTTTTTGTAATTTTATAATTAATAAGGACTTCGCTTAGTAAATAATAATATCCAAAGATTGATTGTAATACAAAATTATTTATTTTTAAGTAATGATCAATATCGTTAATTTAACAGCAAATGTACATATTATTAATAAGACAGACGACTATTAACACTTTTGTTGAGAAGTGAATACTTTCATTTACATCGGTGTAATCTTTGGTTAATATTTTTTAATTGAAACATTATCGAATTTAAAACTTAGTCATCATTAATTGCATTAGGTTGAAATAGTGTAAATTAATGGTCGATTAAAATTAATTATATTATGCAGCAATATTTTTTAGAGTATGACTTTTTCAAGACTGCTCTTATGGCATCGGTAAATACTTCTTCTAACTTGTCCTGAAATTTCGCAGAACACTCTACATACTTAAAAGCTTTTATTTTTTCTTTCATCCTTCTACACTCCTTTAATGATACTATATCTTTATTTTCATCATTTCTTAAATCGCCTTTTGTTCCTAAATAGAAAGTAAATATATCATTCAAGACATTAGATAAATTAATTTATTAAATATTAAATATAGAATTATTACTAAAAAAATTTTTTACCAACAAGAACAATAGGTACATTTGGGCAGTGATGTTTAATTTCTGGATACCATTTACTTAAAATATTCTCAAATGAACTTCGTGCACTTATGGAGAAGCACAAAAGAAAACAATCTGTCTAAAAAGTAACATTTTTTTAAAAATATAATTGAATCAGTTTCAATTAAATGAATGCAAAAAAGAAATTGCATGATTACTTACATTTGGATATGATAACGGTCTCAATCTTTCGTAGTCTTCCTGTCCAGCAGTATCCCATAAAACTATATCATATTCTTGTCCATCAACATTAATTGTGTCTGAGTAATTATCAAACCTATAAAGTTTAATGCACTTCATTACTTTCTGTATGACTATAATAATATACTATTTACATTTTATTTTTAACTTTAAACGGCTTTCATTACTACTTACACTGTAGGCACATATTCTGTTGGAAATTTTTTAGTTGTATAAGTAATTAACAAACATGTTTTTCCAACCATACCATCTCCTACGGCTGTTATTTTTATTCCTCTTGTCTTTGTAGTAGCCATATTTAATTATTTTTTACTGCAAAAAAACTAATGCACACTTCATTATTATTATTGTCATTATTATTCTAATCATTACAATGCATGAATAAAATGAAGATAGTTACAGAGAATTTATTTAAGTTTTTCTTATTAAAAAATAAAAGTGTACAATATTTGCGTGTTTAGAGTCATTGAATCAAGGACAAGGACAATGACCAAGGCCACTATCCTAAGTTACTGTCGTACATCATCAGTTGCATATTGATAAACTTTCAATCTCATGAATAATTGCATTTCTGTTCGAAAAATCATTATCATAATTTGTATAATTTAACAATCATGAAGCTTATTTTATCTTTAATGTATTTATGTATTGGTATAATCCTTGGATAAAATTTTGTCACTTATCATAGTTAATTATCACAAGATTAAAGATATGTACACTTATCAGTTTTATCAATATTACTATCATCATTTCTTCTTGCAACTGGTCATGCTGTCATTCTAAGAGTGTAAAAATCCATTTTTGACAATAATTTCACTTTGCAAATGATTATTGTTAATATTACAGTAGATAAGAAGTAGGAATTTTCAAGAACCATGTCAATATGAACATTTAATTTTTGTCGTTTTATTTTATTTTTATGACTCATTATTCACTTATTTCATCTACTTCCGCACATTGTGGATCATCCACAAACTTACTCATTTACAGTGTTAAAAGGAAAGAAAACAAGGAAAAGTGTGCTCTAAATTAAATATTATGAATTTCAACTTTGTTAAATTTAAGTTTCTAATTTTTTTTAATTTACTAATAAATTAAGTAACCATTTATTTTTTTTATCATTAGTGATCTTCATATATGCAAAATTCTATGTAGTCATTATTTCTCAAAAGTATTTTTAACATGACAATCATATCTACTAACTAATTTTACTCAACTCCATCAAATTATAGTTATTGTATATAAAGATATGATAATACAACTAAATATTAAAAAAAAATTATTCTTATGTATAAGTTGATTAATCTAATACTAAAAATAAACTCAAGTTTACGTTTGAATGAAGTAAATAATAAGTTAGTGACTTGTTTGAAGCCGTGTAGGCTGTTCATATGGGTGTGTCTTCCTATTGTATTTTTTACAAATGATTATAGATTATTCAATATTATAATAATACAAAAAAAGTTGATATTTTTATACTTTTTGAGTTAAGAAACAAATAGAATATCCACAAAGAAAACGAGACTTCTTTTATAAACTTGCAATAATTGTCTCTTGCAATCATTGAAATATATTATCAGCATTTATGATTGACAATGATACAATGTTTTATTATAATCTCCCAGTGTAATAATTGTCATTTTATCTAAGATACATTTTTTAATTCAATCCAATTCGTTTATTGATTTTTAAACAATTTTATAAAACATTAGTTTTGATATATCGATGATAGTTGAAAGTATGACAAGAGATTGTTTTGAATTGTAATTTGATTGATATTTAACACTTAGAAATCATTTGATTCTTACCACCATTCAGTCATCATAACTTAGAAAAATATTATAAATTCTTTCGTTTTACTTTTTTTTTTTTCTAAACATTGTGATAGTTTTAAAACTGTTATTTACTGTAATCAAAAAAAGATGTTATAGTTATTTTCAGTAGAAGTAAAGTTGTTGAACAGTAAATCGTAATAGCAAAAATTAATGATTACATAGAGATATTAACGATATGACTTTTACTGAATTACTTGAGTTGAACCGCGAAGGATGACGACACACTATTAACTGAATGTGATAAACATGCCTCAACACGTACGATTAAGTGATTGTTAGTAGTAGTATTGGAGAGGGTAAATGGTAGAGATAGACTGAGTATGTTAATAATTTTTTTTAAACTGATTAAAAAACAAAAAATGGATTATTTAAATATGAATTGTTAATGGACTTGGCATGTAAAAGTCTCTTATATCATGAATTCTTTTTTTTTCTTTGTGAAATAAGAATGACTTGAATATGAAATCACTCTGTTTGCCATTCTGAGAAAGAATTATTTTTGAAATCAACAAATAACCACTGAAAGCCCTGAAAGACTGTTTGATGACAACAACGATGTGTAAGATTGTTCCTATCTTATTGACATTGAGTAATTCAGTGGTTTCCTAAAAAAGTTCCAATTTCTAACAAAAGAGGTCAGGTCGGATGCGAAAATATAGTGGCGTGAATTCAAATTTTTATTGAGTCAATTTGAATTTTGTAGTTTATGCAATACACGATATATCTATATATGTATATATATATGATATGCTAAACATGTAGTATATAATACGATGATATGAAAAAGAAGTTGAAGAATAAAAAGAAGAATAGATGAATAATTTCTTTACTAACTGTGAAAGTGAAAAAATAAGTTGGAGCATAAATTTAAAGAATAGCTTTATATAGAACAGATTATTTGTTATCATCATTACAAACAGTAAAAAAAGAATACTTACAATTTGAAATTAAGTAAATGTTACTGTCAAATGATGGGTGATGTGTAAAATAAATAATAAATATGGTTTAATGTCTACATTGAATTTTGATACACAGATGTACATGTTCACTCGAGACTGTATAATGTGAAAAAATATTTGATAAAATATTAATAAAAATAATATTTTCATTACGGAAAAAAGGGAATGGTCATTGATTTCAACATCACAAGTTAGTGTTGCAATCTTTTGGAAATTTATTGTATTTCGTATAAAATAATAATAAAAAATTAATTGTAGATAAAAAAGTTTTGAAATGTTCAAAGAAACTGAATCATCACTCGGTGTAAATTGCAATAGTGGTCCATCTCGACCTAGAAGACATTTTCCGAGATTTTCATTAAGGACTTTATTATATTCTAGTCCACTTTTGGGACGAAGATTTATTAGAACAGCACCTCCTAGTTCTTTAAGTAATAGTAGAAATCCGAAAAGTAAGTAATAAAGTGAATTGAAATAGATATAATTAATTGATAATAAACGTACGTTTGTATTTTAGCAAAAAATGTATCAGCTCACAAACAATCACAACAAAATAGTGACGTGGAAAAAGGTGAAGCTAAAGTCTTGAATAACCCAAATCAACGCCAAGTAGAGCGAAATTTAGAATTCGATCGCAATGGAAGCAAAAATGAATCAACCGTAATATTTAATGTAGCTGGAAAGGTAAGTGTATAAAAAATTTAAACATATATATGAAAAGAAAGTCATGAAATGTAAATTATATTTCAGAGTAGCGAAACTAATAGTGACGTGATGGAATGTCCCTTGTGTTTAGCAGAACTGCCATCAGAAGTGTTTCCAGTTGTACAATCTTGCCACCATCGTAGTTGTTTCGATTGTTTTCAACAGTATTTACGTGTTGAAATATCAGAATCAAGAGTTAATATTGCTTGCCCTGAATGTGCAGAACCTTTACATCCCAATGGTAATTTAAAAAAACTCATTTATTATCATAAATTTTATAATGAAAAAATGAATCAGTAAATTACGTGTATTTTATATTTATAGATATACGAATGATTTTGAATGATCAAATTCAATTGGAAAAATATGAAGACTTTATGGTTCGTCGAGTGCTAGCAGTTGAACCCGATGCAAGATGGTGTCCTGTTCCAGATTGTAGTTATGCTGTTATTGCAAGTGGATGTGCATCATGTCCTAAATTACATTGTGAACGGCCTGGATGTGATTCATATTTCTGTTACCATTGTAAAGCTCGTTGGCATCCTAATCAAACTTGTGATGCTGCAAGAGCCCAAAGATTTCATCGTGATCAAAGTTTATCAACAAGTTTTAGCCAAATTGAAGCAGCAACACGGCAAAATTGTAATGATATCAAACCATGTCCAAGATGTCAAGTTTTGATTGTAAAAATGGAAGATGGTAGTTGTAATCACATGACGTGTGCTGTATGTGGTGCAGAATTTTGCTGGCTATGTATGAAACAAATCAGTGACTTACATTATTTAAGGTATTATTAAATTTTCTATACATTATATATTTTATATGACGTATATATTTATATATGTTGGCTGTTTTATTTATAGTCCATCAGGGTGTACCTTTTGGGGTAAGAAACCCTGGTCACGAAAAAAGAAAATTTTATGGCAACTAGGAACATTGGTAGGTGCACCTGTTGGAATTGGGCTTATTGCAGGAATATCTATTCCAGCTATGATTATAGGTAATAATTGTTAAAAGTTGTAATCAAAGTATCATTGTTACTAATAGTGATGGAAATGTTTTTTTTATTTGTTACAGGTATTCCAGTGTGGGTAGGAAGAAGGCTTTATTCTAAATATCAACGAACAAATAAACATAAAAGGAATGCATTGATTGTTGGTGGAGTAACAGCATCAGTAAGTATAATAAATTTTTATGTTACGTTGATATTTTTATTAATACACTATTATCAATATTTACTTAATAGTGGAATTTTTTTTTCATTTATTATTAAAGACGAAAGAATAAAAAAGCACAATAAAAACACTCGACAAGTAAGATAGTTTGAATCGTAATAATAATGACAATGATTATAATGATTAAAAATAATTGTACTAAATAATTATTGCTGTTCAAAAGCAGTTTCAAATGTTAATATTCCATCATTATATAAATCTTGTAAAAGATCAATTAGTCTTTGTTCGGTAAGTGGATCACCGAGTGCAACATCAACTGATCCAATACAAAGTAAAAGAGCTAATAATTGTGATTTACGGTAATCTTTATCTAAATCTTGGCGCGAATAATTTAATTCTTCATAAATATCAAGGCCAAGCTTTTGACATGTTTTAGTTAAAGTTGACCAATATTTATCTAATAAAATGTATGTATAATGTCTTCGTAGTTTAGTTGGCACTGAACTTATAATTAACAATGCGATATCATTTGTTGGTCTAGAATGAGTAATCATTTGCCAATCAAGAATAGCACATTCACATGTGTTATTATCATTATCATTGTCGTTATTATCATCGTCATCGCCATTATCTTGATCATTGTTATCATCGTTATCATCCGTATTAGTAAATTTTTCTTTGAAAAGCAAATTATTGCACCAAAAATCTGTGTGGGTTATAAGTGATACAGGACAATCTTTAGGAGCTAGAAGGGAAGATATTATTTCTTTCGTTTTTTTTCGTAAAGCTAATAAAGCTTTTAAAATATCCTCTAATCCTTGACGCCTTTCGAGAAATCGAGCCAGTTGAGGTAGTCCTCGTTCTACTAATTGTTGATATGAATCTGTAGCACGAGCTGTTTGAAACAGAAATGGGTATCTCTCAGATAACGGTTTTGAATCTTTGACTCTAAAAGCCAATGATAATGCATGGATGTATCCGATAGCTCTAATTGCTGCTTTTGTTTGACGTAAAGTTAAACCACGAGAAAATGGAGCTCCTTTGAAACCTTGAGTGCAAAGATTTTCAAGAACAAGAAATGATTCTGGAGGTTCTGGAGTTGTTGTAGTAGTAGAATCCTCAGTATCTCCTGCCGGTTTATAATGTGCATGTATTAATTTTGGAATTGGTAAATCTGTACTAGTTCCTAATTGAGTAACTTGGAAATTTTTTAAATCTGCAACAACCTGAAGTGGAATTTTTATAGTAATATAGAATCATATATTCGTAAATTATATGTTACGTACCTGTGTGTAAAATTTTATTTCTCGTAAATGAAATTGAGCTTCAGTCACAAAAAATCGACTAAAAGGATCATGAGGAAGGAGTTTGACGATGACATTCAGCTGATTTTTCTCTTGGTTAAGCGTATAATTTATTTTAACAGCTAGAATATCACTTAGAACACTTTCTCCTGCTATACATCCAGGATTTATTTCAAAATCATCAATTGTAGCAGTAGAAGAGTGAGAAGAAGACGGATCCTGACAATGAAGGTGTATTATGATGAGATTTTCGAGCCATTCTTTAGTTACAATTGTTGGATATCTAGTTGTCGTTTCAGATATATCAGTATCTTCACTGTCTGACATGTTATAATATTTATAACTCACAAACACATTTACAAATAAATATAAAATAATACAATTTTATATTCTAAATATTTGACAAAACGATAGTTCAGCTTTTATTCTATGACACGCGACGAAGACTTTTCCGAATTGGATAGAACAGAGAATTTTATGCAAAGAGATAGAGGGGAGAAGATATTCGATGGAAAGTGTGTGTGCGCGCACTCGTCGTGTGAATCAATATCTTTCATGGGCAACCCCCTAGTCCTATATATGTACATTCTATATATATATACATTTACAGAATGGTGAAATATTAAGGAAATTAATGATTATTGTTTCTTTTTCAGATCATTGTATCACCAGTGTTAGCAGGTTTAGCCGTGGGAATAGGCGTTCCCATTTTACTTTTCTATGTTTATGGAGTAGTGCCGGTATCACTCTGTCGTAGCGGTGGGTGTGGAGTATCAACAAATGGTTCTGGGGTCAGATTCGAATTTGATGATGAAAATGAATTAATGATTATGAGTGTATTGGGTAATGGAAATGGAGGTAGCGGAAGGAGAAATATTGGAGGTTGGATTAATAATTTTCTGCATAATAAATTGAATATCCCAGTTGATAAAGAATGAACAAAAAATAAATAAATAAATTGATTATTTTTATAGATACTATATCGTTTGCTGGTGGTACTAGTACTAATGGAGCTGATGGAGTAAGTCATCAAAGCGTTGGAAATAATCCATCAATTGGAGAAGCTTCATTGGGTGGAAGTGGAAGCTTATTGGAAAAATTAGGAAGAGAAAACGATTGTGAAAGCGCAAGCAACATTGCAGTAGCTAGTCTTGCAGGAAGTATAACATCGAGCGTTTTGTTACCAAACAGTAATATTAGTGGAGGACAAAAATTAAAAGTGGAGGCTGATGTCACAGTATCCGGTCAACGATTTAGTGTTGTAAGTGAAACTACATCAGATACGACCAAAAGTCTTTCGGGAAAATCAGTAAACGCATCAATAACAGGGGATGATGGAGCTGCATCTACACGAGCATTGGCTGGTTCAGTACTAAATTTTAAAGTAATTATAAATAAATAAATATAAAAATTAAAATTATTGATAATTTAATGACGTAATTAATATTTAATACAGGTTGAAGGTGGAAATGGTTTGATCTCGGAAAATTGCAAAGGTAATGCAGAAAACGAACCAGTGATGATGGTTACTTCATCTACTTCAAACGAATCAACAGAAGAAATAAAAAAAAATATAATTGAAGCTGAAAATGAGCAAACAGAAAATCGAGTAAAACATGAGGACAATTTAAGTGTAATTAGAGTATAATACTGAGGCAAAGTAATTAAAGTTGACGCTGCAACGACATGTTATAATTTAAAATAAAACGTAGATGAAAAACAATTTGTGCTTAAAAATACAGTATTGGATAATTGTAATGCATGAATCAATAATTAATATTGATGAAAAGAACTGAAAAGATTGATAAAAAGGTAAAAATAAAATAATGTAATCCAAGCAGTAATGTAATGTGTATGTAAGGCGGAAAAACAGGATGAAAGATTCAATTCGCAGAGTAAAACAACGTGATTCATATAACGATAATAAAAACTATATACTTGTATATACATGAAGGCGAATAGTAAAATGTATATTAATAACAAAAGAATAAACAATTTGATAAATTTTAATGATGTAATTGATGTAAATTTTATTTATTAATATTCCTGAATTAAATAGCTTGATATTTGGCAATACTAAGGTTATAATTCATTAAAAACAGAAAGCTAATTTTAAAAGATTTTAGTATATTGAGCTCATTTGAGATTTTATATTTTCGCAAATTTACTCAATTTAATTGTTAAATAGAAAAATCCATCTGTAAATTCGAAAAATTCCGCTTTAGTTCTTTTGAACGCCATGTCAAGTTCGAAGAAATATTTCTATTTTGTAACGTAAGAGGCCGTATAAATGACTTTCTATAAAGTTGCGCAAATGTAAAATGGGCAGCTCAGACGGCTTGATACATATATGGCATAAAAATAAGCTTGCCAATTAATGCAAGAATGACAACGATATTATTTTTTTAAAGTAAAACAATCAATTTTGAGGTTAACGCAATATTGTAATTAACAAAATTTAGTCGTTTGTTTAAGTAGTGTATGTATAAATAATTGAAAAATCAAAATTTTGTTTTTATTTGTAAAAAAATACATTTTAAATCGTTTCATATTTACAGATAATATTTTTTGTAAGGATGGCTGATGCTGCTGCACGTAGAGAAGCCCGGAGGAGAAGAATTCTTGAAAATTCTGAATATCGGTTGCAAAAAATTAGTGGAGTATCTAGTCTTGAAAAACCATTAGGTAAAGATGAAATTAATTTATTGTTATCATTACAATCATTATCTAACCATCAATGGTTTACGATTTTTATTTATTGTTTTTTTTTTTTTTTAAATTAGAAAAGAAGGAAATTGTGTTACCAAAGCAAAATACACATTCTGTACTATCAAATCAAAGTATAAATGGAATTGTCCCAAGAGAATCACTAGTTAATTCCGAATGGGACGAAGACCCTTTACAATTGGAGAATCAAATTGACACAGATCTGTTATTATCAGAATCAGAAAATTTGAACTCCTTGTCTAGCAAATCAAATTCCATCCATGACAATGTTGTTAATGAAAATGGAAATATTCAAGGACATAGACATCGAAATTTGCCAACAGCCACACATGACTACACCGAAAATTCATTTTTTTCTACTGAGGAAAATACTCAGAAATTAAATAAAACTGAAGAACCAAAACAATCAAAAATCCATACATTTTTTACTAATCAATTAGTATACACTATTTTAGCAATAATTATAAACCTTATGATGATTTTTCAACTTGATAATATATATGGGAAAGTGAGTAAAATATCATTTCATTTTATTGAAAAAAAATTTATCAAAATCACAGTACATAGTTTAATATTAACATTATTTTTTAGAGTATAATTACACCATTCTTTATGGTCTTTTTCACTCGTCTTTATTTTATTGGAGTCGTACCTCAGTCATCAAAAGGAAATATGTTATTTGCAGCCTTAGTTCTTTGTAACATTCAACCAAGTATTCTTCATACATTTCAAAAAGTTTTTAATACAATTAATCTTTTCATTCGAGATTTGTCATTGTACATCTTCAGTTTTGTGATTATATTTAACATAATAACAAGACACTTCATCGATTTGGATGATTCTCTTCCTGAGACAATGGATGCACCGGATTCTCAAGTCTCAACTTAGAAGCAATCTGATGCCTTTTTCAAACTGTAGACTGTAATCATTATATTGTAATACTACAATTTTTTCTATAATCAAATGTAAATATAATATATTTTGCTCTTTCATTGAATCATTATAAATATATTAATGACTTTAAAATATTTAATATAGAAATTTAGAATACAGTAATTATTAAAATTAAACTTCAAATCTTTGTTTACATATTTTTGACTTCTTTATTACGAATGGTTTCATGAAAATTTGACTTGTTAGCATTTATTACAAGCACACTTATTTTGGAACCTCTTTATCTTTTAAATCTAACAAAATTTTTTTTCTCACAAATCCAGTATGTCCCAATTTTACCATCTTTTCTTCCCACTCTATTATATTATGACGATATTGGTCCATTAATTTTTTATGTTCTTCTGCATACTTTTCCTTAATATCTGGTGATAAATTGGCCCATTCTTCAGATACTTCTTTTACCCATTCCTTTAACATAATAAATCAACCATTCAAGTAATGTTTATATTTTTTTTTCTCGTCTAATATTAACAGTTGTACTTACAGTATATGGAACTTTATCTTTTTTTAGGTTCTTTTTAGAAATTAAGTATGAGATGAATATTGATGGCGGTTTCTTAGGCTTTCCTAGCTCTTCTAATTTCTGAAAAATTATTGAAAGAAGTATTGTTTATTTTGATCTGTAACATTAGATTATATAGTTTCTTCCGACATGAAAGTTAAATATTTTTTCTGTATTTTAAAAAATTATAATTGATAAGAACCATTAGTATTAGATTTTATTTAATACAGTTCTGATGGATTCATAAAAATAAATGTAACCAAAAAAATACATACTGATTTCATGGCATTTTTTTTCTTCATCAATAATTTTTTCTCCCGTGCTTCTTTTATCATTTTTTTTTGTTCATCAGTTAATAGACTTTCATATTCTATGATTTCTTTGACATAAAGATCCATTTCCTGTCTATAAGCTTGTTGTAAACTTTGTTTCTGCTCAGTATTATATTCAGCCCATCTTTGAGAAAGTAAATTCAAAACTTTGTTGTTCGGTATACCAGGATTTTCTGCAATTATTTTTGGTCTTTCTTCTATAGAAAATCGAATAAATGGGTTTAAGGGACGTTTAGGCCTTGGTGGAATACCATTTATATTTTCACTTAACCTCGTGCAGAAGGTAACCTGTGATTGATAGCACCCTGATAAGGTGGATCTATTAAATAATAAATATATTAATTAAAATGATTAAATTGGAAATATGGTTTAAGTTATAAAGTAAACGAAACAATTACCTGTTAAACAAAAAATTAGCATTATTTATCAGAGGAGTACACAATTTAAAAAATTTCTTGCCGGTCGCCATGTTTATTTTTGAACGTATCACAATCATGGAGGACGCGTATTTTTAAACTTTTATATAAACAGACCTTGAATAAATTCTATTGGTTGTTAATGATATTATTATATTTATTTGACTTACAAAAAATTAATAAATTAGCAACTGTAAATATTGATTGAAGTTAATTATAAAAAATCGATGAATACCATAATTGAATTGTTTACAATATTAAATTTATTAACAGAAGCTTTGTACACAGGTAATCATACTTAAAATTCAGTCATTTCTAAATTTTCATAATTATGAGTGAACTGGCGAATGTATTCTTGGTGATGCGGAATTTGCCATTGACCGATTCGCACGAGATGATTGCTCTCGTCGACATTCCTCTACTTGCTTTTCTAATTGTTCTTTTTGGACTAGAAGTTCTCTTGCACGTTGAGTAACAGGATCCTATAAAACACGTCAATAATTATTTTTTTATTGACTCAAAAAATAATAAGATTAAACATGAATTTCATTACCTGTTGTCTCATACTAGGATTCCATCGGCAATAAAGTCCTTTCCATGGTTTTATGTACCTCATACTAGCAATGGGGATGAGTACAAGTTGATAATGAGGTGCCCAATATAAGGGATTTTGATATAAGGATAACTGACTATTTATATAAGACCATAATGAAACAGTTCTTTGTTTAACTTGCTCTTGAACTCTTTCTCTTTCACTGCTAAATAAAAATGTACCAAATCTACATGAGTACAAATGATCCAAAATTGTAATTAAAAAGTGGTCATTAAATTGAAAAGCATTAGGGAATTGTTGAGTAATTTGCCATACACAGTCAATAAATTGTAAAAATACCGGTGATCTATCAGCGTCACTGTGATGTTCATCACCGTGGCCAATCCTTTGTTGAAACTTATGACCAAAACTCAACCATTCTTTTTCAATAAGAACTTCAAAACCTTTGATTGTTCGATAGTATGGATCTAGCAATAACATTGCTAGAGCTGTTAGTTGAACTGTTCGATCCCATCCGTCAGAGCAATGAACTAGTACAGAAGTTTTATGATTTTCTACTTTGTCTACTATTTTAACAGCTCCAGCAAGAATATATTTAAGATGTTTGAGCCACATAGATGATTCAATACCAGATAACCATCTAGCATCATCAATTGTTGGAAAACAAAGTTCTTTTAACTTTCTCAAACTCTCACGCATCACATGAATATTGTGAATATCTAAAAATACTAATTCAGCATTTTGGTAAGCATCTTCACTCTCATATCCGCCACCTTTCGCTTTATTAGCAATGGCATTAGCCATTGGTCGAGCATCCATGATAAAAAGCTTATGACTTTGAGCATTAGCGTCCATTATAAGTTGGACATATCTTTCATCTTCACGACTTCTCTTGCCTCCAACGCCAACGAGAGGTTGAGCACAACGAGTTATCGTTGCTTGGCTTTCTGGATGAATCCAAGACAATACTGGAAGCCTACCACGACTTCGAAACTGTGCAGACGCTTGAAGATCTTCATCAGTCGCTGCTGCTGGTACTGCCCAAATTGCTGGATAGCTATCACAAATGCTATAGGTATCATTTATTTTCGTTATTTTCCACATATCATTGTTAACTCCCATTCTTTTGAGCTCAGCAATGGGTTCATAAACATTCCATCCATTCTCAGGAAAAGTTTCTGAGTATTCAAATGCAAAAAGAGGAAGCTTATGGGACAAGGGAAATGAATACTGTTGTAGTTTTTCAAATACATCACGGCGAGAATGATTTTCTTGTTTATGTGCAAAACGGAGATTCCTCATATCTTTACAAAATACTTCAATACCATACGAATTTTCTCCTCTACTAGTCGCTCCACCGACTTTTTCAATTCTACTCACAACTCCCAGTGGTACTTCAACAATGGAAGGCGTTTCTCTGTCTATACTACGAAAATGAAGCTTGTAATTGGTTACACTCAAAACTCCTCTTGCTGGCCCTGAATAAGGACATAAATATGTAACATCTCTAGATACACCTTGTTTCCTTTCACCGTTCAGTAAAGATGGACCCGAATCTCCAGTGGATAAATTCTGTATCAATAAAAAGAAAATATTTTAAGTTATTCATCTTTAATATTAAATTCAAAAATAACTGATAATGTATTTATCGATAATAAATGAGTTCAATTCATTACACGAAAATAACAAAGTGTTGTTTAATGTGGCTGACGAGTCGGGTTAAAGGTCTATGTTTATTAAGACTGTCAACTAAAAATTAGATTGTGATAAAAAGCAATCTTTGTCGTGATTGAAAAATTTAATCGCTAAAAATACCATTTAATTTTGTTATAATAAAGATTTGTTTGCAATATCAGCTGACCTTACAGCTGTAGACACAGATAGATTTGGAAAAAATAAAATATTTATACAAGCCTAAAAATATTTACTGAGTATTTTGACTCATCGGCAAATGATTTTCCTCCATTAATGTTATAACAATAATGACAGTCATAACAAATATACTTTTTGTTTATATTATACAATATAATTAAACTCAAATTGCAACTTCTTGTCTAGATAATGTTTCAAGATAAAGATGAGGTAATAAACAATGTTGAAAAGCTAAAATAAAATGGAAAAATAATGATTAGATCATTTTCAGGCTTTACCGGACTAGCTTTTCCATCAATTTTATTTGCCTCTAAAGCAGAAATTATATTATTATCTGTAGATGTAGAGCTCGTAGAAAAGCTTTTTGAATTAGATGCTTTATCCCAATTCTCCTGAGTATGCATGAATGGAAAGAGAAGAAATTGAAGCAATATTATTTTGAAAAAATTAATAAATAAACATTTTTGAACAATGTTATTCTATTGTTTTGCATAAATCTATCATTAATACTGACCTCAGCAAAAAATTCACATTATGCTATAGCTTTTAATGAATACTTAGTTCTTGAAAAGATTTGTGATAAGATTTTTATTAATAACATGTGCTTAACATTGCTCAAATAGTTATGACTATAATATATTATATCAATAAACTCTAATCTCCTTCAATTGATTACTTATTAATTAAAAGATGATAATGTAGTAAATTTACCGATTCTTGGCCCATTTTGGAATTAAGTGAGCTGCTTTTACTGTCAGAGTTAAGAGAATCTGTGCTAGCATTTTTAGAGTTATGGTCAACTGTCAAAAGTTCTGCACTTCCTCGCTTATCCATGATGAATTATGATATCAAAACATTTATCACATGTTAATAGACATTCTGATTTTCCTTCTAGATTCACCTACAATCATTTTAAATAGTTAGTAAATATTATTATTTATCATACATTTCTAGCGTATCATAACCTCACTATTGAACTCATTTTCAATAATAAACAGCGCTTTGACTTACTGCCACGCCCTGGTTACTTACGAAAATATATAGTATTTTTTATCTAATGATTAATTGCATAAAAATCATTTATTGCTTGATAATATTGTAGATTAAATAAAAAATTGTTGATAAATTATAATATAAACTATTGAACTATTCTGTCAGTATACAAAATATTTGACAGTCTTCGCCATTTTGTTTCATACATTTTCACATTTAGTTCTATTTTTAATCAACCACAGCAGCACATGCAGTGAGTTTATTTACTTTTAAAACTGTGCATTTCATTCTGATTATTTTGAAGGTGTGTTCAATAAATAACTGTTATTTTGATAGAATAAATATTAAAACATTATTTAAATAATCAATAAAAGTATTAGTTCCTAATCTGAGCTTTTTAATAATTTAGATATCACATTGACGCTTACTAAAAAAACATGCAATTGTTTGAGGGTTTTACAGTAAAATATATCATATTCATTTTATTAATTAAAAAATGATATATTGTTTATTGAGATTTCAAAGAAAAAAGCTCATAAAGTGAGGGAGAAAGTTTCGATTTATTTATCAAAAATGAGGAAAAATAATAATACATGTGAGGAAAATAATTTTTAAAAAAATGGTGACAATTGCTGCATTGTGATGCAATGTGACAATATTGAATTATATTTGAATTTATGATACAGCAAGAAATCGTAACATTTAATATAAAATTTTTCAATTATCAACTCTATTTATATTGACAAGCATTAAAATTTTCAATTTTATAGTATGTTTGTTTCGTTTTTTTTTGTATTTTTAAATTCTTTTTCATGATTTAAAACATTAATATATAAATGTACAGTTATCACGTCGATCTAAATTGTAACCATTATATGAATAAATTACACCAAAAAATTTTTTATACATTGTATTACAGTTAAAAAGATCTAGATTAAATATTTTTATCTCAATTGTACATATATATATTATATATAATTTTTCTTCAAATAATTTACTATCATTGCATCTTCTTCTAATACATTTATACAAAATTTATACCGTTAACAATATATAAAAGTATTGATGTACCGAATTTCATTGATATGAGCCGCTAAAAAATGGATTTAATTAATCTTAACATAAATAATAAACAAGAACACATGAGTTTGTTGTTTTGTTTCAAAAAAGAAATGTCCTCTGGCAATTGATGCATAATTGATTGGAATTGTTGATCAAAACTCAATAACCTCTGCAAATTTGGCACTTAAAAAAAGTAAAATTAAATTGCTTTCACTGGACCATGATCTAGGCCTCGAAGTCTATTAGCGAAGGGACTCCGGAATGAATGATAAGCCGATGATCAAAAGAAACATGTCAGTATAGGATGAAATGAGACGTTCAGTCTCAATTCTCTTAAATACCCCTTTTAGTATTGTAATGATTTTTCAGTCTCTTAATCTCGTGGTCCAAGATGGATCTGGTCACGTCATTTGGGCAGCATTAAATCCACGTTTTCTCGGAGTCATTTGAAATTGTTGAACATAAGAATTAGTTCGGAGGACATTTCCAGACTGATACTGCGGTTGCATCGCTATTATGCCTGTTTGTTGAAGATATTGCTCTCTATAAAGAGCTTGTTGAGTAACATATTCGCCATTGACTTGGCCTGAAATCTGATGATGCGGTTGGTAGTCTGCCCGCGTCATTCTTGACGTATTCATCAAATTGGCATTGTCTTCTCTGTACTCCTGGAAACGGAGGCTCGTTGGTGACGATCCGGGTGGTGTGGAATTTTTCACGCTCTGTGTCGGACTTTGACTTATTGATTCTAAAACATGCCGGGGCATATTTGGTGAAGGACAATGAATCTCTTGTAGACCATCCACACGGTTGGCGTTCCTAGTAAACACGGGTGCACTTTCCGGTCTACCACCGATTATATTCCTCATACCCTCACGATCCTTGGCGCTGAGAGTGTGACGTGAATCTTCGAGTACATTTGTACCCATCAAGGCCGTGCCAGAAGCAGCGTTCAGGTCGGTCACACTTGACCACGTCATGCTTGCCAATTCCCACCGACGTAAAAGATCGGAGATTCGTTCTGCTCGTACTGTCGCGTCTAGGCTTTCATCATAGTCTGGTCCCTAAAATAATTTTTTTCGTTTATTTTTACAACTCTAATTCTATTCATTAACAAATTTATTTTATTTATTTTTACGTACATTTTCTATTTTTTCATCAAGCATTCGGAAAAAGTCTAACTGACTAGATGACACCTCTCTGAAATTGAAAAAAAATCAATTACAAATTACTGGTTAATGATAGAAAAAAAAAATAAAAATAACAAATAGTCTATTGTAGAATATAATTTTTCAACAAATGTTTTTTAACTTTATGAGAAAAAAACCTCATTTACACGCAGGAACATTTAATTATATTAATTCATATGTCAATATAAAGAACCACGTAAATTAAATAAAAATGTGTTAAAGTTTATTCAGAGAAGAAAAAAAAAAAATAATAGAATTTTATTTATTTTAAACTTTTCGATGATTAATCATAATTCTCAGAATTAGAGGAGTTTTCTGAGAGGAAAATTGTTTTCTAACTTATCGTAAACTTTTCTTGAAAACTAGTAAAGACAGAAATATGGTTCCATGTTTAACCGATAGCAAACTTAATCACTAATAAAACAGAAAAGCATTTTTTTTTATTTGACTCAGCATAAAAAAAGTGTGTAACAATATATAGCAATTTTGAAACTATTGTTCAAGTTTATATTTGACATACAAATGCTATTTATAGTCATAAAGACTAAAGTACCAATGCATTTATCATTATCATATCATGTTTTCATTTTAAACATACAAACAGAACATTAATAATTGAAATTCTAATCAGAATCGATCTCAACGGTGTGTATGACCTAATAACATTATTTAAATAAGTATAACAATGTTGGAAATGTTGGTATTTCAATATCTAAATGATTAAAAATAAATACTAACGCTTGTTGAAGGAGAGGTCCACTGCCAGGTCCACCAGTTTTCTTTTTAGCTTGATTTTTAATGTCATTATTGCCGTTTTCCTCATTTCTATTCAACTCAGCATTATTATTATTAGTTTTATTGTTTTTGGTATTCCCATTTTTCTGATCAATAGACGTCGAGCCTGTAATCAAGCAAATTAGATCAAATTAACACAATATAACATGTAGATCTCCTGACAAATACTTTAATAAAAACAACTCATTAAACGTTGATGAATTTAAATCAAGGTAAATATACTACGTATTACCAAGTATCAGCTATTGGTGTGATCTAAAAAAAGAAAAACGAGAGGGAAAAGAGAAGAGCTTTAAAAAGGTCGAGACCTAGACCTCGAAACACAAATGCACGTTGAAACAAACGCGGAAGAGAAAACATGTTGCACTTCCTTTCTATTTGTAATATATCCTTCAACGCATGTTTTCATCAATTACAACGACGTAAAATGTTTGCCTGGAGGCAAAGGTCGGTAAATTAATGCCTATTTCAGCTTGGTAAACATGGGATAATCTTATCATTGACTACGGGTGACGTTCAACAAAAATAAATTGTTTTATATCTGCATATCATTAGCTATTATTATCGTTACTTACTCTTATTACGTATTCCTAAAGAATTATTCTTATTGTTATGTATCTAATTATTTAACTATTACATTAGATTCATGCTTTTTTTAAAATATCACTAATGCAATAGCAAATTTATTTCTGTCTGATTTCAGATATCATAATAGAATTTATTAATTTGGCGAAACTAATTACCAGTTACGCTATCGAGACAGAGGATAATGAACCCTGGATTACAATGAGAACGCCAAGAATGTTTCAAGCCAGAAATATACAATCGAGTCACGCGAGAAAACTCAACGTTAACTGCTGACAATCACGAGATTTAAATTTATTGCTCTATTTTATTTCTTCAAAAGATTGTTATAAATGTTTTTTGAATCGTTTAGACTTGAGATAGACAATAGAATTAAATTTAGAATACAGTTCAACAAAGAATTCAGGTCAGTATACGAGATTATTTTTAATCAAATTAAATAAATCCATTCATATATATGGTCATTGTAAATAGTATCAATGCATAGAAATTAATACTGAAAGGTTGATAAAAATTATATGAAGCTTTAAAAATAATTATAGTCTTTTTTATGGGTTTGCTATCATTGATGAGTTAGTTGTTTTTCCTTTTTATTTACTGCATTGATCTATCCCAAGGATCTATTATATTTTCTATCATCGTGTTATATTTATATCAAGTCATTCAAGTAATAATTATTACAGCTGGATTAACTTAATGCTTTCTAAGTTTATCATTCTTATTCTAGTTAATCAATAGTTCTATTAAGGAATACTTGTGTCGAAAAATTACTTTTTGATTTAATTTATCTTGTTAGAAGGGAGTGCAAAAGAATCCTTTGATTTGTAGTGCTATTTAGGTATAGCCAATCTTTTAATCTCAAACTAATTAATTAAAAATAATCTCTCCTCTATGGACCCTTTAACAAAATTGTTCATAATTTAATTCACTACTTTTACTAACTCATCTGAAAAATGGAATATTTTTTCTTCAATAACTTTTAAAAAACTTTGTAAAAATAAAATCAATCATTTTAATTATTTTTCAAGATCACAAATACTGACCTCAAAGTTTTATTATTTGACATAAATTTATCAACAGCATAATAATTATAACAACTGATATTCAAAGATAAATGTATGATAATAAGCATACAATTTATTTATTGATTTTTGATGTACTTTAAAGATTAGTCTTGAGCACGTGTATAAATCAATAATACAATAGTTAAAATATACTTTCAATTATAATAGTAAACTGCGAGTTAATTAATCATGAATCAACTGAAATTATATAAAGAATTCAGGTTAACGGTAATTATTAATATTTATAGAACGTCAATTACTATGAAGATCGATATATCAATATATTTACTTGAATTGAATGTTAATTGACATCACAAGACATCAAGTTGAGACATATAACAAAAAATGTAAACAAGAAATGGCGTTTACCTTGAGTTTTCTAGTGCGATGCCACTGCATCTAATAAAGTTAAATGACATTGCATAGTATGGCAAATAATACCTCTGTATGCTGTTTTGTGTATTTTAAAAGCCCATGAACGATTAGGAGTAAGGGACTAGAAGCAGCTGTGGCGACAGCTGAATCTCAACCAGTTCGAGCCCCTTCTATCTGTTTTTATGACGCGTAAATGTTTATTTACGCGGGCTTTAGTGTTGCATGCGCAGACGTAGGCTGTGTAAAGGCCTTGAATAAAACCACAACCGTAATTCAACTTCCAACTGACGCCGGATGTTCTAGATTGCTAATTAAAAATTCCCGGTGAAAGAGGAAAGCGTTAAATACATCAGGAAAAATATGTATTAGCCAATTTATTCTAATCGTTGATTATAAATAAAAATATTACCTGATTACAGAGTTATAAGATAATGGTAAAATATAAACAATACGTTGTTTATCAATGTGATTGACCTGAATTTCATTGCGACTATTAAATGAACGTCATGGACGATCGATCATGTATCTAATATCAGTTGTAGTCTGTCTAGAATAAATTAACCGGTCGTTTGTTTCAAGGAAAAAAAAAAAAAACTTTCGGCGCCATTCAAACAATACCTGGCAAATAATAGACAAGATATAATACATATTTATTAGAAGCCGAAGAATGTAATACAAAAAATGTCACACTGACATGATTCTATTTTAAAACGAGCCTTCATTCTCAATAACTTTTTGGTATTCGCTTGAAAATTCGTACACACACTCATGTCTATTAATAGATAACCTGTCTCATGATTAATTTTGCGATTTACTCATGTGACGAGTGAATGGAACGTTTACATGATGACTCATAATCATGTTTTTTTTTTTTTTCGTATATACCTATATGTGTCTACGTAGTTGCATTTTTTGTGAGTCAATGACGTAGCAATGAGGAACGCGGATTTATGTATTTGTTTACCTCTAGCACGACGGGCGAGATGTGAAATGTTTTGTCGTAAAATTTTTAGCCACATTATGGCATCCGCCTTCTTCTGCCTCCGAATTTTTATTCCCGTGTTCGACCCCAGGATCACTAATAGTAATTAACTTTAACTTAAAACATTCACCAGACGCTTGATTATTTCGTGTCTTCACGTAACACAAATCACTGACGCAATTATTTACTTGAAATAATAGCACTTAGTATAGAAAAAAAATCTGAAGAAGTATAGAGTTGAATATCGTTCTGAACAAGTAGAAACACAACGTGTTACTGTGGTCTCTCGAGAATTACTATAACACGAAACAAGTGGGACGTGCGCATTTATACGAGTCAACGATCACGTAGCACACTCGGCACTCTCTTCTTTTCGGTACTACCGCGCTCGATAATATCAGTCTGCAATCCTTGGAAGTCTCACTTCCATTCGAGATCAAGCAGGACGAATAATAATTCGGATTTGAGCGCGTTCAGAAACTCACGCAAGCTCATTGGTGGACAAATTTGGCGCCACTGCGTGCGCATTCACTCTCACAATACAAACTACGCATTACATACGAAAAGTATTTTTTTTTTCTTATCTTGTTACGAAACTGTTATAAAGAGTGTATTTTTTTGTTCGGTAGAACAAGATAATCGTATACTATCAGAGTGAGGTTTATTTTAGACTTCCGAATCGAATAAACAGACCTTCTACACAATCAAAAAACATAAGACACACTTTGTCATGATATGAAAGTGTCCTCTAAATATCAATAAAAATAGTCAGCTTCCAGAGAACATATGTTAATCATCACGGAAATAAAAATGTGCATTATTAGTGAGTTTTTTTTTCATCTTATCATTTTGTTTATTAGTACGAAATGTGTGTGACGTAAATTCAAATTGAAGGGATTAAGTGTCAGACGCAGGATTGAGATAAATAACTGAAGTATAATAAATGAAAAGAGGACAATAAGTGAGAAGGAGATAAATGGATAGAAGAAGAAAATAATCGAGGGCATCAACCGGCTTTTCTTATGTCATTGAACAACAATAGTTACTTTATAAAGTCAATCAAATTATTTTCATTATTTTAATTGGATTTAGAGATTTGAAATCTTACGTGTTTTTTATACTTGCTAATTCTTATGACAATATTGTGGCTTATCGTCGTTGAAATAAATAAAATAAATATTTGCACTATGCAATTATGTTATTTCGCTAAAAATTTGCGGAGCCATTAATCCATACGAGTAGTTATAAAAACAACTAGACTAGTCAGCTTTTGAACAAAATTGTAATAATAATAAATTATTTTTTATCTTACAGGAAAAGTTGGATATTTATTCAGTAAAAAAATTTTGCATTAAATCGTTGGTGAGGAGAAATTAGTTGAGGATAAAGAAAAGTTTAGTAATAAAGAGACGAAGAAAGCATTTTTAAGAGTTTTTTCTTTTTTGAAAAAAAATTTAAAAAAAATTAATGGTTTCAGGGAATTTAATTATAAATTCCTCGATATCTATTGTTGTACACGACAATAAAAATTCTAGATAAATGGGGGGGGGGTAGAAATTGTTGCAAATAACAGACTATTAAATTATCCCTCACGGCCATCATACTCGGTTACGATCTCTTTGACAAAGTTATTGGTTGTCAATACGAAAATTAAGTTTATAATATGAAATATGCAAATAAATAATTGTTTCACTTTACTAGAGGTATAAATAGAAAACTAATTATGCATTTATCTATTTTCTACTCAGTTCGTGGTGAATAAAAAATAATTATCTATAGGAAAATTTAATTTATAATTTCCTGTTTTTTCATCTAAATCTTAATAATTTATTGATTTTCATAATCATGTATTTGCATATGTATTTAGTGTCTTTAAACATTTTCTTACTGATACAAATTGATGTAAATATGTAAATATTAAAAATTCTAATTTTAAATGACAAAATTATGAATGTAAAAACTTAGTTTCAATGCAATTTAATATTTTTAAATGTCATGAATAACAACATTCCCCGAGCAGTAATATTTTTTTAAATGTTTATAACTAATAGATTAATTAAATAAAATTTTTTAATATAATAAATGATGTCTAATGAATAAGCAAGTTCTTTTAAAAGATATCATTCAACAAATTTGTTTGACAATAATTTAAACTACTCCAGCTTCTAATTAATTTTTATCTACAAAAGATATTCAAAAACGTATAGATAAAATTTTATATGATATAAATGTAACATTGTGATTTAAGTCACGTAAATATACAAATAATGATAAAAAACACGTAGGCGTCAACTTATAATGGTAAAAAAAAAAACTCATCAAGCGAAAAAATTCATAGATTGATTGGCTAGTAATCAGATTTTTTATTGCAATACTACAATTCTTTCACTTTGTCAATATCGCACACTCTTTTATGAAAAAAGTTCTTTAATAAATATGACATGAATAACCTGTCGCACAAGTGCAAATAAAAATTGTGTTAATTGCAATTAAAATCATACGTAAAAAAAATTATTAAATTATTAATTTCCTAGTTTTTTTTTTTTTTTTATATTTTTTATGTATTATTTTAATCTTCTAATATGATTTTCTTGAATAATTTAATTACCATCATAGTATAATTGACTCAAATTCTATAATTTAACAAAAGACTTTCTTCATATTTATTAAGTATATAAACTATTTTATATTTTCTTTTGATAATTTTATTCACTGAGCATTTTAATTACTCCAATGGAGATTAAATTTTTCTTTCTCGTAAAAGAATTTTCTTAAAAACTTCTTAAAGTCATGTTGAGTTTTACTTAAAGTCCACATGCATGTTTTTCATGAATCCACTCCGAAACATAAATAACGAGAATAATAGCTTCAACTATGATAATAATAATAATGGTGATGACATATATTTAATAATAGCAAGTTTAATTTAAAAAGAAACATATACTTACGTAAAGAATCATTATTCTTCTTGTTATTGTTGGTCTTATTTTTCTTATTTTTGGAGTAAATATTACCAATCTTACTTTGTCCACAACCCATCCTGTCTCCTAACGGCCTCCTTTTCAATCTTTTATTTTATTTATCCTCTGTTTAATCGTTAAACTGATGGTAATTAAAACGTTGACTCACATTTTCGACTAGTTCGTATTATTTTCACTTTTCCTAAGAAGAAAATCTAGATTCGCGGAAATAATTAACGATATGAACGCATTGGGATATGTTACATCGACTATTTTCCAAAACAATCGACCAAAATAGAATCAGTCTTTGGTAATAATGTTTATAAGTTTTTCTGTACTTATAATTATTATTGTTGTAATTAGTCCATAAAATTTCACTGGAATATATTTTGAACTAATATATGTATATATATATTTTTCCTTATTTGTTAGTTAAAGATATGTTTTTAATATAATTTGCGTTAAGTTTAGGCTACCTAAATCGCGGTAGCCAATCCATTTTCGTAGTTCAGTCTCAATTTCTCACTGACATTGGAGGCTAATCATCTACCCCATGTCGAGTTGTTTTGCATCCTTCCCCATTGATCGAGCCATTCGTAAAAGTGTCTTCTCCTTGAGAGTAACAATTTCACTTTTTTACTTTTACTTTATTAAATCTCCAATTTTTGAAAGCCTTTTAAACGAAAGGCAGATAAATGTTGAGGAATTTAGTCTCGAGTTGAGCCGGCGTCTGGAGCCGTCGCAAGTCGTTCCAAATTCTCGAAATAAACCTCGTAGCAATGGAGAGGGTAAGTGAATGTATTCGAGAAGCCAAGAAATAAATGAAGATAGATCTTGACTTCGATCAATTGGCAGGGCCAAGAGTTCGTTATATTTTGTCTAAGAATATTATTTTTTCTTATCAAAAACTACACATCAAAATGGATTATCAATATATTGATCATTACTATCTGATTTTAAAATTCTCCGATGAGAGAAACAACACGTTCTTAGCAATTTTTTATCATTACTAGCAATCCCTTGTCTTTATCGATGAGTCTTATCATTCATTAGATAAACGCCACCACTCTGTATGTTCGAGAACAAATAAATCACGATAGATAACACCAGTAAATGTTTATTAAAAATAATAAAATATTTTTAATTCTTCTCAAAAATATTTTCAGATTAATTGACACTCGATTCAAGTAATTTATTAATCCATGAAAATATCTGAATTTTCACTCACGAACACTATTAAAATACCAATTAATCATTCTTGTATGAAATTAGATCAACTTGTGGTTGTTGTAAATCATTTACGTCGACAATCGACGTCATTGTCCTCAAGAATAGGCACGTTGATATTAAATTCCTTGATTATTGTTTTTAACGATTGTCATGGCTTGTGTAACCAGCACAAGCTGTATGAATGTTATTGTTACTTTAGATAAATTAATTATTGTTTTTGCTTTCTAATGTTGATAATATTAATTGAGGAACACCAAAAAAATTTTCTTTACATTGAGAGACTGATGAGAAAGTAACACATAACTTCATCAACGTTTCAACATTGACTGATTCAATAGATGAACACTAGCTCAATCTACCGCAACAATCTTTTACTTTCATCCTTCCCCCACTATTGACTAACTTAGCCCTCTAATGGTTAATGTAAAAATTAAAAAAACCCCGCGATATTTAAGAATATATTACACCTATTTGTATGTCATTGATGAAACCTTTTTTTTACAAATCTACTCGTTATAAAGTAAAATAGGATTCTGTGGGTATTGGGAATTATGTTTACATGGATAATATACTTATCCTAACACTCGATACTTCGTCGTTGAACTTGAGGAGACTTTTTCTAGTTGCATGCATCCATAGAAGTGATAAAAGCACGTGAAAGGTGTCATTATTATTTAAGAATTCTCAACAATGTCGTCAGAGAATGTTAATAAAATATCACTAGGTAGGAATATAATACACTTTCTTTTTGTGATGAACTTTTCATGAGGAATAATACATAAAATCAATTTAATGAGAAGATCAAGTTAATTTTATTTATAATTTTTTTGATGTTAGATACAATTATTTTTTTAAATTTATCGACCAATTTATTAAATTACGTATTAGAATTTAATTTAAGTATCTTTGATGTTGGCGGTATAATCCTGCTTATTAAAGCATCTCATTTAATGTCAATTGAATTATATTGATCGCATAAATAAATAAATAAATCAATTCAAGTAAAATTACATTTGTTTTTTTTTTTTAATTAATTTCCTGTCGAGTACTTAATTAATTTCTATATTGTCATAAATTAATAACTATTTTATTTCTAGAACCGCCATACAATCGTCTTAGGCCCTATTTAATCGTTCAACCGAGCGTTTAAGACGAATGAAATTGGTATAATTATTAATCAATTAATTCATTTAATCAATCAATTATTTCTGTTACTTTTTCATGAGAGTGAAATATCTCGTGAAAAAAAATACCCTTGACTTTCTCGTCGTCGATGGCCGTCGATGTTATTCGAAGATCCTTTTTCTTCGAGCAGACGAAAAAATTCAAGAAAAGTTAATTTTTTTTATTAATTTTAAAAATCGACCATCTTATGATATAACTAACAGTCGAATGAATTTGTCAGATATTAAAACATTTGACATATCTAATTCAGTCATTATTATTTTTAAAAATCCTTAAAGTGTGCAAATTTTGTATTTTTGTCACTATAATTGGCAAAACAGTTTAGCTATTAATGTAATTGTAATATATACTTATTTGAGACATATTTTCTTCTAATCTCCTCCATTTCTATGCCAGTATACAATTGCAAGTCTATTAATCATACGATCAATCGTTTTCTGTGACATTACGTGCTTATTGAAAAAATGTTTTTCTATGTGTTTTCAACTATTTACGTTCAGTGATAATTAAAACTGCAGTTCTATAGAAAACAAAAAAAGGAGATTATTTATTAAAATAAATAAGCGAAGAAACCACACTGTAAATATCACAGATTAACGACAATCCACGTGATTTAAATGCTGGTTTAACTACTAAAGTGATTACATCATTTTTTACATCCTTTTTAAGGATTCGACAAAATCAACGGCCGTCCACGCTCACGCGCATTTTTTCAGATAATAATTATATACATTGATACTGAGACAGTTATCTAACACGAGAATCATCAAATCATATGATTCACTGATCTTTTCGTGCGTACTAATTGATATAACTCCATCACCAATGTTTATTTCATCACTTTTAACTTTTAGATATTTCCACCAATTGGATAAAAAGGAAAGCTTCCAAACTGGAAATTATTTGGAGTCTTCGGTGAAGCGCAAGCATATAGAAAGTCATCAGATTGTAGCTGAGTTCTGTTTAAGTTTGGTTCAGATGCTGAAGTCGTTATCTTGGGTAAACATCGTAGTAAACCTTGTAGATTTGCTAAAATTTGGCGAAAAATCGGTCGATCATCTCTTGAAAATTTAATACAATCTTCAGTAAGTCTTTTCAAAGCTTTAGGAGTATCAGAACGTAATTTATTTAGATCAGGACGAAGATATCCTCGACCAACCATGAACAATATTTGATCTTTATTATTAATATTAGAATAAGGTAATTGTCCAGCAAGTAACTCGAAGAGTACAACTCCAAAAGCATAAACGTCAGACTGAAAACTGTAAGGATTCTCTTCTTGCATTCTTATAACTTCAGGTGCCATCCATAAAATAGATCCAGTAGGCTGATGAAATTGTTGAGATCCTGACCAACGAGTCTTAGCTGTTGCTAGACCAAAATCTCCTATTTTAACTGTTAAGTCATCATGGAGAAAAATATTATTACTCTTCAAGTCTCTATGAATAATATTTTTTGCATGTAGATAGTCCATTCCTTGTGCTGTTTGTTGTCCAATCTCAATCAGTGTTAAAAGTGCGAACTTAGTCTCAAAAACATGTAGGTGTTTATATAAAGATGATCCTTCGCACCACTGAGTAACAATAGCAAGTTTTGGTTTATTTACACAACCCATAAACAATAATATATTGACGTGACGAGTTTTTCGTAGCACAGCTACTTCGTTTTTGAATGCTTGAAGCTGTGCTGATGTTGGTATTCCAACATTCAACGTCTTTACAGCTACTGGCCCATGCCAATGAGCTTTGTAAACTGTTCCAAATGACCCAGAACCAATGCGCATTCCTACAAGGATTTCATCAGCAGGAATTTCCCAATCTTCAATTGACTCACGAGGTGCTAGAAGATTTTTTGAAGATTCATCAGCTGATTTAGCTCTCGGTCTCTTGGGCCTCAGTGTATTTGTAGGACTTGCTTGAGTTGACTGACTATATTTTGTAGGACTACTACCAGGTGAAACTGGACTTTGTGTAGTTTCAATTGTTCTACTTGGACTTTGAGATCTTGCATATTCCACCATACTCATTGAGTCATTACTATGTTTTACTGTATTAAAGCAAACATTTGGTGCTGAACTAGATCTGTCATTGTGTTCTAATGGTTTAGGATGTCTTCGATTTCTTGTCGATGCTAATGAAGGTGATGTACTTCTACTCAATGCATAGACTGCTGGCAGTTGTAGAATTGCTGCACTAGCATCTGAATTGTGAGCTAAAAGAGCTTGATAATAAGCATCTTGCATTCGCACTTGATGACAAAGAGCAGGAACTTGTACAGCACAACGTTGATGAAAACGATAATTGCATGTCCTGCAATAAAAACCTTGGAAAAGAAGCTTGCGACAACATTCGCAGAATGCAATAGAAAAGAATGTTTTCCTTGCAAAATTGTGTGATATGGATGTAGTAATTGGAAATTTGTCCAGAATTTCTACTGATATTTCATTACATTCCAATGATGATATATCTGTATCCCAAGAAATTGGGAATTTGGAGTCATTGGAGCCAACTGTGTATACGATACACATTTCAGTTGTTAAATTTCGAAGCTTCATTGCTTTTGCTAGAGCATCTCGTATTGATAATCCTTCACGTACCTATTGAAAAAAAAAATTTTAATAAAAAAGTGATAATAAATATATAAATATTTCCAAGCAGTCAATAAATACCTGAACGCTTGTTCTCTGTTGGTTTGGTAAATAAGCTCTCAATAGAGATTTGTGAGGTGTCCTAGGACATTTATAACGCCTTGACCCATGTGATTCATCTTGTCCAGATCCACTAGACGTTGCAGATTGAAGTATTTCATTAAGTTTCTGCTCCTTAGTTTCAAGTTCATGAAGTTTGCTAGTGAGTTCTTGATATTCAGTCAAGTAAATCGAAGGAGGATGTTGAAATCCGGCAAATTTGCTGTTTAAAGCGTCGATATTTTGTCGTGTCACGTGGATGACACTATGGATGTTTCGGAGTTCAGACCTGAGCGGATCAGTGTCGAGGTAAGCGTCCTCCGGATCACTGATATCGCCTGAATCGAGTGTGGCGCGTTTGCACGACATGACGCGAACAACGTCCCAGGAATCGTTGTACGAACTCGCACGATGATGGTTGGACGTAAACCCGCCTGTCCCAACGCACCTGGGACCACCCGATGTTGACACAATTTGGCTATCATGGACCGGGTTTAATTTTGGTTCGCCGATCACGGCCATATTATAACGTCGGGTAACATTGTGGGCGGCTGCGACAACTGCGTCGCTTAAATCGTTCACTACTGTTCACTACTATTCGACACTGCCTACACTACACATTTCCCGTAAACGTGTTCTTGCACCTTCTCCTTCTCTTTAGAGGGCTGCGTTTAATCAGTGCGTGGCGCTGTGTTCGTTTTCAATGGTACCAAATTTGAAGTGTGAAAAAATTATTAAAGAGATAATAGTGTATAGTATAGCGAAAACTTATGTTAGAATTCAATTTAAAAAATCAATGAATTAATCTAAACTTATATTAAGGCTCATTTTTGGAGTAATTTCATGTTTTCTTACTTAAGAAAACACTTTAAATATTAACTTTTAATATAATTTGGACAAAAAACAACATATCGTATGATGAAAATTAATTTATTAATCATACAAATTAGATAATTTAATCCTATAAAATACATTATTTCTTTTTCTTTAGTTTTCTAGAATGTTGATGTGCTTTTGAATGCGTCTTTCTATTGGAATTAATGATTTCCTTGTATTTTTTCTTATTATACTTGGCGAATTCTGCATCAGCTATCAATTCATCAACTAAAGTCTTCTTACGTTCTTTATTAGTTAAACGTCCACTGTAATACTCAGTTGGAGTATCCATAACTTTACCAACTTGGAAGTATTTAGGTAAAGCTTTAATATCATTCTTCTTATAGAAGTGTTTTGGATCAAGAACAGACCTCATTTGAATAATCTGAAGATCATGTTTAATTTCTGGAGTCATTTCAGTTGCTGGCAAGTTGAACCATTTCTTTCCTTTTGTTTTTTCTCTTTCCTTCCTCGCTATTTTCTGATGTATTCTTCTACTCACGTCATAACGTGGTACAGATTCGAGTTGTTCGAAACCTGGTTTTATGGCAGACTTACTAAGAAGTTCATCTAATGGATTTACTTCTTTAGATATTTGATCTACATTGAGTATATCTTGATCAAATTTTTTAGATTTTTTACTATTATTATCTTCATTCCACCCCATAGCAGCTTCAAATTCATCTAAATCAATATCATTTTCTTTTACTTTTCTCTTCTTCTCGTTTCCATTACTTCTTTTATAATAAGAAATTCCAGTGACGTTGAGAGCTAGAAAATATTATGTTTTATTTTTAAGATAATAACCTTAATTGAACAGTACAATATTAAGAATATATTGAAAAACTTACTGGTTTCATCAAAATCAACGTCATCATCACTATCAATTAATCTATCTCTCGAAAGGAGACTTGATTCTCCACGAGTATCGATTATTATATCCATTATGATGAAAAAATAATATTACTAACACTTTTTACAACAAACACATGGTGTTCGACATATTGTTTTATGACGTTGGTGTGTATTCATAGGAATGAACTAGTAGTGACATCTTTATAAAAAATTTTCTGCCAAAGTAGAGGGACTAATCAACCAAAAACAGCCAGCCGATATGTTAGAAATAGTCTTATATCAATAATCTACAGAAAATGTTGTAAAATGACATAACTGATAAATTATTTTTGCCATAGTCTATAAAATTAGCAATCATGCGTTACATTGCCAGTGTCAACACAACATTAAATTAATGTTAATTTCGCTCCATACGTGTATTTAATACGTATTTATCATAAAATTGATAAGAATTTTTTTCGAAGAATCCAATATGTAATATAACATTTTATCTACATTGAATTAGTAGTGTGGTTATTATTTTATTAGTTAAATTTGCTTATTTTAATATTTATAACACATAAAAATGCCTCCAAGTCGTTTGGATACTGTTTACAGAAGGATTTTATTAACAAAATTTTTTACTAAAGGATGGGGAAATCCTGACAGTTTGAGAAGGTAACATAAACTTGAAGAGTAAAAATAATATTGATCCTCGAACTTTCTACAACATGTTTTTGTTATTTAAAGCTATCAATAAAAATAGAAATACAACGTCTACATAGCTTTTATTGAAGTTATATATTTTATTTCCAGAATATTCGAGTTTAGAAAAATTATTGCAAATCGAGAAGCTTGTTATAATCTTATATCTCGTGATCATCCAATCACTATTACAAAGGTAGTCAATGAATAAATTTATGCTCTATTAAAACATTTAACTCATAAAATTTAATAAATCTGTAACAATCAGGATGAAGAGTGGTCTGATTGCCATATTATTGAAGGATGTTTTTTAACTCCATTCGAGCAACATCTGCCTGGTATCATGCCTGAAGAGACCAAAACTTCATATTTCCAACTTATCTTACCACTCAAATGGACTTCGCACGCCGTTAAACCAGTCTGTTTGAATTTAGCTGGTACCGGAGATCATGTTAGCATTGAACTTTTCATTTATATACATCTATTATTAAAGTATTCGATAAAAATGTCTTGGTGTTTTTATGTAGTATTTCTGGAGAAGACGTAATTTAATAGCTAAACCATTATTGAAAGAGGCAGGGATAGGATCGTTGTTGCTTGAAAATCCATTTTATGGTGAAAGAAAACCAAAAGATCAAATGTAAGGATATTTTGTGAGGTTTGTACTCTTCTGAAGATTCTTATTTGTTTATCAATCTTATTTATAATTAAGTGGTATTTGTTTTAGTCGGTCCAACTTACTCAATGTCTCAGATATTTTTATCATGGGCGGTTGTTTAATTATGGAATGTATTGTCTTACTCAATTGGTGTGAACAACAAGGATTTGGACCACTTGGCTTAACAGGTCTTTCGATGGGTGGGCATGTGAGTGAATTTTTTAAAATAACAGTTTGACTAAAAGAATTATGAATGACAATAGAATTTTTTTTTAATTTTCATTGTAGATGGCTTCATTAGCAGCAACTAATTGGCCGAAACCAATCCCCTTAATTCCTTGTTTATCCTGGTCAACGGCTTCTCCTGTTTTTACTCAAGGTGTTATGTCTGAATCAATAAATTGGCCACTTTTGCAGTCTCAATATTCATCTGATACAGCTTATCAGAATGACCTTGCCAAAATGGTGAAAATTATTGATCAAGATGTATGTTGTTTTGGTGTTTGCTTTTATGTTATCTTCACAATCGTTCCTACTCTTCAAGTCAATTCATTTTTTTTTTGTTTTAGGATGCTTTTTTGGCTGGTCAGCACTTTGCTCAACATTTTCCTGCAAGTATCAGTCGAATGCGTAAACTCAGGAACGATCTAAATGATATATCTACTACAAACAAGGACACGAATATTTTGAACCGTGCTAACTTTGATATCTCAGAACAATCAGATGCAGCTGAAAAAGCTGCTGCTAAAATGTTCCCTTTAAATCTTATCTCAAATCGATTCAAACCAGCTGAACCAGAGACTCTAGAAGGTATTCATGCCAGTGGTAATGATTAATTTATTTTTTTATTCTCAAAATAATATTTTTTAATTGCTATCTATTTTCATTAATTAATCAGCAAAAATTTGATTTCCAAGTAGATGTATGTCTCCTTCCTGTTGAAAAGAAAAATAATGATGTTAAACACCGAGAACATGAAGCACTACAGTTTATGCGTGGAATAATGGACGAGTGTACTCATCTGCGTAATTTTGAAGTTCCGGTTGATACTGAATTAATAATCGCTATTTGCGCCAAGGACGATGCTTACGTTCCTCGAGATAATTGCATGAGTCTGGAAAAAATTTGGCCTGGTGCCGAAATTCGTTATATTGATGCGGGCCATGTAAGTGCCTATTTACTCCATCAGAAATTATTCAGGTATGTTATTTAATAATTCCTTATGCTTTTGATCTACTTTATCTATACATATTCGATATTTATGAATATAAAGTCATTAATTAAAAATAGCAAGTCAGAGCAGTATACTCGACCATTGACCGCAAAATATTATTGTGTATTTATTTATTATTGAAATATTCACTGTTGTAGATCAACAATCGCTGAAGCATTTGAGAGATACACGAAAAAATATTCAAAGAGTTGACCTCCGGGATCATCTATTGATAATTAAACTGTGGAAAAAAATTATTTGATGAATTACACTATACTACACGATACACTATGTGATAATTGTTATGTATATCTTGAAAGTTTTTAATTCACACACTGATTTATTCCTAGTTGAGAGAAAGCATGAAGAATTATTGTAATGACAATAGTTCAAACGCAATAGGGTTTTAACTCTAGTACAAACAACAAATGACAAGTTATTGATAAAAGTTGATATATATATATAAATAAGATTATTATTTATATATAATATTAGTATATGTACATACAGCAAGCAATTTATTTTATAAATGCTCTATTTTTGACAAATTTAAATGTGAATCACTGAAAATCACTGTTAAAAATTTTATTCCAAACTGCTTATTGGGATAATTTTTATTATAAATTAAATTAAATAAATGAAAAATAAAAAATGATTCTATTTTCATTGATAGTACATATAAATTTAAAATAAAAAAAATTCGCGCTTTATATAATCGGGAAGATTAGTAGCGCTATCTAGGCAAAATGGCGATGAAAAATATCCGGCAAACCGGAAATTCAGCGAATCAGCTCACGCAGAGGCGAAGAGCCTGGCGTTGACCACATGCGTTCTTAGTGTGCTTTTTTGTTAAAAAAATCCTTGGAAATGCTCAATGTTTACGTAATACATGACTACGAGATAACTATCGAATAATAGTAAAAGGTGTCCAGTGAAAAGTTTGGTTAATAAATTGAGTTGACGTACTGTTTGTAATTTTATTGAACAACTTGAAAAATTTCTTGAAGATACTCAGACTATCTATCTGCTGTCTCTTCACATACTTTGTGATAATTATTAGAACGTATGTATTACAAAATTATTTAATTAACTTAAGAATGTCATTAAATATTAATTAAATTAATTATTAAGCATTTGTCATCGTGAATTTACGAAAAATTTATCAAAATACGCCGAGTCAGCATACACGTTGTAGATTCCAACCTCGTGTTCATCATATTGCAACTTTTCTAATTAACTCTGTTAAATTATTTATCAAATAAATTAATTTTTAATTGTTAAAAGTCGTTGAAAAAAAAATTCAAGGATTTATTGTCATATAAAATGTTGAAAAATCATTTGGCTAAATAATGAAAATCATTTATAAAAGGCAAATCATCGCGCAAGCGGTGTAATGCATGCTTTCTATTCTGAAAAGAGCCATTACTCTTTCATTACAGTTAAATTGGCCACCGCAAGGAGCAGCACTGAAGCACCGCACGACCGGGGACTTTTGCACGTTTGCCTGTAAAGTGAGTAATTATTGTGAAAAATCGTGTTAAAAAAACCTACAAACAGTCAAAACTTTTTACAGTTGTGAAGAGTGAAAATTACTGAACATTATAAGCTAAGAATAATCATACGTCGAATTATACAAAGTGAATATTCGTTAAAGAATAATTATCAAGTGTGACCATGCGTCCGGCCAGTAAAAGCATGGATTCTGGATTTTGAAGTGATGGAAAAGTAAAATAAAGACGCCGAATTGATGGTCAACATCGTGAATTCGAGGAGGCCAGGCGTCTTTGGTCGTGAAACAAACGTGGCCTTATTCCTCGATTAACAGAAAAACAAGCCGACAAATCCGAGTTCGAATACCTCGTGTTTTTGTCTCGGCAAGTGATCCAATATGGCTGCTAAGGTGGCTACCAGTACTCAGGGCAGTAGTGAAACACACGAGAGCCCTGGAGTTTCTTACGCCAGCGTGCTCAACCCAAAGAGTGCCGGCGAATCTCTTCAACGTGCTGCGAGTAAAGAGAATAATAAGGAAAATATTGGTCAAGTAGCACCAGTACCAATGAAAGAAAGATCAACATCGCAAAATCAGCAAAATACACCGCCAAGGGGTGGTAAATCTTATCAGAAAAGTGGTAGAAGATTCAACTCTTTTCCTCCGCCTAAAACCGAACGACGACCTTATCATGCTAATTCCAGTAATCATCAAGAACGAGATATTAAAGCTAGTCTAGAAGTTGCTCAGGAAAAAAATTCAGTTGATAATCGAGTAAATCAAGAAGAAAGATTGAATAACGGAGATATTGGAAGTGATGGTGAATTCCAGACAGTTGCTCCGAAATCTGCTAGAAGAAAAGAAAAACTTCAAGAAAAATACAGAGATCATCATTTACACAGAGAAAGGCACAAGCATCATGATAGACATCATCATCATCATCCACGAGGACAAAGCGCCGGAAGTAAAGAAAGACCACATAAAGATAGGCCTGACAGACACTCTGGAGAGCATCCACCAAGCAGAGAAGTTAGAGAAGAAAAGGATGATATCACTATGGAAGGTGATTCAGAACCAGCACCGCCAGTTAAATATGTTGAAGCTCCATTACCAGCAGTTAATCCGTGGACCAAAAGTAAAGTTTCTGCACCACCTGTGCCTAGTCCAGCTCCACCTGTATCTGCTCCAGCTCCAACTCCAGCTCCAGCTCCTGTTCCTATTGCTGTTCCTGCTCCACCACCAGCAGCTCCAGCGACACAAAACACTGAGAAAGAGAAACGAGTCTTACAGCCACAGCAACAAGGAAAGATTATTGGTAAGTTTTTATTAATTTAATTATTGATACTTACAATTATTGAATATTTGTCTGCAAAGTTGAATACTTTGGAGTTAATTTAATTCATCAGTTGGTTTAGCTGCAATAATCAGTACTGATAAGAAATAATCTTTGACGAATAACGAAATTCATGGATATCAATTAAAAGTTCAAGACTTATAAACTTATAACAAGATTGCCATTGGGAAAAATAATTTATTGCTAAGTTCTATCAGCTTCATTCAACTTTATTTAATAGTTAAAGTTAAATTTAAGCTCATACTGTTATGATGATTTTTTGATTACATTTTTTTTATTATCAGCCATTTATTTCATCAACGTTGTTGGATTTAAAAACAAGTAGATATGAGAATTATATAAAGCCAATTATCATTTTGTCTAGGATAATAATTATGAGAACAATTATTTGAAATTGAGAATAATGTTTGCTGTAAAAGGAAATGTAGTTGGCTGAGCAGAGTAATTTCGTCGTTCAAAATAAAACGATTTTTTCTACTACTTAAATACAACTGTCTCTCAACTGTGGTGATGAAATTATTCGATCAAAGGGCTCCTGTTGGTTCCAGTCATTTATATAGTGAATGCCTGAGTGGCATTTTTAGTTCGTCAATTCGACCCAAGGCGCCGCTTTCATTCGTCTCGTGTACAAAACCTACGTGGATATTTCTTTTTTCTTTGATCTTATTTTCTACTCCTTTCTTTAAATTATCATTTAACTGATAACAAGTAGCATTTTGGTTGGTTTTGTTATCTTACCTACAAGACTTATGTCAGAGAGATTATAAAAATAATAGAGGCGTTGAGTATGAATAGGATCCGGTTTGACCGGAAACAAAACCAACAGCCACGTGCGTTACTAAAATTTATGTCTGTAAATGTCCTAGTAAAGAATAAAAAAATTAAAAAAATTGGAAATTATACGACATTGGATAAAATTTATGTAATATCAACGAGCTGACACTTGGTTGTCATTTAGCAATAGAAAAAAAAAGATTTTTTCTGATGGCCTTTACCAAGCCCAAGCTCACGTGTCTGGTCAATCTTGTACCTAAAACTGGTTTTACACTCTCGTAACTGTTCTTTTTTTTTGCATTAAGCAAATATATAACTGTCAAGAATTAATAATTAATGCATTATTCTAATAAAAGATATTTACCCTTTAGATATGAGTAAGTATACTGAAAACAACTAGAATTTTATCGTAGCGGTAGACACGAATTTTCATCTATTTTAACAATAATAAACATGAACTGTTAGTCAAGTTCGACGTCATCACATTATTATTGGTAAAAAAAAAATGATAAGATAAGCCAAGTAAGAATTGAACATGATTCTATTGTGTTTCAATATATTCTTTAAATTTTTTCGTGCAGCAAGAGTTGAGTATTTTTATTTCTAAAATTGAATACAGAAAAATTATTTTTAAACTGAAATTCAATTCTTGAATGAAGGGATATTTCATTTATCTATGAAAAAAGTTTCAAGAAAATATAGAAAATAGAAAATTAACCAACAATGATTTTCATAAAAAAAATAAATAAACAAATATTTTTTGTTAAATTATAATGTATTTAATTTAATTGAGTTTTAATTGAGGAAGAAAAAAAACTTTTATTTTCGAGTTAAATTTAAATGAGTTATTTAAAAGTAAAGAGACTTTTCGGAATAAATTATTTATTTATAATAGAGTCAATTACCTCTGAAGAATTCGGTCTAAAACATCTGAACCAAATTTATTTAGTCAACATATTTACATAAGATGATATTTAACTCTACACTTACAATAAAGTATCGAGGTAGTTTTTTACTAAATTTAAGCTGTTTCTAAGCTATCCCAGAAAGATGAAGACACATGTTCTTCACGTTTACTTAACTCGTTAGCTTCCTATTTACTCGTCTCTAACTCACATTGCGTGTGAGGGTGTTTTTGCTGGTGTGCAATTTTCGGTCTACATCTGATCCCACTTCATTGAAGTTACGTAATATGTCGTGTATGTCATATAAACTGGAAACTTGATCATGTCGAGTCAATAACTACAATCTCTTTTAAGATATGAATTTTCTACATTTTCTAAATTCAACTCCTGCTGTACTTAATGATACAATTTTCTATAGTAATTCTTTCTGATGAAAAAAAATCAATAAATAGTAATCTTTTTTCTACGAACAAAACAATTTTTTATCAGCAAATTTAATCATAAAATTGAGATATTCAAAAATCTTTGGCATTTAATGAGTTGTTAAGTAAGATACTATTGTTTTTGACTTTTGGCACGTGACAAGGTTTATACAACGTCTTTTTAATGATATAAGTGTTGGAGAAAATACTAGAACGTGATGATGAAGGGTCGGAGCAGCTGTTTTCTTCCGTTAAATCTTGATCACTAAAACATACTTATGATTCGCAAAAGGGACTCTCTACATCCATCCTTATTCTCTTTTCTTTCTTTTTTTTTTCTCTCACTTTCTCGCAATCTCACTCTAGACTTTTCAAGCTCTCCGTGTGTCGAGGTCATCAGGGCAGCTGCTATGCTGCTAAACTGTTGTATGCTTCAATATACTGCCACTGCATCCACCTCCCTTTTCCGTTTACAATCAGCCTTCTAAATTCACCGCTCCTTCTACTTTCGAACATTCAGTTTACCTCGGAGTTTCTTTCGTCGTCATTCTATGACTATCTCTTAGACAATATTTATTTTGTTATTTTTCATCAATTCATTCTGTTACAGGGTGAAAAAAGTCAATTAAACTGTCAAGACAATTTAATTATTGTTGTCATAGAAGTTGAAAGGTTTCTAGCTTATTGCTAGAAGCAAGTGACATTTTAATAAAAAGTGCAGGTGAATAATTGGAGATTACAAATGTTTTAAATAAAATAAATAAATAATCTCTTCGTATTCAAGATGAAATTAAATGAACAAGAAGCCAGTGGGCACGAGAGTGAGTTACGATATTTAATATTATTTGGAAAAAAAAAATACAATTCAAGTGTAAATAGTCAGACGTACTGTTGCTATCTTGGCAATGAATATAGAGCACGTTTAAAATAAATCCCAGTTGTTCACACTCTATTATCCGACTATTACGTCGAATAAGAGAAACGTGGTTGTTTTCTATTATAAAAATAACAAGAAATGTCTTCATTACTCATTTAATTCATTTACCTGCCAAAAGTATTTGATAATTTCGAAATTTTCAATTTATCATTAAAACAAATGGAGTAAAATTGGAGATAAATCTACGGAAAGTTTGATTTTTAATCTACTATTTATTGATTGATTTCATGGGAAATTTTATTGACATAATTCCAGCACAATATTCTTGTATTGATAAGCCGATTGAATTAAACTCAAGCGTTCAAGGCCGCGTGTTTCAATCGTTTAAAAAAAAACAGAGAAGGTTAAAATTTCATTTCAATTAATTAAAAGAAAGTTAAATAAATTACTGTCCGTTTATTGACACTATTTAATCATAAATTATTGTTATTCACATAATCAATTTCTATTGTTATCTAAATTGAGAAAAGAATTTGTTGATGTTTTTATTTTTATCACATATGTTTTAATTTTTTGAAAAACAATAAATAATAAAAATTTTTATTTTTACTTAAATCAATTGACAATAATGAAAAGTTACTTTATACATAATTTTTCTGGATTTTATACTCAAATTTCGGAGAAAATTGAATTTTTCGATTTGTTTGTTAAGTCACATATGTTTGCTTATTGTCAGAATTAATTTTAAAACAAGAGTTAAATAATAACCAAAAAAGTTTTATAATCTATTTTATATTTAATATAATTGAATCAAATAATTAGTTGACAACATAATAATAATGTAAAATATTACTTTTGACTAAATAATAATAGTTTAAATTATTCTAATTGATAGTTAACTATATAACAATTTTTTAATTTTAGTTCGTTATCATCTTTAGAGTATTTCAATGATATTTATCCAAAAACTATATTCGTTTTACTTGGAAATCAATTGTTGGTATCATATTATACTTTGTTTGATCAATGATTAATCTATTCAAATTTTATGCTACGATAAAGCAGGTGTATTGTTTGCTTTATTATCATGAATATTATTTAGTATGTATAAACTTTAATTTCCATGTGTTAAGATATCAATGTTCATGAAACTATAATTTATAATAATAATAAAATGAAATATTTTCAACGTTTTTGACTTAATTACGTCAATTAAATAATTTTTCTTATAATTAGTACCGGTTTTAGATTTTAAGAACGTTTAAAAAAATAATTACTCGATAAGAATAGTAGCTATTTTTTTTTTTCCTGTTTCAAAATATTAAAAAAAAAGTTTTTTTACTTTTTTATCGTTCATCGTTATTTATTGTTACGTTCAGTACTTTGTAACAGTTCGTGCCACAACTATTAAATTTATTGAAGAAAGCATTTGTTTTTATTTAAACAACTTTCATGTTAATTTGTATGAAGCCTTGGAGTCAACAGCTTGCTCGAGAAAAATTAGTTATAAACAAAAGTATTGTTTAGCTCGTTAGTGAAATGCTTGGCAACTGTTCAATCAACGTTGGTGAGTCTCCGGGAGGGCCTTCGTCCTCGAATATTGGGACATGGATCACATGTTGAATATTAATAGATTGTTATGTCTTAGGGTTTTGATTATAAACTGATATAGATAATGATTTATTATTTCAGAAAATGGTCCGACAAATGGTGTTCAGCCAACTATTGTAAAGGCACCACGAGATAGAAGAAAATTCAATCAAAAGGTATTTTTTATTTCATTGTAATATGTCACTTTTACTAGATGACCTTTGTAAAAAAATTTTTAAGTTCAATCAGTTCTCTTAAAAATAACTTGCAACATATTTTTAATAGTCTTCATTAATATATTACTATGTAATCGATGAAGAAATTTATAAATATTTCAAAATGTACAGTTAAAAGCACTGTCAAAAAAATATTTGATTGTCATAAATAACAAATAATTTATTTGTTTTTAAGGTCATTGAAAGAGAATAATTAGAAATAGAGAGAAACTTGAGAATGATTTACATGTTCAAAGTGTCAATGAAGTGGAATATTTTAAAATTGAACTTTTAAAGATGTCGTAAGATACTTTAAATAATATGTGAAGTATTTAGAATGTTTTATTTGTTTAAAGAAAAAAATTATAATTTCAAAAATATATTTAAAATTTATTTTTTACCATAAAATATTATAATAAGTAATCAAAAACCAGTTGATAAGATAGATATTGAATTAATTTAATGCTTCTGACTTTTGTAATCATGTGAATCACTCAAATAAACTGGTTATTTTTTTAGGCGAGCGACTTTACGGATATTGGAGACTGGCCGTCTTTAGGAGCTCAAGGCGAGGTGAGTCCCTTTCGCTGTTACACCTTTCCCGCCACACATTTTTTTCTTTCTCTTTTTGTTCTTCCTCTCACTCTCTACATAACAGAAAAGAAAAAATCCTATTTCATCGCACTTTAACTGCTTCTTTGATATATGCAAAAACCTAGAGCCTGCATATTTGCAACAAACAACATGAATCTGCAGGTGTAGAATTTTTGCGACATAGATTGCAAGCGCAGCAATCTGTGGACGATAGTCGAATATCTGGCATCGTTCTTGGATTAAAAAGTGCGTTCGAACAATATGATCTATCATATAATATGCATTCCTCTACAGTGGCGTGTAATTTCCGCGGTTGCGGTAATGCCGATGTCTTTTGATTCAGAAGAAAACACCTGTTCCAACTGCAAAACAAAACGGCGTGGTGGAGCAGACGAGTTCAAAGGATGGCAGTTCCAGCAGTGTCGAGAGCAAGGGAAAAGAAAACAAGGAGCAGAATCATTGTCAGGAAGACAGTGATGAACACAATGATGGCAGTGACCGAAAGAAGAAAGGTAAACTATCAATTATTTTATTACATTATTCCTATTAATTTTGTGTTTGTGAAAAATTTATGGCAATGAGTTTGACATCGCATGATTTTTTTTTCTTCAATAGTAAATAAGCAAAAATGGGTGCCACTAGAAATCGACCTTGCCAAAAGCAGAGGAAAACGTGAACGTTCACCAAAGCATCATAATCATCGAGAGAGAAATGGTGAAGGTAAAAATCATTTCGTTGGTTAATAAGATTACATATTAAAAACGGTCGTTGAGAAATAACTGTTGAATGGAGATATGTATCCTTTTGCAAAAAAAAAATAATTAAATTTTTTTTAATTTGTTTGAAACTACTCAATCATATTATTTGACTTTTGATAAAAAGTAAATAATCTTTTGTCAAGCCTTGTGTTCCGCGTGCTTGTTTTTATTTATTATTTTATAATACCTTTATTTAAATTAATTTAGCTCAATGTATGCATTCCTATCGCAGTGATCTTCAGCAACGAAATATAAAATGCATATATTTTATTACGAAACCTTTGAAATGTTATTTGATTAATCGTAAAAGACTGTGTCCGGTGATTGTGTTGAAAAATTAATCCATTTGTTGTTCGATTAATTAGTTAAGGCTCATAAAATGGTTTGATATGCTTCGATTATTTCAGCTAAGTTCAAAAATAATTTCTACACCTTTTATTGGGTGGCATTTAACTACCTTAAGCTATTGGTTCGTTAATATATATTTATTATTTTTACTAAAATAATTATTTAATCATGAAGTTTAAAACAATGGAAAAATATTTGAATTAAAAATCTGATTGTTGATTTATCTCTTGCTGATCCCGGATGTATGGTATATAAAAGTGTTGAAAAGCATTTAAATTACGTTATAGAAAGGCAAGCCCTTTTTTTATGATTGATTTATTTTGACATGTAAATGTCAGTAAATAATGTTACGTATATTTAAAGTAGACTTGAAGTTGACTGTGTTTCAAAGTCAAGTTGCTTGAAATTATTTAAATAACTAATTTATTTAGAGTTCAAGTAGCAGTCTGAATTAATGCTACTTCAATGTCTTGTTAATTAGCACATGAGGAGACTGGGAAGGAGAAAGAGTATGAGAGGTCTGGATATGGCTACAGGAATAACCGTGGGTCCAGAAATTACAGAGGTCGGGGTGGCAGGGGGCGTAATTCCGGGCGAGGTGGTTATCGACATAGGCATGATGTTGAATACACTGAATACCCTGCGGATTACACACAGGTATTCTATGTTTCTAATTAACTTAACGTGTTTAGAGTAACATGAGAAAATATATACATATATAAATGATGACTAATGAGGAATCTCTCTGAAAATTTCCCATGAAGAATCAAAAATAGAACTGAAATAAAAAATATAATCTATATTTGGAAACTTTCCTTCTTTCACAAAAGTTTCATAAGGATATTGATTTTTATTTCAGATGAATAAGTTTGGTCATGCTGATCCTTCATATATGATGCCTTATATGGGAACTTTTTACTTCAATAATGCAAGTTATATTAACTTAGATACTACTACGCTCAAGGAATATATTAGGAAACAAATGTAAGTTATAATTATGTCAGATAATAAAACAATATAAAATTGAAAAGAAATATTAATAGAAGACTTTCTATGTTTGTTTTTTAGTGAGTACTATTTCAGTGAAGAAAATCTTTTAAGAGATTTTTTTATGCGACGTAAAATGGATGCGCAAGGTTTCCTTCCTATTTCATTAATTGCTTCATTTCATCGAGTTCAAGCTTTAACGACAGACGTTACGCTGGTGATTGAGTCGATTATAGAATCAGACAAGCTTGAAATGGTTGACTTGTTTAAGGTAAGCCTTTAATAGTTGAGAATTGATTAATTATCTGCACATTACTTACATTGAAGAAGTTCTATTGTGTTTAATACAATTGAACATTAAAAATGTGCTATAACATTGCGGGAATTCGCTAACGCCGATAGAGTTTCAAAGAAGCTCGAGGATTGGAGTTTGAAAGTAGATTCCGCTACAAAACTTTTAAAAAGTCACACAAATATTCCATTATATTAAAAATACGAAATTGTTTTGGTTATGAATTTATTTTTATTATCTACTTTTAGGTAAGGACTGTAAATGATCCATTAAAATGGCCAATTCCAGTCGATTCAGTGAGTCCTGTGTATTCCGATGCATCCGAAACTCCACACATGATTCAAGCTCCACTTGAATTGTGTACTCCAGTCATTGCTGCGACAGAATTTTGTCCAGCAGCAAGACCTTTAGCTACAATTCCAACTCCTCCTCTTCCTCGTGTCATACAATCTGTTATAAATCCTCCAGCTAGAGTCAGTGAGTCTGAAAGTATCTCATTATCAGTTGGTGAGACTTTGAATCCTGACGTACCCGAGTTTATTCCAGTTGTAATGGCTGGAACCAATGGAACTTTGGTTAATCATAATTCAAGTAGTATAGATGAAGTAGTAACTACTGAATTGAAGACTGAATCTGAACCAGAAAATAAAAGTGCTCCATTATCTACTGGTGCAGACACTAATTTGTCTGATACACCTACAGTACAAGTGAATGGGACAGTTGATTCGTCAGATAATGACGTCTGGAAAGAAGTTAAACGAAGAGTAAAACAACCACTAAGAGACAAAGCTGAAGATAAAATGAAAAGTGATCATCACAAGAAAGAAGAACGAGAGGAGTTGGATTTTCAGTTTGATGAGGAATTAGACACTCCGCCGCCGACAGGTCGTCATAATGCATTTTCTGAACTGTAAGTGATTATGATTAATTTTATTTTTTTTAGAAAACGTTACAGTGAATATAAACATAATTGATTAAAATTATCAAATGTTTTTGAAGGTCTGAAGATGATGATGATTATGAGCTTTCTGATCGAGATATTAATAAATTGCTCATTGTGACACAAAGTGCCAATATTCCGTCCAGAATTCCAAAACATGAAGGTCACGATCGCACTGGTGAATGGACGACAAGAGTTAAAATGACTCAAGCATTAGAACAAGCTATCAATGATGGGTTGTATTATTATGAAGAAGATTTATGGACTGAAGACGGCCAAAGAGTAAGATAATATTTTAAAAATTTCTTTTACATCATATTCTGTACTTAACTAAAGTAAATTTTCTATTTAGTATGGATCTTCATCATCTATCGGGAGTTATAAAACCGTAAATGTGATAAGTCAAGCAGCCTTCGAAAAAATGGCTCCTAAAGCTCCTCGAAAAGCAAATCCTGAGGTTCCGCCTCCACCACCTGCCACAGAAGAGTTGGAAATTTCACATTCGTTGCCAACGCAGGTCAATATAGTAAATTAAATTATTTAGTATCTTTTTTAATCAACGAGAATTTTTTTCAATAAATGATATTTTTGTGACATGTAGATTTCTAATGCTGATGACAGAAAAAGTCGTAGGAATGATAAACGATCTCATGAGAGATCTCGTACTGGACGTCGAAGAGGTGCAGTGCCACGATTTTTCGCAGTTGTTAAAGACAAACCTTCTGTGGATCCTAAGACACCACGTAAACGCAAGACTCGTCACAGTAATAATCCACCAGTTGAACACCATGTTGGTTGGATAATGGATGTCAGAGAACATAGACCTCGAACATATTCCACAGGGTAAGAAGTAACTTAAGTAAATTATTATTATTATTAAACAAGTTTATAAAACTTGATAATTTATTCAAACATTAATATTTTTCTTTTTAAATTTGAAAAAAACTTAAAAGAGACTTAACGTTTTTGAAGAAAACTTTTCTGAGATCTATTTATATTAAATTTGATAATGAAATCAATGTTTTAAAAATTTTTGTAACTTTACAGAAGTAGTACAGGCACAAGCCCTAATGAAGGATTACCTGCAAGTTATGGAAGTCAGCCCCAGTCACTGCCAACCTTCCAACATCCCAGTCATGCAATGCTTAAAGAGAATGGCTTTACACAACAAGTCTATCATAAATACCATTCAAGATGCTTGAAAGGTAAAATTGGTTAAAATTTACTTCAATACTAAAATATAATTTTAATATGATGAATCTATTTTTTTTGTCTTCTTTTCCCGACTGAAGCTAATGCTGAGAAAATAAGATCTGAAGTTTTTCTAAAAATAATTTTTATTTTTAAAGTTTTTAAGAATAGTCTTTTTAAAATGAACTTCTTCTTTTTTCAGAACGAGCAAGATTAGGAATTGGACAATCTCAAGAAATGAATACACTCTTCCGTTTTTGGTCATTTTTCTTACGTGAAAACTTTAATCGTAAAATGTATGAGGAGTTCAAAACTATTGCGAAGGAAGATGCTGCGGAAGGATATCGTTATGGACTTGAGTGTTTATTCCGATACTATAGTTATGGTCTGGAAAAGAAATTCAGGCCAAGTCTCTATAAAGACTTTCAAATGGAAACAATTACCGATTATGAGAGTGGTAATTTCTTATTTTTAAAAAAAAAAAAAACTTTAATAATACTTTTACTAAATACTAATAACTTATTTTAATTTTTATTTACAGGTCAATTATATGGACTGGAAAAGTTCTGGGCCTTCTTAAAGTATTACGAACATTCGGACAAATTGTGTGTTGATCCAAAGCTGCAGGAGTATCTGTCGAATTTTAAGAGCATCGAAGACTTTCGAGTCGTCGAGGTAGGCATGGATGGACCTTAAAAAAATCTTCTGGATGAAGCGTCGAGAAAGCATCTTCTCGTCATAATTTTTTAATATTCATCATGCAACGGTTTTTTTTTTTTTCTGCGCTTAAACAGCCCCAGATAAATGAGACGTCCCAGGGTGGTGGTAATTTCCGTACAGCAACGAAACATAACAATCATCGTAATCGGAGTGTATCTGAAAGTGGCAGAGATGCTAACGCATCACCTAGAAGTCGAGTTAGAAGATTGTCAGGAGGTTCCAGCACAGTTACACTGCCATCTTCTAATGCCGGAAAGACAGCTCCATTGCAAAAAAAGATGTCGGGTTCTGTTAATTTAAGTCAATATAGTAATCGTTCTGGTTCTTTTGGGTCTGGCAGATTGGGACATTACAACTCCAAACGTCGAAATGATTCATCATCTAGTAGTCAGCCAAATCTCAACAAGCAACAGTCAGAAATAAGAAATAATTTTATCGGTTTTTCAAAAAAGATTCCTCCCCAGAAGTGATAATGAGGCGACTGAGTGAGTATGTGTTCTGTAAAATTGTTATAAAAGATAATAAGATTCTGATCATATACAGTAGTTTTCATAACAATAATATCGGAAATTTTGTCGCAGCTTCCTCAAGTCAAGATATATTTATATTTTTATTATAACTTGAGGACTATTTATGGCACAAATAAATAGGAAGAAGAAAGATAAAATCTTAAGAGTGTGCCTAGCTGTCGCTTACAATGAATTTATTGCGTTTATATACTAAACATAGCTTTGAATAGGTTGTTTTAGGATTCAAAAATCATATAAAGTAAAATGATTTTTGAAAGTGCGACAGTAAATTTTTTTATTCGTAATGTTAACAGACGTACTCGAAGAAAAAGATAGGAAATGAGGGAAATTTTTAGAATTTTAACAATTATTTTGCATAAAAGAGGTGGTACAGAAACAGGTGTTATAAATTGAATCATTTCAATTGTAAATTTTGTTTATTCAATTGTGCATTAAGACAATACATTATTTTTAATGAAAATTTAAAAGAAAAAAATACCAAATCAATTTCTAGCAGGTCTATGGGGAGTTTTACTGGTTAAATTTTCATTATTTCCAAGTCTTCCATCTTTAACAATTTCTACGGTGTCATAAATGTTTTCATTTTAATCTATTTATCCAGTGAAATTTCGTAAAGAAAAACAAAAAGAAATTTGATTATATAATTATTTTATTGCATATTTAAAAATAATTTTCAACAAAATGAAATGATCAGAGGTAAGAGAAATGAGTAGTAATATCAAAATTAATGTGAAACCTCTATACACATTGTCCGATAATACGATTATCAATGAATTATAATCGCTTGATGGAAAAGTAGCGCAACTGTCATTGCCCGGTGCACAATAATTATTATTTCTAATTATATTATATTTACTATTACGCAGTAGTTTATAATCTAATTACTTCCTATGAAGAGTAGAATTAGATTGATAAAATGAAAAAGAAAAAAAATACAAAATATTAAAAGAATATTATCATCACTACCATTTATATAAGAACTAAATACACGGAATAATGATTAAATTTTATTAATTAAAAATTAAGGAATAATGCTGAATTATTATAAACTGCTAATATTAAAAAAAAAATATTTTAGCTTTTATAATAAATATACATAGAGCACTTAATCTAAACTCAATGGTATAAAAGTGATAAGCAATAAATACAAATCGCCTTATGGCTGTAGTATATTTTTTAAGCAAAAATAACATCACGAAAAATAAAATGGGAGACGAAGAAGACGGTAGTAATAACAATAAAAATGTTGAATAACGATAAATAACCATAATAAGCTTAATAATGATGAGAGTGATGACGTTGACGATGATAATAATATTTATAACAAAAATATTATAATATTAATAATGATAGTAATAGTAACATTGAATACGTCAAGTAAGTGTATCATTGATGATAAAATTCGATTTAATTTTTGTCACTCATCCATTGAATTGTTTTTTTATTGACAGACTAGTCATGCACTGGGCCACCTGCGGTTTCTGCTTATTCTTTTAGCAAATATATATTCGATATCGTAAAAATGCCTACATTGGTCATAAGATAATTGGTAACTATTTGTGACTAACAGTTTTTTAATCGTCTCCCACGGAATTTAAAAAATGAGAGCTCATTATTCTCTTCCTCGATTATTATTATTATTCTAAATTTGAGGATATTCCATAACTGAGTAAAAAGTAAATATATATTTAGGATATCAATTTGGAGCTAAATGAGTATTTGCTTTTGTCACCTCCCAAGCGAGTTCTCGTGAATATAAAAACGACATATATATTATGATGATAAGTAAATGAGTTAGAAACAATATTAATAGTTGATAATGATAGTAGTTATAATTAATAAGTAATAATCATGATTGAATATAGGTATTAAGAATCTTAAAAAAATAATAATATGATAATAAGAATGAAAATAATAACGATATTAATATCGATAATAATATTTACCATACATCATTGATTTTGTACATTACAAAATGCGTATTATAAATGCGAATGCTAAACAAAATAGTACTATCGAATAATAATTTGTTGGCTTTTTAAATTAAATAAATATATGCAATTATAGATAGCTCAATCACTGCGTGTCCATTGACTCAGACTGCAATTCTGTTTACCTATTGAAAATAACAGTAATATTCACGTTTATTCGTTCTAATTAAAAAGATAAAATTTTTAATTATACATTCATGTCAGCTCAAAATATACAATCAAATTTTTGAAAGCAGTGATTTTTTTCAATATTTGTATTATTTTTTCGAATTTTAAATTCAATATAGTAGCGATTATTATCGGTTAAATTCTTAACTAATTTTGTGTTCATATTGTAGAAAAAAAAAAAAAAACAAAACTTGAAGTGGTGAAAACAATATTCGGAAAAAAAAACTTATTAGAAACGAAAAAAAAAATAATGGAAACAATCGCTCCTCAACCATCACTGGCTGTGTGTCATTTTTCTTCAATACTTTATACTACATTTATCGTTTTTAAAATATTTCGATAATAATCATAACGATGAAATAAGCACGAATATTATTCTGAAAAATGTGAAAAAAATACAATATAAATATTTTTTAAGTTCGATAAATCTTAAAGGGTAGTTTATTAAATTTTTAAGGAGTTCGTTTTATTATGGTTTACGTCTATTGTGATGAAGTATGTCTATATAACTGACATAAATATGCCTCGTATCGTTAACAATTAATAACCAAGTAATTTTAATAATTGAAAAAAAAAAAAAAATTTCCATATCGATTGAAGAATTTGTGAAAGTGATTGGAAACGATCTCCAAAAAACAAAAAAAAATAATAATAATAATAATATGCCTTACGGCAAAAATTCTGACCTTGTAAAAATATAAATAATAGATTATGCGTATACTTACTATTGTTACTTATACTTTATACATTTATAATTATTTAATTGTAAGGCTTACTATAGATATAATGGGTGGGGTTAAGTGTCGATGACAACGACAAATATGTGTAAAAAAAAAAAAAAATGAGAATTACATATACATATATATACTCATAATAAATGTAATAATACGCACGAATTATTGAGGGGAAGAAAAGTTATCTCAAATTTGAGAATTTAATTTCGCACAACCTGTAGAAATGTACAATTATTTAATTTTCGACAAACTTTTTTTGTTTTATGTATAAAAAATTGTTTTCTTTATTTCTTTTATGTTGAAAGACTAATCTAGTGCATATATGAGTTTTTTTATTTACAATCCAATAATGAACTCTTCGAACTGACTTCCGATAATATCGATGAGTTGGTTTAAATTAAAAAATGAATGAAAAGTCGTAACGATTTAAAAAAACAAATCGAATCAATTACAAAGTAATTTAGAAGACAAAATCGAGTCAACTGTAAGTCTACAATGAAAGATTTATTCAACGAAATTATTCTTCATTTATATAAAATTGTATTTCCGTCTTGAAATGAATGTGAGTAACTAATTTTATTGTTCGTACTAAATATTACAGTGCCTTTGATAAAAATACATTTAGCCTATTTTATACGACTCGATTTGTCTTTCTTATGGAATATATTTTATTAAATTCCCTTCATATTAATTGTATAATCATTCATAATCCACATGTCTTTAATTCTTCCTAACAATAGCTTTTTCAATAAAAAAAAACAATTAAAAATAATAAAACTGACAAATAGAAAAAAAAGTACTAGCATAATCGCATTATATAATTATTGTTACAGTGCGTTAATAACTAAAGACTCTCATGTCTGCCATGTAAATATTAAAGAAAAAAAATACTATATATAATCAGATATATCTTTAAAGTAGACTATTAAGTTAAAAATGGATTTAAAAAAAAAAATTGGCATAATTACAGTGATTGCGGACAACGTAGATATTGTATAGACATTAAAAAGTGAAAATGTATCGCACGTGTGTCTGATTTTTGAGTCGTGTATGCATACTTTGGAGTATTGTAATGTTTGTGAATATATAAAATAAAAAAACCAAAAAAACCAGTAAACTTTGGAGAAAGATTTATTTTTCTTAGATATATCCTTCAGACCAACAAATCCCTTTATTGACTATTTCTCAAAGTTGCAGCTTTTCGCAGTACCAATAAATTTTGCTGTAACCGAGTTAAGTCGTAACATAGCTGTCGAGCTCTGAGGAAAAGAAAATTAAATAAATATTGTAGCAAAAATGATTGAGTGTAATATAAAAGAAAAAAATTTAAACAGAGAAAATGCTATGAGGGTAAGAGAAGAAGAGGTGTGTAGATATGTAGTATATTCAACATCTAGGTTGCTTCTGTTGCGTCTTTAGTGTTTCTATGTTTTATGATTATGACTGCCGTTATATTGCCACATGGCCCACGTTAGTTCCGGCCTCTACGAATTACGTTATGTTGCGAATTTTCTAGTTCTCTGTCATTAACTTTATTAACATTACATTTGAAAGCTTTGAATTTTTTCTTCAGGGTTGATAACCTTTTAACTCTATCTAATGATTCATATCGAATCCTAAAAAAATTTTATTAGCATATAATTATCTTAAGTTGTCAGAAAGATTGATTTTAATTATTAAAAAAAAAATTACTCTTAAATTTCTTTCATTAGAATATTTAGATCAGTAGATCATAAGAATTAATTTTTATTTACTGTGAATTTAATAAGTTATTTTATTTTAAGAATAATAAGAGGTTTAAGTAGTTCATCCAAATATGTAAAATTGGGTTACGATAAATATCAGGTACTCATTGAGTCAACAAAAATTAGATAACAAATTGAAACTTAATTTTTAATATTTTTAGACCAAGTAAATAAAATACTACTTGAATGTATACATTTTTTTATCAATTATCAGTTGTATTTGTAGAACATGAGAAGATTTAGTTAATGTTGATACTATGAACAATATAATAATTTAACATTTTTCATTCATACAAATATAAATATGCATTTTTATTTCTTCTCATCAATAAATGATCTAATCTATGTCTTAAAATTACAGATAATACATATATCCATAATTAATACACAAGAAGTGATAAATGAAAGGCTAATAGTTTTTTACAAGCCGAAATCGATGTCCAAGGGGTGATGAAGGATTGAGAGTTAAATACCGACCAAGACGAGGTGCGAATGGTGATGGAAATGGAGGTTGTGAGGAATGACGATGTTGTTCAGCATCAAGAAAACTGTCAACCAAATGAGGTAGATTATCACGATCGAGCTTGTAATTTTTTTGCTGTAAGTTGTCTCCTAATTCACGACCAAGTCGTGGTGTAAATTGCGTTGAATGTCTTTTATCTCCTGAGCCTTCAAATAAATCCAATTTATTATTAAATTATTAGTAATATTATTGATTAAAAAAATTTTTTACCCTGATAAGCAATCAAAGCCCATGGTCCAGAGTTAATAGCATTAGCTATGGCATTTATTTCTTCTTCATCAGTCTCAAAAGCTGGACCAGATCTTCGACGACGTCCAAGCCTTGGTCCAAACCACATGGATCCAGTTATGCCATTTCCAGAACGGTCTTGACAATTGGACCCAATACATAGTTCGTTATCTAAGCCGTGAGCTAATAATAAAAAGGTATCCACTTAAGTAATATGTTTGATGTTAAAGTGTTGTCTATTGATGGCTCAGATATGATAATATGCATACCGTAATCACCGGATGCTAAGCCAATTAAAACTGCCAGAAAAAGACTTGCCAAGACACCAGCACAGAGATTCAACTCTTTTAACTGAAACATTCTTGTCTCTTCTCACAGTTGTTTCCCAACAAGTGGTACAGACTCGAGAGAGACTCTCAGGTTTTATAGTAGCTCACAGGGATGAGGGGTAAAGGGCAACGTTATAAAACACGTGCGAAATCCCCGAGGTTATCTACGTTCTTTCACTATGGTGAATTTTACATTTGTGTTTGTTGGACAATTCTATAGAAAAAAGTAGAACAGGTACATGTACAATCCAACATTGTATTAGAATCACCACCCGTGTGCAACAATCTCGACAAGCTGGTGATTTGTCTCCATTTTATTGAGACTTCCAGTCGCCCATACTCGATGAGTCCCGGAGGTGTTTGATAAATTAAATGTACTGGAAAAGTCGGAAATTTCTCCCACGCTTGAGAAAGAAAAACCGAGAGAGTATTTCATGAAAAAAATTGAATTAAATGTTGAATAAGTTTTTTTGGCAATGAATCCTATTCAATCTATCATAGCAAATAATGCTTAGATGATTTTAAAAAATTCTCTAACGTTTCTAAGCGTTTTAATTGCGTAGTAAGTAACATCTGGAGTTGATGTAAATTGAATAGAATAGAATTATCAAATTAATTTGATTGAATACAGTAAATAGAAATTCAAATGAGTCATTTTTATTTTTTTATGATTTATAATTTTTATTAAACTGTTAATATTTTTATTGATGAAAATTTATTACAGAATTTTGATGTATTAATAAATAAGCAAGACCTTAAAATGATCAAGAATTTAAAAATTCTATTTTTGCCACGGTAATTTCTTGAGTATTACAAAAGTCAAGCAAGTACGTGAGTTTTTTCTTCCTTGCCAAGCTCTACCCCATACCGTGTAATAGATGGAGATAGGGATGTCGCGCCCCCGTGAACTCGCCTTCGACAATCAGTCGAGAGTTAAACCTGTCAATCGTGGGATTTAATTTGAGGATCAACTCTAAGAATCTTCTGAACATCAATGAAGCGTGTTTGACACCATAAAATACCTTACACAGTATTGGTGTTATATTTGATAAGGTAATAAAAAAAATTATCTCTGTAATTTATTCACATTCTTGATGATTAAGAATATGTATCATTATATTTTTCAATGAAATTCTGTTGAAAGAGATGAGTATTTAATTCAAAATAACATCCACCTCACCATTAGTGCGAATGAAATGATCCAATAATAACTCTCTATAAAGATAAAAATGATGATATATGTACATTCCCTAGGATTTTATTTATGTCGACTACTTGAAATTCCAATTAGTCATCTAACTGATATCCTAGTGTATCTGGAAGAAACGCCTCCTCTCGGATTAATCGATTTAATTCATTTTTTAATGAGACCCAAAAGCCAATGTAAACGTTCAATGCCCAACTACAAAAATAAACTACGTCTTTTATTTTTATCTGTTGGGTTTACATTGAGTACGTGCTGAGACAATAAATATATAATTAAATATATTATATGACTAATACGTGACAATTTATGATAAAAACAAATGCTTCATCTTGATGATTTTTTAAACATCAGCCTTCTAAATGTCTTACTCAGAATCAATTTTAGTTTTACAAGTTTTTTGTTTGAGAGCTAAGTGATTTCTTGGTGGTCTTACTGAAAGGAACAGTCCTAATTTTCTGGTTTGGAATGACGGCTTAATCGACAACAGATTGCAGACCATGACCATCATTTAGATACATCAAGAGACATCAATAAATTTGCACCAAGATTGAGCAATTGTCATGTAGAGTTGAAGGGTGATGGTGATATTGATTCATTTATTCAGTACTTGTCTAACCGCAATAGAATAATTCCTTCCCTAAGGACTTGACACTGGGCGAGTTTATGTCATCAGGGGTAACTTTCATAATTGAATTATATTTTTGATCTTTGTTATTCAAGCATCTTTTGATTATTATACTCCATTATTGAGTATTATTGAGCAATGCTTTCAGCTAATTTAATCATGAATTCTAGTCGAACATAAATATTGATAAATGATTCAATTTATGAACTGAGATGATAAAATAATGTTGGATGAAGCTTTTAAGTAATAAACAAAGTAAAATATGTTGGTAATTAATTTTTTAAAAGACTTGATTGATAAATTATTTATTTGAATAATATAGGAATTTTTGGAGTTAATTAAATCAATTTGTTTTCAATTGAAAACTAAATCTTACAACTCATCAGATCATAGTTTCTTCACTTCCTTCAGTAGCAACTAAGAATAACGCAAGGCTCTGACAATGTTTACCCGGATTTAAAGCCTTGGTGGAAGGTGTTCTGGGCTGCATCAAGACGAGAGTTTATTGAGTAGTTACGCAGCTATACTAATACATCTTCACTTTCTTTTCCACTATTTTCAGTAGATAAAAGTGAAGAATCTATATCCTTTTTTTCATTCTTTTCTTAATTTAAAATTTTCATTCCGTTTCAAATGTATTTATTTTATTTCTTTACCAATAATTAATTAGCTGGTGTTTATTTATGCACGATTACATGTGATGGTCAATTAGTCATTGACGGAAATGACTTTTAGAGTACTTACACCATATCCTTATCTATGTAGAAATTTGATCCAACTCCAACGTGCAGTCTCGACAGACTTTTGAGTTATGTGGCTCCTGGTGCCACTCTGGGGCCACTGACCAAAGAATCGTCTGCTCTTCAAACTCTGTTTTAATCTAGACTTGATCCCTTTGGACTTGACTATCTTATGAGATTATTAATAAAAAAAATTTTATTACTTCTTATAAGAAATTAATTAGCACATATTTATGATAACATAAAAAATTGAAACACTTATCGAATTAGTTATTAATTGGTTAGTTTGAATTTAAAAAAAAAGCACTTCTAAAAAAAATAGAGAAAATCTGGAGTAATAATCAATTTCTTTGTTTTTTTTAAATACCAAAAATATTTAATATTATTTTTTAAAAGATAAATAACCCTCGTGGGAATGAAAACAAATGTGGAATTTATAAAGTCGGGTCCTTGAACTATTATCAAAGAGTTTTTTTATCAGGTGAAAAGTTTTTTAAATAAAGAAGAGATTCCTTAATGAGTATATTTATATAAAAACAAGGGATCTTTTGTTTTAAGATCAAGTTTTTACTGAGAAACCCACTAAAGTATCATTTACACTTCTCACTTTGAATTAGACTGAGAAAATGATCTTTAAGTGTTTAAAAAAATAATTTTTTTCTCACAAGATTAAGTGATTTTTCCATTTTATTTTTTGTCTTCAACTTTGACTGATCTTTATACAAAACTTTACAAACTTATTCATTAAAGTTTAAGCCTGAAATTGCAACGATAAAAAATTAGTAATAAACTCCAAATGTTTTTTAAATAAAAATAGCTAATTATTGATTGCAATTGCAGGTAATATTTGCAGTCTAAAATACTCTTTGGTGAATGCTTAAAATAATTAGTAACAATTTTTTAAGTTTCAAACAAAAATAATTAATGAGTTATCAGAATTGCTTTAACATTAATATTAATTATAATAAGACACTCTATTTACACATATAAATCTTTTAACTACTAGTACACCGAATAAAAACTATTTTATAATAATATCAATTATTTACAGACGATTGGGCTTATATATTTTTTACATCAGAGTTTTTTAGCGGATAATCTGTGGATTAAAGCTTCAGCTCTCTTGAAAATTACATTTTTTTTATCTCTAATGAAAAGATTCTATTATGACTGACCAACTGATAGAGACGCCGACGTTGTGGTTGATGAAGATTCTTGTTTTAATTCTTGTGCCCACATGTGCTGTGGCCATCCAGTTCTTCCCTTGCTCTTTGCAGTCTCCTCGTGGAAATTACTGAGACTCTGACATGCTTCATTCTGCAATCCAAACATTAAAAAACTTACTAATCTAAACATTGTTAAGATCAAAAACAACCTGGGATTAAATCAAAAAAAATATTCATATTATGTTCTTCAATAACTCTAATAAAGTTTGTTATAACAATGAACGGTTACAGTAAATTATAAAATAAATACTATATTTTAATTGTCATAAAATAACTTATAAGTTTTATTTATGACAATTAATTTTATATTAATGAAAATCAAGATAATTTACTTACAGTGTTTGATTGAGTTTTAGATCTTCTCCCATGAGATAAAATTTCTGCCCGGAACATTTGTGGTTCTTCCCCTTCTTCACTTTCCAAAACTGCCATGAGGTAACCAATGTATGAAGCAGCCAATCTGAGGGTTTTAATTTTCGATAATTTCGTATCCGCCGGAACATTGGGAATGCAATCTCTAAGATCAGCAAAAGCATTGTTGATGCTCTGAGTACGTCTTCGTTCTTTTTTATTAGCAGTATTCCTTCTCTTTGGCCTGACAACTAAGGAAGAACCATCACGATTGACAGAGTTCAAATGGTGGTGAAGATTCAATTGAAGATGAGCAGGAGAATTGTTAGTCGTCATAATATTGACTTGATGTCGAGAAGCAGACATGGAGTAGTCATTTTGGAGCCTGAGATCTGTTTCCTGATTGGGACTTTGGTGAGTGGTTGGAGGTTGTTGTTGATACTGTTGAGGATAGTGAAGACCAGAAGAATATTGCTGCTGAGGTATAGAGTGAGTGTAGTGCTGAATAGACGATCCATAAATTGAATCCTGGACTCCAAGTTCTTCGATTACTAATGGTGGTGTTGATGCTGCTGGACTTCCTGCTCCAGAACTTCCTCCGGAGATTCCTGAGTCTGCTCCACAATAAGTTGACTGGCTGTCAGCATCAGGAATGCCCAAGGTACCTAAATCAAAAGCAAACACCATTGATCAAGTTCCGCCTAATTTTAACAAATTCTCAAAACAATTTGCCTTGTTCATGATAAAAATGTTTTATACATTATTAACAATTATTGATAAAAAATATTTACCATAAGGAAGTTGTGTGACGTAGTCATAGGGTTGATGCCATTGTGGATAATAATCCGCTTGAGCTTCATATCCCCCCAACATTGTTTATAAAAAAAAAGAAAAGTTTGAATTTAAATGAACAAATATCACTAATAATTAAACCAATTGTCACTAGCACTTATTTATTCACTAAAAAGCTCACTGCAAAATGATAATAAGCAAGAGAAATGGTTGAAAAAAATAAGAACTGGCGAACTGACAATCTTTTAGACGCGTGCGCGATTGAAGATGCTGTCGAAGTAACACTGATCCAGCACGCATTGGCATCACCATACTAACGATCAGAGGGAGAAAACTATGGGTATGAATTCGTAGTCTTGGGGATGCTGTCTAGGCTAAGTTGCAAGTGGGAAGAGCCTAATGTTGAACGCAAGCTCCGCCTGTAGGCGGAGTTTCATGCACCTACGCGCTTCAAGAACTTCTGAATGTTGGTACAATTCAATTAGCAAATTGATCCAAACTTGGAGTGGGAAATGATTTAAGGTTTCAGGAGAACATTCGATTTGTGGGTATGTATCAGCGATTTGATCTCTTGGATTTTTGAAGTTGTTAATTTACTTTATTTTTATTCATTTTGAATGTTTGTGATAATGTAAATCATTTCCAAGTGATTCAATATAAATTGAAAGTGTTCTTAATAATTATATTATAATTTAACTATTAAGTTGTTCAAGAAAACTTAGTTTTTATCTTGATAAATTGAATTTTGAATAATAGGAAAGGAAACTTCCGGCGCTAAAATCTTTTGGTAAAAAAATCTACACTTCCGTGGCTGGCGCCGACCTCCCTTGAGGATGAATGGGACGTAAAAAGGGCGAAAACACGCATCTTGACCGTAATAAAATGTAACCCGAATCCCTTTAAAATAATACTGAGGATATATTAGCTGAGAAAATGCCTTTGAAATTACATACGTTTCGGTGATTTAGGACAATGATATGTTGGTTGTAAAACTGCATCTTCAAGAATTTCCTCAACTTTGTCTAGTACTTATCAAGTCTGTCGCACATGTGACAGCTATTTGATTGTGCTTGGAATCTTCTGTTGGGCCTGAAAAGTTATAAAAAAATTGAACAAGTAAACTCAACGATATTTTAAAAATAAATACATCAGATGTATGTTTGAACTTGACTATCGAGGATAAATTTCCTGGTCAAGTGGATGCGTGAGAATTTTTCTTAAATACAGACAGTATTAACAGTTTAATTTTTCAAGTACTTACTCTTTAAAATCCGTGTGAAAATTTATTTAACATTGTAATAAATTTTGTTGAAAGAATAAGTGGTTAAAGTATGATAACGTTGTCATCAAGAGTCCTCCAATGGTTTCTTTTTTTTCAAGGATGTCCTGAAACACTTGGAGCTGAAAAAGTATATTTGAAAAGTAGTTTTAGATGGATCAATAATTCACTCTTATCATTCTGATTGATTAAAGTGTAATTAAATGCTAAAGATATATTAATCACTTCACAATTGATAATAAATAAAATATTGGAAAAAAATATCTACAACTTATTGGATCAAATTTCATGTAAAGAATCTTCTGTCAGTATGTAATAAACGCCCACCATGACGTCGACAACTGTGACGAAAGGAAGAGTAAGTATTTTAGAAATATGACACATGTTAAGGATTCAACAATAATAAAATAGTATCCAACAAAACCATATTTTTTACTCCAAATATTTTTACCTCTTTGCATAAAATAATATGTTTTTTTGATCATAAATCAAACTTTTCTTGACTTTCAATAACTTTTTGTTGAACAGTCAAGTAGAGACTTAGAAAGACATTGTCACACGTTTCTAGTGAGTTATTTTACTGACAGTAATATGTCGCGACATGTAGAAGCGTTGTTTTTGCTATGGTCATCCACTCAAGCGAGTCTTGGGGGGCGCAAGCCTGGGAAAGAGGCAGATAAAACCACTCCAGCAACCAAGAAGTTCATTTAAAAAACTCTCAAATAAATATACAAGAACTCTATATAGTGACGTTGGATATAACATTCAATTTAACTTTCTTTCTTGATTTATTACGCGAATTAAGAAAACTTTGAATTGTTTGTTCTAGATATGTATCCATCAACTTCAACAGTATTAATAATTATTATTAACATGTCACAGGTTTCCAACAACTGGATCAAGTGATAGAAATGAATGAAAAAAACTTGCTTCAATTACAAATATTTGAATATCTAGATAAAATGGTGAAGTGTTGGATAATAAAGTAGAAGAAAAAAAAATAGAAAATACGGAAATGATAATTTTTCCTGTTTGCCAAATTAAGGGTCAATTGAATGGTTAAAAAAAATTTTGACAGTCTCCAGACTATTTATGGACTGGTAGAAGACGATTCAACGTGTGATTTTTAAATAGACAACGAAATTTATATCTTATTTACACACTAAAATTTTCGGCGAGATGTTATGTCAAAGCACTTCCCTCAATGTTTCTCAGTAAATCAATAAATATGTGAAAAAAATTTTTTACAATCTTTCCACGTTTGTAGGGATTCATTGATGACTTCATAGTCAAAGTTTAATGAATGAAGGAACGTAGGAAAAGAGTAATATACAGAAAGTAACACGTGCACGAGTGATATGTTTAGGTTTTTTAGGTTGACAAAGTCCACAGGATTTTTAAGGCTAAAGATGAAGGAGTAGAACTTAAAAGATTATCTACAGTGAATAAAGAGACGTGTGCCACCCACACTCATTCTAAGCATCACCTGCTATAACAACTTCCTTCCTGGGCTTCTGCTATGACAAACTATCTAATAACACGTTCTAGAGCTTCAAGTGGAGGAAGTCAACTCTTTAGTAACCACGCCAAATAAGTTTTCAGTTAATGGATAGAAATTATTAAATGACAAAAACATCTATTGGAGTTTTTGATGTGGCCTGACATGATTTTTTGCAAAAAATCCAGATAAATTCATGTTATGACTTTGACGTTCGCTTTGACGTTCAATATATGTTGTATATTGCTACTCGGTAACGCAATAAACTATATTTAGGTGGCGGTATACGATGTACGAAGCATGATTTGATATCGTTTAAAACACCACATGGCCCCGAAGAAGAAGATACTCCTTCCTCAAATCATTTTCTTTTTCATTTCAATAATAAGTAAATTTATCATTGAATTGTAAGTATAATTTTTTCCAATAACTCTCCTTCAAACAAATACCTAACCTAACAAATTAATTGATTATTTTAGTAATCACACACTATAGCTTGGTAATTTTTTCATTAAAACTTTTCTAATACTGAATAATTTTTTTAATTAAGTAGGCCAATTCCTTCATCCTCACTCGCATGAGAGTCATTGCAGACGTAAACAGAAGGTATAGAGACCTCGATGGTGATGTTCTGCGATATATCGGCAACAGCTACTGAGATTTATTTATTTTTTCATCGTCGATGACACGTGTGGTCTCTTTTTTCATCATCCTTCATCCTTTCTACACTACAATTTACAAATTTTCATTCACATAATTCAAGAATTGATCATACAAGAGCACAAGCAGAGGACATTAAAACAAGTGAGCTAAAATGAATAAATATCTTTTAAAAATATTAATTATTGTGTTGAATAAAAAAATTATTTTTTATAGCACGACCAAGTGGTGGATGAAAAATTGGTTGGAAATCAAAAAGAGGTGTCTGGTTTAGATCGTTGAGAGTGATTACGGGAGTTACCCTTCTTCGTATTAGCTCGAGTATCCACCCTCAAATTATAGACCAGCCCCTTTCTCTTCCTCCAATGCTAGCAGGCGCACTTTGGTACTTCCTCTTTTTCCCTTTCATCTTTATCGTCTTATTCCCCTGTGCACTTTGCTATCATAATTATTAGTTCATAACTTTCACGAGGGAAACTTCACCACAGAGAAATAATAATCATAATAGCATTATATCCAACACCAGAACACTCTCATCCTCTGCTTCTGTAGTATCTAAAGTCAAGGTAATATTTCCTCTATATACTTTTGATAAAAGATTGTTGAGCTTCTGTTACGATCACTAAGTAAAAATAGTCATTTTTATAATTTCTATATTCATCTAATATATGTGTAGCATTTATTAATATGATGCCTGATAGATAAGATTAACTAGTGATAATAAAATAGTAAATTTGGGAAACATTCTCAACCACTTGTAATCTCTGATAGGTCGGTGAATTTCAAAGAATCGAATTAGTTGCCATAGAAGCTTCTTCACTTCAAAAAAAAGTATTGGTATCATTTTACTGATATAGAGCATTTCCTAATTTTTAATCTTTTTAGATATATTTCATTTACTCTAATATTTAAAAAACATCTAAGGAGTGAGATATTGAAGATGTGGAAAAAAGGAAGCAACCATGACAACCACTTGAAAAGATCGCCACTTTTCCATATCTCTTTGTTACTTCCTTCGTCAAAAAGCAGACAAGAGAAATTATGACATCAATAAAACAAAAAAACCATCACGCTCGTGCAAATGTAAAAACAAATTTTTTTATTGCGATTGATGGACATATTGATAAACAGAAGAGTAATTAATATTGGAGACGTCTGGTCTTTTATGTAAACAAATTCGTTATCTTTATTGTCAATTAATATGAAGAAATTCGAAATGAGGTATCAACAATTCTTTAATTATTATCATCATCAATCATTAAACGTCATACAAATAACTTAAAAGTTTCAATATTGATACATTCAATGACTTTAAATTATTAAGAATATCTTCTTAAAATAATTGAATCTATAATAGTCAAAACTAATGAAGATGTTGAAACTTTAATTGTAGCAAAAACTGAAAATTTATGTAGGCGAATGATCAGATGATTAATTTATACTGAAAAAAATTTGCCTCAAAGGATAGGAAAAACTTCAAAAAATGTCAGTATTAAAAAAGGCACGATGTGTGATCTTTGTCGGCATCGTGTTCGTATTTTAGAATTTTTTACGTTCATTTGATGAATCACAACATTCTACGGAGCTGGAGTAGAGTTAGGAAATTGGTAACGATTAATACAGTCGTTTCCGGAAATATATCATTTGTAAGAATGATTATACTAATTTAGTTCTATCCTCAAAGTTTATTTTTAGATGAAAATATTCAAATAAAAATTAAAACTGTACTAAGTTCTTATGTATACTTGTTCACAAACTCTCAAAATGATGTTTCAGACCAAAAGTGTATGAGGAAGCTTTGGTTTTCCGCAATAGGGTGTTAGAGAAACAATCAGAAGCATGCAGATGTCTATAACCAGGAACATCAGGGTACATGTGAGAATCCAATGACAATAAGGAAATGTATTCTACTGTTTAATATCCTAGGGTACAAATCTGCAGGGGGCCAGGGTGTGATGCAGACGTTACTCAACCAAAGCCAATAAGTCATTCACGAAAATGTGTTAATCTACTTAATGAGCATATAGAATACACATTCATAAAGTGGTTTGATAATCTTTGACATCCATTTTTTAAATATCAGTTTATCATTTTAACTCAAATATTTAAATAATTAATAACATTTTATTTACAATTTATTTTACAACTTAATTTAGATCATCGATGATTCATAAATAAACACAGAATTGAATAATTATCATCATTAATTTATTTTTCTTTTTAAATGGGTTGATAAATTACAAAATGTTTTATTCCAAGTATCTCTTTGGTATTACGTTCATATTTTAGTTCTAAAATAACATGATCCTTACACTTTGCATTGTTTATCTAAATTGGGTTATAGTAAAAAGTTATAATTTATTTAATATTTACTCATGTTTTACAATCAAAACAAGAATCTGGTTTATTTATGATAAAAATAATCTAATGACTAACCCAACAATCATTAACTTATTCTTTAATGAGTTAATTTGACTAAAAACAAGATTTTTAAACTCACAAGAACAATTTATGTACGTATTTTTTTGAACTTTAATGCTTTTATTACAGCTCTTTTTGATTAATTTAAACGATTAATAACTTTAAAAAAATGTAATAAGTAAATTCACATATTCAATTAGAAAAAGTACAGTAATGAAACGCTAGAATTTTTCAACAATCTAATTTTATTAACTTATTAATAATGTTGCTATGAATAAAATGTTTTGGGTATGATCAATGAATATTTAAGTACTTATGTTTACAATAATTCTCTAAAAGTAAAAACTACATTAATAATAAAAATAATTATAAAATTATTCACCTAATAACAATAATTCTTCTAAATAAATATTGTACTTCGGCTAACAATGCCATTCGATGCTCTTTTTGTCATGAAATATTACAATCACTCAAGAATATTCATGAACGATATGTATCTCTTTTTTTGGAACTTTAAGATTAGACAAATTATTTGGTGATGTGTCAATAACATCTGTAACTACCGCTGAATCATAAATTCTTTCGACTTTGAGTTTAGGATATCGATCAAATATTTCATCATAAGACCTAGATACGGTGGATGAGACGTCATCGAACGACCTGTAGATTTCGTTGGTAGATTCACCTGAGCCAAATCCACTGATATTTGGTTTATATGATGCACTTGCAAAGGATCGACGTCTGTTGCTTTGCATGAGAAGTCGGTCAAGACGAATAAATGGTATCTCAAAGCAAAGTGACAGAATGACTGATATTAACATGGTGAGTCCAAGATTTCCCAGGAAAATATGTATCTGTAAATGAAAATTCAAAAATTTTAAACTGATTAAAAACGTATTTTCAATGAATATTAAAATTACAGAATTTCTCAATACAATTATGATGCAAATGAAACAGGACTTTCCGACAAACTTGACAGTATTTAATAACTATAATTATTACCAGCATTTTTTCTAAATCGAGCATGGTTTTTCCGCATAATTAACTATACTGGTTAATGATAGACATTATGAATTAATGTTTGATTAGTAGAGTTTATGACATATAATTGTTCTAATTACAGTTCCGAATGTGGTCAAATTTCCTGGAGTCCTAACACTGCCAGCATTGTAGAGTAGAATGAGGTAATGAGTAAGATAAGCGGAATACGTGAGCTTTCCTAAAGGCATCCATCCAGACCAGGATAATAAGGCACCAATTGGACCTGTAATGAAGGATAAGTATGAAATTTGCGTCATTATAAGTGTCTCAATTAAATGATAATAATTACCTGCGTAGCCAAGAACTGTGGCAATCACCACCCAGCTTATTGAGAGTGCAAAAACAGTTCTGTGGAATCCTGCATAAAATGCTGCTTCAAGGCTATCATATTTGTGTTCAGGAAAGTACATTCCTCTAGGTCCAAATACTGCAGCACAACCAACCAGAGTAGCAAATATCCATCCACAAAAAACTAGCGTCTATAAATAAAAATTTAATTGGATAAATTAAATAATTAATGTTTTTTCAAATTATTTGAAAATATTAAAATGGGAAGAAATTCTTACTCCAGACATTTTCATATTTCTATTGCGAATATGTCGAAGATAACAACCAACAATTAATCCAATAATGTAAGGCCCTGACCTGGCATACACTCTAGTGTAAATTTGAAGATAGACGTTGGCTACGGCGGTCTGCCTAACGGAAATCGATAATAAGTAATAAAAAAATAAATTAATGAGACATAAAATAATTATCAGGTTTTATTAAAATTATCATATGGAGTCTCACTCTTGATAATAAATCATGGTGCCAGTTAATTGTTCAAAGTAGGTAATTAGTAATGGAGTAAGCACAGAAATGATGAGTCCAATCGATAAAATTGTGATAGAAACCACATGTTTGATCCCTAAGACAACCAGAGGATAGAGAAAAATTGGTGACATCCAGACGAGCTGCATGTCCACTGAGAGATACCAGGATTGTGACATACACTGCATAGATAAAAATTGATGAATTCATTTTCATCTCCTTTTTTAATAAACTCTACTTACCATATTAGCAACTTCAACATAGTTATTTATGTACAGTAAATTAGTCCACCAGTTGTCCACACAAAAATCTCTATTAGCTCCAACCCAGGTATTCCAATGTGGTCCACTTCCCACTTTGTAAAAAAGAGTTGCATAAAATCCAATGACAATAGCATAAGCTGGCGTTAATCTGCAATCCCATTGACGTATTTTAAACACTTGAAAGGCTTGCGGAAATCAGTCATAGACAATAGATTTGTTTACCGAAGATAACGATGAAGATAAAGCATTCCAACATTTAAACTATAACCATGAGGCTCTTTTTCTTTTCTACCCAGTTCAGAATACATCAGGAGTATACCTCCCAGAAGGAAAAATGTATCGGTGACAATATTCCCATTAAGAATAAGAAGATTAGTCCAAATTTCATGCATCTGTTTATAAAAACATAATAAGATGAATACATTAACATCATGGCAGCCAATATTTTTAATGCTTTATATTTTTTAAAGAATGAAAACTCACTTTAGACACGTTACTGACATCCAATTGAACTCCGACAACCTGGAGATAATAAGTATGTCCATAAATAATCCAACAGATACTCAAATAACGTAAACCATCAAGACAATTAATTGTTTCTTCATTTCTTCTAGTACTCATAAGACTTTTACCATTAGTATAAAGGGAAAATGAAGTTAATATCAAGTGTCGTTTATCTATAAAAAAATCTCATCATTAATGTGACATTTCAGCTTGAAGATATTCTATCAATCTTAATATCTCAATTAACATTTACCTTTGGAATCCGGTTTTTCAGAGACTGAGTGTTTAACCAGGTCATAAGTTGTGCTGGCCATGACGATCCCACCAAACAGGATCAATAAAGATCTGCCATAGATAAGAGAACAAAATTTCAATCGGTCATAGATCATTTAATGTCTGCTTTTTTTATACCATCAAACTTTGATTTGATTTTTTCGTGTACATGTAAAGCCAATCGGCGAGAAAGAAGACTGGATGATCCGAATCTAATGTATGACATGCGTCTTCAGTGATATTGATGATGAGATCAACTTTACCCTCATGTTTTAACAGACTTAATGACGATTCTAATGCTTCTCTAATTGACTCTGGTCCACAAGAGGATGGAACACACCAAAGCCATTCATACGGAACAGTAATACCTGAGGTCCAGTTGGTCAAACCCTAGAATAAATGATTATTGGGTAAGAACTACTGTCATGTAGGTTGTCAATTCAATGAACTCTTATCAGTTTAAGCAGTATTTTTGATAAACTTACCGCAGCTAATCCTGTATTGATCAATAAATCACTGATATCTGCTTCTGTATGATCATTTCCGTCATGATCTCGTGTGAGTTTGAATGAAACAGTAGCACTACAGGCTTTACCAACAAATCCATGAAGGTTCTTGACTCTTAGACATTCATCATAGTTTCCCAATTGTTTATAATTACCAGTGATAATTCCAGCAGGAATCTTAGCCGATGCATCGTACACTAAAAATTTAAGTGATAAGTAAGTGTATATTATTATATGCGTAGTATGAGTTGATAATGTTTATTATATTAATAAGATGATTTGAAATTTATATAAAAGTTGTGATAACGTTCAAGTCATAATTGCAATAAGATATTAAAAGCATATCTTCTTGAATGCGGAAAATGTCAATTATGCATGAGGAAAATGAATGATTGAATGATTTCCCATGAGCCGATGAACGAGAGAAGCCTTCTTGCGTAATAGCGACTGATAATTAATCGATTATAACTTACAATAAAGATAAAGTTCATACAATATATTCTTAATCGTAAGCTCATAATACGCAATTTAATTATCTTTGAGAAACAGTTTGTTTTATTTTAATACTTATGCAATTTTTTTTTTTTTTAATGATGAATTGTATAATTTAATTATCAACGCGTGAGTGTGGTTTATTCTTGATGCAGAAATAAATTATTGTTCAAGGTAAATGATTCTAAATACGTGTTGCAATATTGAGCTCATGATCATTTATCAAGATCAACGTGAAATTCATCAATGTTTATATATCAATATCATCGATGATGAGTTGTTTGTATGTTTAATGACGGTCATATGATAATCTGCTAAAGTCAACCCCTGGACAAGGACGTTTATACATCTCTTTGACCTACTTTATTAGCTCATCGACGTAATATCATTGAAATTCATTGATTCTTATTTAAAAAAAAAGTTCTCGATAAAATAAACGTTAATTTTACGAATAATTCTAAGTAAATAATGTATCATCAAGCAGAAATAACAGATTACAATAGAATGCACATCAAGAACATACCACGAACTTGATACTAAATCAATGAAGAAGTTAATTTACTTACTTTGCAAAGCCCAGGGTTCATAACTCCGAAGAGCATCACGATAGATCTCACTATCCTTGCGACAATCATCTGAAGACACAGCGGCATCAAATATTAATGGTCTTGTCAGGACATTAAGAAGAATTTCTTCAGGTCTTTTAACTTCTTCACGACTAATGGTTGTAGAAAACACAGGGAGCAGGATCGTAGAAAAGAAGAAGAAGTGAAATAATAACCGATGCTCCATTCTGAATGAAAGCTCTTGAATGATTGTGTAGAATAACTGTACGGACAGTTCCAAATGACTTTCGGTGAAGAGAACAATCACTGAGTGTTTGAGGTGCACTCGTAATGCCGATGGTATCAATTGGGAAGACCGAACGTTAACTGTCTGGATGAAGAATGTCCGATTGCCTTATATATTGCGCGAAGCGATGATGATGGGGGTAGCGACGCGGATTGGATTTGTATGCATCCCGATGCTTTGGATCCTTATCGCGATATCGTTGTAAATGCAACTAATATCTTGTCTGTTTTCGTCTATCTATTGTTAAAGAGCCAGAGAACACTAGCAAGTTTGCAAATACCTGGGCAACACTCTCTGTTTTTAGCGGAATATATTTTAAGATTGCGCTGCAGTAAAATCAATGAGGATCACCCAATTATAGGTCTTTCACCGTGTAAGAATAGTCCAAGTTGAGGTAATTTTGTATGTAATCAAACTGTCCGGGTTAACTACCTTGTGTGCTCCCAGGTTTTATACTTGGCCGTGGAGTTTTCAAAGATTGGGACATGCCATAACAAACCAGTCGTCAACAACGAATCCAACTCTCTCCACATGCAGTGTATGTATTAGCATTGAGCAACGATTAAATTACCATCACTTCTTCGTTAATGTCCGGCCAATGACTCCACTTTTTTTTTCAATAAGCACTCCAATTCAATTTATTTTCGAGAGTTGTGAAAGGATCGTACGACCTACCTCGTTACAGCCATTCGAATTTTCTGCGAACCCTCTAGTGACCATAGAAGGTTCGCCAATTCACACCTCTTTCATATAATCATAAGCTGGAGGAGTTTCTTTTTTAAGTTAAAAAAAAAAAAAAAATTCAAAGTTTTTTCGTTAATTACAAGTAAATTATATTCCATCAGTTAACAGCGTATTTAAAATCAAAGAAAAAACTTGGTGAAATTTTTTGAAAATTTTTTTTTATTTATTTTTTATATGAATTAACAATCCAAATTATATTGGGTATCATTTCGGAGTCATGGTATGAATTTCTTTGTAGAATAGCTCGTATTTTTTTTTCCTATTAAAGTGTTACACAATTGTGGTTTCACAACAAGACAATATAGTAACATTACATGATTAATTCAATATTCATTCTGAATCTCTATAAAGACATATTAAAAAGTTTGTTTACAACATCTCCAAAAAATACATTGCCCTTTTACTGATTTGAATAATGAAAAATGGATATTATTTTTCTCAGAAGGAATGTTTCGCAATACTTATTACCTTGTTCGGGTCATTCATCTTAAATTTATTTAAAAGAAACTATGATATAAATTATCACTAGGTAATATAAAGGTGAATGACCGTACATTTGTCAACTCAATTAATTCTATCTTAATATAAAAATTTTATAGCGTACACCAAAATTAACCACTTCTTAAGAATTACGGTCATTTACCTTCATAGATAATAGTTAACATGATTCATACATTATATGTACTTGAAATTCTGCAAAGTAATCATTGACTTCCAGATTACGTAAATTAGTTAATAGTTTTTATATCATAAATAAAGAATCAAATTACATTTTATCTTCATCAATCAATCCAATTTCTTCAAGTTTCTTACAAACATCTGCAACTACAGCTTTAGGTGGTTTCATGGAGTTGAATTTATAAAGCAATCCACGCTCTTCATAATACTTTATTATTGGCATAGTCTGATTAATAAAAGTCTCATGCCTTTTGATCAATGATTCCGGATTGTCGTCACTCCTGCCACTGCCCTTGAGTCCTCGATTAATGCATCGTTGTGTACAAACTTCTTGACTGCATTCGAGAAATATAACACCTTTAACGATTGCTTTATCTGTCATTGTCTAAAAAAAAAAAAGAAACATTTAAATCATCAAACTCTATCTAAACAAATAATTCTCCTTGACCTTTACCTTGGTCCAGCCATCTAGGTTATCCTGGTTTCTTGGGAAACCATCGATAAGAAATCGTTTTTGAGGATTTGATGACATTTGCATCGCACGATCCAATAAGCTACATGTTACTTCTACTGGGACAATGTGGCCATTACGAATATGAGTTTCAATCATCTCACCAAATTCAGAGCCGGGTCTTGCACGTTCTTCACGAAGGAGGTCCCCAGCTGACAGGTGAACATAGCCTGTTTTTTTGACGAGATGGTAACACAATGTACCTTTCCCAGAACCAGGTCCACCAAGTATAAATAATACTTCAGGTTTTTGCATAATTGTCACTGATAAACGTCGCAAACCTATAACAATTATATTGAGCATAAAATGCAAGTCTGACGTGGCTTGATAATGGTACAATAGTGCAAACAATTTTCCTTTTTATTATGAGACGTAGTATGGAGGTTATACCACTTGAAAACGCGGCAATCTTAAAAGCTAGATCATTCACACAGTAAATAGATTAGAGGTTATTTACATAGAAATTTATTTATATAACAATTTATTTTTAAACAAGTAATAGAATTTTCATTAACAAAAGTAATAAATTACCATCAAATTTTTTGTAAACTGATGAAAGTAAAAAAATCCAATTAGTAAGAAATTTATTATTCTGCATTAAATGCCCATGGTTATTAGAAAGAGAATGTGATTGTTGATTAATTCTTATTGAAATGAATGATTGGGAAAAGTAAAATGTGTACTGTCCGACATTCCTCATTTCCAAAAAAAACTTTCATTATTTCTATTAATGTTTTTTTTTATCAATCTTGAATTTATTAACTTTTTTATGGGTACTATTTACATAGCGGAAATGAATTTTTAACTATAGAATATATTCTTCAGTTAAGTATTTAATTAAAATAATTAACATATAAAGATATTAATTGAAATAAATATTTTATCGAAAAAATGTTTTTTGGCCACTCAAAAATTTAATCTAATATTTACAATCAATAAACCTCATTACTTATAATTCAACAATTGGGTTAAATTGATAATTTGATAGATTGAAGTTGTCTGCATTGAATTTAAAATCAATTTGCTATGACAACTTCAAGTTGTGCTGTTCTTAGAAACGTGCATGGTTTCATGCTAAGTATTGAGCATTTAGTTTGTTGTTTTTAGTGAATTTCAATTATGTAACGAGTGTTAATTTCCTCAGTTTGTGTAACTAAATAATGACTGAAAAATTCAAGGTGAAAAATATTTATTGATATTAAAAAGAATTACGTAAATGTTATTGTTAATTGTCACGTGAATAATTGATAACAAGTTATCAATAGATTTAATTATTTATTACTCTGTTAATATCAAACAATCAAATATAATGATAATTTATTTATGCAATAAATTTCAATTAGATAAATTGTTGAAATATTTCATTGTCTATCTTTTGTTACAGATTAAAACCTGTTTAAATAATCCAATATGATTGAAACATGTCAGAGGTTATCAGAGTTAACGAAACTCTTGAGAATAAGTCCTTGGAGGCATGGTCGATATAAACAATTAAAAATTTATGGTATAAAAGTTTGTGATTGTTCAGATATCTATACTCGTTGTCTTGTATATAATAACAACAATAATAATAAACATTTAAATACTTTTACAAATGATGCATTGAAAAGAACGAAAGATATTTGTATCAACTCAAGTGGAGTTGGATGGCATTCAAAATGTCTTTCACCTCAGGAAGTAATAATTGTCAAGCAGATAAGACACTTGAATATTGCTGCAAAAATTGTCAACAATTTTCCATCACGTGTACAGCCATATATGAAGCTTATGAGAATAGATAGACCAATAGGATCTTGGTTATTGTTTTGGCCATGTAGCTGGAGTATAGCTATGGCAGCTACTCCAGGGGCATTACCAGATATTCATATGTTGGCTCTTTTTGGACTAGGTGCATTTGTGATGAGAGGGGCTGGATGTACAATCAATGATATGTGGGATCAAGACATTGACAAGAAGGTAAATGAGAGAATTGATGATGGATGATGGATTATTATCGAAGATTTAAAATTCATAACTGTCAGGTAGCGAGAACAAGAGATAGGCCTTTAGTGGCTGGTCAAGTGACAAATTTTCAAGCACTGATGTTCCTTGGAGGACAATTAAGTGTTGGACTTGCTATTTTGCTTCAACTTAATTGGTATAGTGTTTTTCTTGGTGCTAGTTCACTAGGTATGTTAACAATAAATGGTTTGATGATACAATTAATACTGCCATTTTAAGACAAATTATTTTTATTCTAATTGAAATTTAATTGATTTACTGATTTGTGTTTTCTAGGATTAGTAATTCTTTACCCATTAATGAAGCGAATAACATACTGGCCTCAATTAGTTTTGGGAATGACTTTTAATTGGGGAGCTTTGCTTGGATGGTCAGCAATACATGGTTCATGTGATTGGTCTATTTGCTTGCCATTATATACTGCTGGAATATGTTGGACTATTTTATATGATACCATTTACGCACATCAGGTATAAGTAAAAAAATATTATATTTGTTCTCTTCCAATAATAAATTCCTCAGTTGATTATCTAAGTAATTATTACAGGACAAAGTTGATGACTTAAGATTAGGGATAAAGTCAACAGCATTAAAATTTGGTGATAGAACTAATTTATATTTATCAGGATTTGGAACTTCTATGATAACTAGTTTAATAATAGCTGGTGTACAATCTGGTCAAACTTGGCCGTATTATACGGCTGTAACTCTCGTTGCTGGTCATCTTGCTGAGCAAGTTAGTATTAATATTATTGATTAAATTAAAAAGGAATTATTGGATGTGAATAATAATGTAAAAAAATTATTTTCAGATTAGTACATTAAAGATTAATGATCCAACTGATTGCGCTGAAAAATTTATATCTAATAGTATAGTAGGGTTTATTTTATTTACCGGTATAGTATTAGGAAATTTGTTAAAGAGTTCAAACCAGAGTTCTCAGGAGGAGTGTGCCATTGAAGGACAACCAATAATGCCGTTATGATAATAAATTAAAGTTGGAGTTGCTTTTCATTATTGATAAGTAAACCAAAGAATATACCATTACCGATAAATAAATAATTACTATCATAATGATAAATTTTAAAACGACCTATGTTTTACCTCAATGGAAAATATATTTTACAGTGTGTTGTATTTAAATTAAATAATCATTAAAGTAAATAAACTACTACATATGCTTACTACTCTGTTTTTATTATTTTTTCATCTCTATTTAAATCCCCATTATCTTCATCTCTCGTTCTCTTCACAGTAATTGTACCATGTAAATTATTATCTCTCTCTGCAATTGTACGTTCTTCTATAGCTGCTTGGTATTGATCTTCATTCAAAAGAATATCTTTCATTTTTTCATGGGCCTTGATATTTGGTAAAGCAATTGCTATGTACCCACCTCTATGTGGAGATTGTTTAATTAATAGAGGATTCTCTTGCAGAGCTTCATTAACTTCAATTAATTTTCCAGTCATACAACATTTTATTGGCCAATTTTCACCATCGGAGCTAGTGATGATACAAATGTTTGAATTTTCTTGAAGCGGTTGTGCTCCATGTTTAGCTTTCCCCGATAGTTTATTGTTAGTCCTATCTAATTTATCTGTGACTTTAAAACTGATTTTTTCTATTTCTTTTCCTTTCTGGAGTAATGCATGACTAGGAGCTAAAGTCAACATACAAATACGATTGCTATGGATTCTAATACAAATATCATTGTGTGGTTTTTGTGCATCAATTTTGTAAAAGGGAGTAAAGTACCGATCAGTAACACTGGGTAATTTTTGATCCAATGGCACTTCATCTAACATTTCATCTACATTGTAGTCTTCTGGAAACTTAAAACCATCATCTTCATCATCTAAATTCTTTATTTCACATGGTTGTTTCATAATGTTTAGATATTGTTTAAACTTTATCGAAGATGTTCAGGTCAGGAAGTTCATGTGTAGCTAAATACTCTTTTAATTTTTCTTGCCTTTCTCTTGATTTTTTAATGTTTTCTGTCTGTTGAATACGTCTCTAAATAAAATAGTACATAATAATTTATATAGTTAAGAGAATAATTTTACATACAATTAAATATATAGGTTGAATAAATTGAAAAAAATTATACCTGTTCTTGCATACACTTTTTTAAATTGATATGGGCCTGGGTACACTTTCCAAATATTCGTCGCCAGAAAAACTAAAATTAAAGTATTAACTGTAAGGTAGTTTTTAAGAAAATATTTACCTTCATTAATGATGAAAGTATCAACGTACTTCTCTTTCACACTTCTGACATTCATAATAGTACTTATTACATTCTGAATAATGAAGAGCTAATTTATTATAGTATTCTGTTTCCATAATAAATGATTCAAGATAATATTCAAAATATCATTCTTAAGGAACCTTAATTTAAGTTATATATATATTAGAAATCAGTTTTCTTTATAAATATTTTAAATATCTGAGTAAAATAAAAATTTCTAACCTCTCATCCAAAGAGTAATGGTTTATTTTTTTGAAAAATCGTAATATTCAATAAAAAATAGAAACAACTACAATTAATGTAATGACAATCTTTTTTTCTTATAAAAATAATGCTTTATACAATATTTATAAGTATAATGAATATAAATTGAGGATTCAAGAAATTTTATCCTTTTTTCTTAAGTGTTAATAACCGGAAATCAAACTCTATGAAATGAATGAAATTGGCGCGAAGTTTAAATGATTTAATTATTTTTGAAGATGTAAAATTCTCAAAATGTATTATTTAAACTTTGAGTAACAAATTATTTTACTTGAAAAAATTACATTTTGGATATTGTATTCAATAAAGCTATTCATAAAACTTAGGACCAGGTTTCTGTTTGATAACGCCCAGTAGCTTCAAGTTTTTTCACAAATTCTACAGCATTATTATCATCTAGATTTCCAAACGTTTTGGCTATTTCAATAAATTCTTCTTTCACAGCCTTCGGCATGTTTTTCGAGCTACCAGATAAATAAATTTTTCCACCTTTAGTCAATAAATCCCAACATAATTCCTGTTGTTGGTGAATAATGTTCTGAACATATCTATAAAACAGAAAAAAATTAGATTATTCTATTTTAACAAGAAATATTCATTTTCAAAAAAGATTCCGTTAATTACATTTTATTTGTTTGATCCCTTGAGAAAGCACAAAAAAGCTTCAAATTGTTTTCTTTAACCAGATTTTCAAGGTTTTTTCTACAGTGAAAATCTTTTTCTTTATTTCTACAGCCAAAAAAGAGAACGGTGTCATGAAGATCATGCTTTAAAGCTGCTCTTTCTAATAGCATTGATCGAAAAGCTGCTAAGCCGGTTCCAGGACCAATTAAAATCATTGGTTTAGTATAATCAAACCTAAATGTTCCTTTCTGAATGGTAAACAATATTTCATCATTGATTTCTAGAGATTTTAACCAATTCGAGCATAGACCAATCCTTGGTTTCACAATAATTGTTTTATATTCAACAATTGCTACTAATAAATGCACTTCGTTCGGGGAATATTTATTACTTGAAGCAATACTAAATGCTCTTGGTTTGATGGGCATCATTAGCTCAAATAAAATTTTTTCATTCAATTTTTTCGTAGTATGAGGAAAGTCATGTAATAATTCTAAAATATTTCTTCGTGGTCTATTGATATAATTGTAAAGATCTTCTTGACCTTCAGTAGTTGTGAATTCAATAAATTTTTCTCTTTCTATATTGTTGTCACTAATAGATGCTAAAATTTTCATAGTTGATCTTCTGGGTTTATAACTCAAATCCCAATATTGTTCAGCCAGTTGCTCCAAAGTTATTGGTTTTTTTAATACATGTGGCAGTATTATTTCTTTCTCATTTATTTTTAAAATTGTGTCTGGATACAAAGGAATCTCATGCTCTGTTAGTATATTAAAAAAATCTTTTACTTGCTCTGGCGAATTTTTAGGTCTTATGTAAATAACATCACCAGGTTCATAATCAACATTTTGCACTCCCAACTTTATTAACCTGACATCTTGAAAATGATCCTCTGATGTAATTCTAGAATTATCAATTAGCTTCGCTACTTTTAATTGATCATTTATTTCAAGTTCTTCTCTGTAAATATCTCGAGGAAATTTCAACGTTTCCTGAATTTCATTATCTCCTACATTTCTTAAAATACTGACATCAAAACGTTCTATAAGTTCGCTGTCATTATTTGAATTTCTCTTTAATAAAAGATCAAATTCAATACTTATTTTACTCCAAAGGTCTTTTGTCCATGGATCAATTGTTTCATCAATTCCTAGAGCATCTTGGTCATCAGCTAATCCTAATGGTATTAATTCTGTTCCACCTAATTGAAGTATTCTTTTTTGCAATTTTCTAGCAGCGTAGTTGTATTTATCATACGAGCTATCACCAAGTCCAAGAACTGCGAATGTTAATCCTCCTAATATATAATTTGGCAAACTTTTTCGTAATAACATTCGCCAAAATTTGCGCATATTTGTTGGAACTTCTCCTTGACCTGTTGTTGCGACTACAAAAACAATCAGCCGCTCAGAAATTAAATTCTCAATGTTGTAATCATCCATAGCCATAACGGAGCATTTTAGCCCAAATCTGTAATAAAAAACTGAGTGAAAATATTTATAACAATTTGCAATTTTTTTACATTCATATTTGTATTTATGATGAAATCGATAAGGTATATAAGATTAAAAACTGCTCTATTATCAAGCTGATTATTATGATTGTTATTATTTTTAAATAAAAAATAGTTGAGTAATGACAGTGAAGAAGAAAACCTTTTGGCACTTTTCCAAATTCCTTCAGCAGTGTCTTGAGCAGTTCCGGTTTCGCTTCCATAAAGGATAGTTAGATAAAAATCTTTGGTGGACATTGTCATTTTCTAATTATTTGCTTCAAAATTGTTCACTTAGATGCTGATTGAAAAACGTGAGTATAACCTCAGCTGATGATACATGACGTCACTACCCACCATTCGACTTAAATATGAATTTGAATAACTTTTACCGCACTTTTCGTACTCAGAAAATTAATTATAATTATTTTGTATTTTTTTTTCATTAATGATTAGAGATACTAGATAACTCTAATGCAGATTCTCCCTATCAAATGTCAAGGATAAATGTCTAGGTTAAGTTCCATTTGGCTTTGGGCCCAAGTATAAATAATAATCATCTTGCCCAGTGTCTCTGACGCGTGATATTCTTGTTGAAAACGAATTTTTATTGATTTAAAAGTGATTATATACTAAATGTCAATTTTTAGATAAATCATCTATAGAATATTATGACTATTTTTTTTATTGAGCAAACGATTCACCCAAGGACGTTGTCAAGTGCAAATATATTGTTGAATTTTCATTCAAATACAGGAAATAAAGGTATTAGAGGTTAGTTAGCTTTAGATCGTTGCCGCGCATTGTTGTTCATCCATACATGAAAAAAAGGTCGAATATTTATTTCCAAGGTGAAATCAACATTTATATACATTGTTATATAATTATTCATCAAAAATTATTGTGTCTAAAACAATAGCTACTGAAATTTTCAGTAGAAACTCTAATAAAAGCCTAGCACATTAAAATTCGATGATAAAAGTTGGCAACCCTGCTGTCTGTTTGTGGATGACTGTCAAAACCTACTTTCCAGCTATCGAAGCATCAGCTTTTGATACAATGCAAAAAATATCATGCTGAGTGTGTAGAAACGTGTTGAGACGTGTGGTGAGAGTGGACAGGAGGAAAAGTGTGTGTCTCTTTATAATTAGTGAGTGCATTTCTGATGGTTAATCAACAGATATATCAGCTCATCACTGCATGCCATTCATTTCTAATTTGTGACTTGGATCATGAAAAGAGAAACATGAATTATTAACATTTGATACTTTGTTATTGCATCAGTAATTTATTAAATTTACTGAAACGTGATTGATATTGTTTTGATGCAGCATAACCAAGGTGCTGTAGAAACTGGTGCATCACTTCAGTCTTACTCGTTTTTTCTTCCATTCAGGATACTTTTATTCAGCTAATTATTTCTCAATGGAGCTAACTTATATATGATAATAGTCTGTGAATCTCAGGCTAAAAATTCACCTTACTAGACAGTCCAATAATAATGTATAAGAGTTCATCTTGATTCAACTCAAAGATTTTCATCTCTTTTGGACAAATTCAGTTTTTTCAAGTAAGTTAAATGTTTAATAAATATGGAATATAAATAACTTTAATATTTCCTAGGTGTATTATCTCATTATCTTTATCAATGAATTGCAATTGAAAAATTATTGTAAATATTTATTTTTCATAGGTGTCAATTACATTTTATCGGGTGTTTCTCGGCAGTATTGTTGTTGGTGATAGTTAGAAAAATGTTTACAATGTGATTTAAGATCATCGTCTTCATAACAATAATTTTAGAACGATAAATTTAAAATTTATTGTCACCAGAAAGGTTCGTATACATTTCTAGTAAAGTCCTCTGTTTCAATAACATTTGTTGTAAATATTCCAATAAGTAAACGTCAACATTAAAGATACTGAACTCGCATTCTTCATATTATATTGAATTTCAGTGTAATCATATATCGTTTGATTTCTACTAGTAGTTTTTCAAAAAATTCCCAGAAATATAACATTAAAGAAAAAAATATGCATTTATGTTTAAGGTGATATTGAAAATGAAAAGTAATACTTAAAACTTCGGAAAAAAATTTTTTTTTCTAAGATAATGACATATTATTCAAACAATTATATTTAATTTTGTGCTAGGAAAATTGTTGTTATTGTTACCATTATTAAAGCTCATCGACATTGCATCTATTGCTCATTCTTGAATGACTTTAATATTTTATTGATTGATTAATAAACTGGAAACTGTTCTTTAACGTTAGGTATGTTAATCGGAATCTATAAAAAAATATCATGAGCAATAATAATATGAAATCACAAAACAATCTAGTAATAAGACAAGAAAATATTTTACGAAGACAATTGTTATAGATGTTTTAATAAATCAATTTAATAACGTTTGAACATGAAGTTTTATCATCAGTAATAATGTTCTGATCCAAGTATTCTTAAAATAAAATGTTAATAATGTTATGAGCATTATTTATGATACTATAAAAATGTCATTATGTTTCATACGAACTACATTGTTTTGATGATTAAATTTTGTCGAATTCGGTTTTTAGTAAACATAAAAAGAATTGGTTCAAACATCAATTAGTAAATATTATATAAAAATAAGCATGATGAATTTTTTAATTATAGAAAAGGAAATTGGAGTATTATATAGCAGAAACAGTATCTATAGAGCTCAGTATTAAATTGCTAATGATAATAATTATTTGTGAAATATAATGATAGAAAAAAAATTAAAAACAGGTCGTATATTTATTATTTTTAATAAAAACAATATTTTGTACATAAATTGTTAAAAAAAATTACACCAATAATACTTCTCGAAGCCTGTTTTTTATTTTTTTCATTTAAAAATTAATAATAGAATTATAATAATATAAGAATATAATTTTGAAGTGTTTTTTTTTATCTGTAGACTGCTTCAGTAACGATGAGTGGTAAATTTAAAGAATCCCAGTCAAAATGGACTTGTGAATATTGTACCTATGAAAATTGGCCATCATCATTAAAATGTACAATGTGTAGAGGAGCAAAACCATTATTAGGAGAAGATATTTATAGATTACGAGATCCAAGTCCACAAAGATCAGGATCAAATGTTGCCTCAGGTCCAGTATCGTTTAGTCCCTCCACTGAATCTTATAATTTAAGTCCACAAAACTACAGCCAAAATGTACCATCCGGTGGAAAATGGTCATGTGAAACATGCACTTATCTCAATTATCAAAATACAACGCGGTGTGTCCAGTGTAGCAGCAGAAAGCCAGCTAATCATACTCAGTTGATACATTCGGCTTCTAATCTACATGAGCACCTAGCACCATTGAGATTAGGCGATCCGCCGCCTAATTCTGGACAAAATATTTCAACAATTACTAATTTTATTGATAAGTGGTCTTGTTCTGTGTGTACTTATGAAAATTGGCCAAAAGCTGTTAAATGTGTTATGTGTGGACATATTAAAGAACGAGATAAAAAAGAAAAATCAAGTAATTCAAGTTTAATATTGCCAAGTCCTGAAAGAGATCACAGTCAAAAAGGTTTACCATCTCCTCCTCAGCAGTATATTCAAACTCAACGAGATGAGAATACAGCTGTAGCTAGGCGGTGGGTATTTAAAAGTATTAATAAATTTAATAAACATATATATAAAATTTAAACAATTTTCGGGCATTAATTAATTTAAGATTATATTTATTTTAGCAGTTCACATCGTTTTGATACTAGAAATGATACTTTACCTTTATCTCAGAATCCAAATGATTGTGATTACGAAACTAGACTCAAACAATTGAGACGTCATGGTGATTGTTGTTGGTTGAATGCTTGTCTTGGTATTGTTGAAGGTGATAATACACCTGTAGAGGCTTATTTAGCAAGTGGAGGAGACCCTACACGGCAGTTAACGCATTCTGAAGTCTTACTTCTTAATAGAAATAGTGCCTTTGATGTCGGACATACACTTGTTCACTTGGCCATTAGGTAAATATTTATTTTTTTATCTTTATACAATTGTTAAGATCATTAATTTTTCACAATGTAAAGTACTCTATAAAAGAAATAGCGCAAAAAATTTTGTAATGATGAAGTAAGCTTCTATTTGTTAATAGAAAAGAGTTATGAAATAGAAGACTTTAAGTATAATTACATTTTCTAATTATAGAACCAATAAAAAAATAATTATTTTATTGAAAATATACATAGCTTTAATATTAGTTATTACTGGTTTATTCTTCAACCGGTTTCGAATTTACTATTAATTATTTCTTGATTGTTTCATATTAGATTTCAACGCGAAGACATTCTAGCCACACTTTTATCACAAATTGAAGGCTCTGGATCGGGTATCAAACGAGTACCTAGCTATGTTGCTCCTGATTTAGCAGCTCAAATACGTAGACATGTCACCAATAGTATTCGTATGCGTAAGGGTTCCTTTTCATGTTATTTTGTAACTGATATGGCGACATTTGCGCTACCTGCTGAGGTAATTAATTTTTTTTAAGAATCATTAAATATTTTTAATTACATGTCATAAAGTCAGATTAAATTACAACCTTTAAAATCAGAGATGAACAATTGAATTATACTGAGATATTTCCGAAAAGTCAAAGATAGTCCATCTCTGTTTTCAAAATGAGTTAAATGATAATAAAAAGATTATTACTGCTACAATTTCAATTAAATTCTTCAATTAGTGAAAGGAAATGGTTAATGAGAATTATACTTAATTTTTTCAGATCGAAGATCTTCCAAGTGCAGTGCAAGAACAAATGCTAGAAGAATTACTAGATCGTGAGGCACAGCAACAATTAGAAGGAGGTGATGGTGAACCACCAGCCCTGAACTGGTCATTAGAAATAACTGAACGCTTAGGAAGTCGTTTACACGCTTTATGGAATAGATCTGCAGGAGATTGTCTTCTGGATTCAGTAATGCAGGCAACTTGGGGTGTTTTTGATCGAGATAATGCTCTCAGACGTGCACTTGCGGATTCTCTACAACAAGCTGGTCAATTGTACGTATGCATATTAAACTTAATCTCATAAATTATTCAAATTTGATTTATATCAAACCATAGTGAAGCTTAACCCTCTTTCTGTGACTTTATCAAATCTTTTAAGTCAATACTTTAGTTGAATTACTGTATTAATTACCATTTGTAATTTCAGAACATAAATTTCCTAGGATTTATGTATACAGTTAATTATTTCAGTATAAAGTAACAATAGAAACTCATGTCTCTGTTGAATAATTGTGAAAATACATTTCTGAGAGTTTGTACAATTAATTTTTTTTATTAAAAAAAATATCTATGAGTTGTAAAATTTTTATTAACTCAAGTAATGGGTGGAAAGATGTTTATCATTTATAATTTATGTAATATTTTAATATTCATCAATTTGCATTGCTTAAAAGTGTTTTTCTAAAATTTACAGTTCAACAAGAAGTTGATATGTTTATTAATTTTCATAAATTCTATTATAATACAGTTTTTATCCAAGATGGAGAGAATACGAAGCATCACAAGCTTCAAGGATGTTAGACTTTACGCTAGAAGAAGCTCAATGGCAAGATGATTGGGACAATTTATTAACGACAGCAGCACAGCCTGGAAGTGCTTTAGAACAATTACATGTTTTTACTCTCGCCCACATTCTCAGGAGGCCTATTATAGTTTACGGAGTTAAATACGTAAAAAGTTTTCGCGGTGAAGACATTGGTATGTTATAATAATTTTCTAATCAAATATTTTTTCATTGAAAAATTTATTATTCTTTAATTACTTCCACAGGATATGCACGATTTGAAGGAGTTTATTTACCGCTATTATGGGAACCTTCATTCTGTATTCGTTCACCGATTGCTTTGGGTTATACTCGAGGTCACTTCACAGCTCTTGTACCTATTGAACCGTATGCTTCATCTAGATTGCCCACGCTCTCAACTCACGGCGGTGTTGGCGTTGGTGGTGGAAATAGTCCTATGCAACAACTGCAAATTCAAATGCAAACTACTTTCATGCCATTGATGGATAGAGAACGAAAATTACTCCCGATTCATTTTCTAAGCCCTGAAGAAATTGGTAGAGAAGAAGCAATACTGAAACAATGGCTTGATGTCTGCACCACTGAAGGTGGCATTCTTGTAGCTCAACAAAAACTTCATAAAAGACCACTTCTTGTTGCTCAGATGCTGGAAGAATGGCTTAATCACTATCGCCGCCTAGTGTAAGTTTTAAAGTATTCTTAAAAGGACTTCTTCACTTTTATCTCTCTTTTAAACGCCTTTTTCATTTATTATTTTTCTTTTGAGGCTTTTGAGAGACAAATTATGTAGAATACTTAATATTTTCATTATTTTCATGATAATTTATGATAAATTATTTTTTTCAGTCAAATGAACAATGCCCCTTTTGTGAGACCAGTCGTCCAACAGGAATATAGTAGTGATGGTGATACTGAGGACGAATAACATTTGGCTGGTGCAATTTGTTAAAGTATTGGTAAGCATCCACAATCATCTCATAGTCCCCTTCATCTGCAGGTCCTCAAACAAATACGGTGTATAGGTAGTAATGATCTCCAATAATCACAAGAATGATTAGTACTTCGAGTACTAGTACTGTTTCGTACTCAAATGACGATTTATTATAGATGCATAATCCACTGTTGTTTGATGTAATGAAGGATTAATCCATCATTGGTTTATTTGCAACTATTTTAATTTGCAATATTAGGTACATTAAATCCTAAATATGTATAAAAAATGAATCATTTTTTTTTTTTTATTTATTAACTTATTCATTAGCATATGTAAAAGGTTTATAATCGTTTTTTTTCTACATCGTACTTTGATAATATTTTTTTTTTTTTGCATTAGAAATAATAATTGGGTCACTTTTTTTGTGCTATACAATATTATACCATTGTTCATTAATATATTGACCATTACAAAAAGGTACTGTTGACAACAGTAATAAAAGAATAAAATGAAGCTCGTAATATATAATATACGTTTTTATGTATACTTTACATTTGGTGTGAAAATTTTTTTTTTTTTATCAAATAAATAATATTGATGGAATTAATAACACATGTAGTCTTTCAGACATAAAGACGAATCATAAACAAAAAGTGTCAATCGCCAATTAGTGGTGTTTATAATTGTCTCTGTTAAATGGAAAAATGGAATTATAATTATATAAGATGTAAAATAGATTTTTTATGAAAATACTATCTTTCTCTTGTAAGAATATTATTATTATAGATTAGGATTTGATTCATTTCAATGGATTCTAGCTTGTTGTGGGCTATAGATGGTAAAAACGTGGATACAACGATTTTTCGAATAGATAAAATTAACAATTCATTATGCTGTGTTAGATGGTTTCAAACATAGAATGCCAATTAAAACATTAAAGTGAATAAAGTTAAGTTCGTGATTAATTGATGAAATAAAATAATAAATAAAATAGAAGGTATGATTATGGCAATGAACGAAGTGATGTGAAAAAATTGATAAAAGCAGCTGTGAAGTAATAGAGCTTTTACAATAATAAAAAAAAATAAGTAAAAGCGATTTAAGAATAAAATTAAATAATTTCTTAAACAATAATGTCCATTTCATGTGACTTGTGAGAGCGTGAAATATGTGAATGGCTCCTAAATAGCATGGCCAAAATTATAAATCCGAATCAAAAAAGTACAAAAAATTTACGGAGATTTTGTTTGTTTTACAAAGTTTATCCGCTTTATTAAATCTCTGTTTTGATGATTTCCAATCTAGCGTCTAGTCTCTTAGCACTGTTGTACTTTTTCAATTATTCACAACGTGATCTAGGTGTAATTAAAACAAAAAAAAATTTAATGCATAAAACCAACAAATTATATATTGTATATTTAAATTTAAATTAAAGAAAAAAAAAGGCTCGGCATGTTCAAAATAATTAATCTTTCAAGCCATAAAAGCTTGGCTGCTATATAACGTCGTGTCTAGGATTGTCAATTTGATCGTTATCTTAAAAATAAAATATCTTACGTAGTTATTAACTCATTTTAATTGTGAACAAATCAGTACTTCGATCCTTGCCACGACGTTTTTGCTCCGCGGTAGGATAAATTTAATTAAAGCACTAAGTTAAATGAATAAAATAATAAAGATGATAAAAATAATTAAAAAAACTCCGGAAGTTATGTCCGATTAAATATTTATTCGGATGTTGCCACACTTTCCTTGGCACGTGATAATGATAAGTTTTAAATAAAAATTAACTGAAGCAAAATAAATAGAAATATATATTAATATAGAATATGTTGAATGAATTATATTAATATATGGATGTAAAATAATGCTGTTTAATATAAAAAAAAAAATACTAATTTTCTTCTTCTGTCATATCTTTCAACGGTCTCTGCTGAATCACGTAACAAAATAAAAATTAAAAACTATCGATAGTTTTTAAAACTCATCTATGTGATGCTCTCGAATAAAATTTTTAGTGCGTCGTTTTAAAATCATTATTCTTCTTATTTCAATTGATTTTATAACTTATTTTCAACCTCAATTGATCTCTAGATGTATCATAACAGGCGCCGAACTTCTTAAATCACATTTTCCTCAATCCTTGTAGACTAGGTATAGGTCGTTTTCCTTAATCTACCTCAAATTCCCTCTCAGATTTGTTCTTAACCTACATAAACTATATTTATCACTCTTGATAGTATTATTGCTGTTCTCTATGAGTGTAATTTACCACTTATAGTCCCTTTTATTGGGTCGACACCCAGATTCTCAATGTTTTATCTATTCTCTTAATTTTTTTTTTTCCTCTTGTTAGAATTCCTATGTATTTTCCTCCCTTTGTATTTTATTGTTTGTATAGTCGTAACGTGATCGTCAAAGCCAAAATTTCTTCATCAAATAGTTACTTGTGGGTTGAAAATGCCAGCTAGTATTACATGCTATAATATAAATCGGCTAGTACATTGGACGTGTTCGTCCAGAGGGAAAAATCGATGGTCTTTTTTTGCATTGCGGTAACCCTATGGGATAAAACCTTCAGACGAAAGACCAGAAGGTACTACCTACGTCGGCATTCCTTTGTCTTCCTTTGCTTTCCCTAAAACAATTGACTTGTTACTTTGATAAAAAATAAAAAAAGGGAAATGTGCTAAGATAAAAATACTTTTTTTATCAAAAGAATTATCAATGATTACTATCTAATACATCTGATACTTTAACATTTATTGTATAAAACGAAGTACAAATGTTATATTTTATTTTTAAAATTCAATTTTTATTTTAAAATTTCTTTTTTAATTCATTTATTGTTACAAAAACTATAAACAACTTAGCTTTATAGATGATGACATTTTTGAAAGTGATCTTTTGTAAATAACAGAGTATTCATTAGGTTTGTGGAACAAAGCAGTAATGAAGTGAAGGTTGATCATTTAAAATTAAATAAACTTGATGAAATGATTTAAATCTATTATCTCCTAATATTAATTTATAAATTAATATTAAGTTTGAATATATAATAAATTACCAAGGCTTATTATCACCTTCATACCCTTTGGAAATACATCATACATAATTATTGACTAATCCTGTTATAATTTCAACATTGATTTTTGAACACCATCTTATAATAATAAATTATCAAGCATTATTCTCTCTATTTCATATGCAAAAAGGGAAGTTATTAATTTTTTTCTTTCTTAATTAAACACCCAACTTGCAATTAAAATATGATTCTTGGAAAAAAAACATCATAATCAAATTTTAGCCACATTTTTTTTTGTAATTTTTTTAAAACGAACTTCAACGACAGCAAGCTACAAAAGTTAAATTTAATTTAATTTTTTGTCACTTTGTCTTTTTAACGTCTAACAAGGTAATCGTCCTATTACTTGGACACTCGTTCATAGTTGAGTAATTGACAAAGGACGAAGAGATAAGTGGAAATACTCCAACATGAAAATCATAACCACTAGGAAATTGAGTTAACATTGAGTTCAAGGTTGCACCCAAGATTTCTCAGTCCTTAAAATTACCAATTCCTCAACCGATCTTCGTTAGTACTCCGTACGTTAATTTACCATTCCCAACACGAGTTTTCGAATTTCCTTAGCTTCGTGTATGGAGTGTATACAAAATCCAGTTATACAGTGTGCTTGTTTCAAAATGTTCAACTTTAAATCTATTATTGTAAGACTTGAATTCAAAAGAAATCATTCATTTCTTTATTACTATGCACATCAGCTTCTTCATAAATAGAAAAGTGCAATTTTCCAAAACCCATTTTGTCGTTCTTTCCATTAACACTTAACGATCGCACTCAAGTCGACCTTAAGACATTTATTTTCTTTTAAAATTACAAGCAAAGAGGCTAAAATTGGAGTTTATATCCCTCCAGTTTTCAAACTTTTACCTGGATCGATATATTTTTAACTCGATTATCTTCATCTTTCCTTTAGGGACCTTTGATTCCTATTTTCTCTTTCCAAATCGTTCACAAAAGTGTACAGAAAGGATCAAGAGAGCTTTTCGATCCATTTATATAAATACACATTCAGAAAAAAATTAAGAGGCTATTTTTCTTAGCCTAAAAAAACGCTAGCCATATCATTATTCTTTAAAGTACATTTTAAGCTTAAGTTTCTCTTACATTTAAGTCACTTGAAGCTTTTTGATTAAATAAATTTAAAATAAAACTCTTCAGAAAGAGTATAAAATATCTTCACCTTCTCACTATTTCGGGAAAAATAGACTAATTTTTTTAGTAGAGCTTAAAAGCTCATACTTTTAGCTTTAATTCCAATTTTTAGAAAATGTTCTGCGATTTTTCTTTACCAAGTTATCCGTGCTTAAAGTTCAAACCATTTTTTCACCTTGATGATTCGATAATTTCAGAAGAGACTTCAATTTTTTTCTCTGAAGACAAAGGCTTGATTTTAGATTTTTTAAAACTATTTCTAAAAGAATTGATTAGTTAGTAAAGGATATGAACTTTTATTTTTTCGTTTGTAAAGTGAATTATCGTTGGATTTTTTTTTTCCACCACTAGAGATAGAAATTTCAAACAATCGCTATTGTAGATATCAAGTGTAAAATAATGAAAAAATCATACTTGAAATTTTTTTTACATTTCAATAGACATCAATTGCTGAGGCATATTGAAATAGTATACAGATGCAGCTTACGGTGTCGTAAGTGACTGAGAATCAATTAGAAACCCGAGTGGTACCCGCACAAGTCACTAATTAACGGTGTTGGGGTTGAGGGAGCATTTGCACGTCTATTGTGTGAGTGAATTGAGTGAATTGAATGTACGAATACGTAGATCATTTATGTAGTTCACACAGTGAAAATTCTATGAACGGATATCCTCTATTTAATGATTTAATCAATGCATTCACGGAAATTTCAATTTCCGATTTTAACCTTTTTTTTTACAACTTGCTTTTCACCATTAAATTTAATTGAATTAAATCATAAGCAGGTATTTGTTTGTTGTCCGAATATAAATTATAATCATCCGTCAATTTAATTGCAAATGTATTTCGATGAATGCACAATTTACCAGTCACTGGTCAATTTTGAGTTCAATGAAATTGGTGTTATTAGCGTTTTTTTACTCAGTAATATTTTATTTATTGATTTTTAACCTTTTAAGAAATAAAATAGACTATTTTTGTCGTACCTGACATGATTCCTGGAATAAAATACATTTTATTTGCATCATATTAAAGTTGTCGAAGTTATTATTTAATAAAAAAACTATCCGACAAATACTAGAATTTGATTTTACATGATGTAAATAAAAAATGTTAGATATTTTAATACTGAATAGTGAATTATTGATTTTATTATCAAATTTTCTTGACTTTCTCTTTTGCCAATTCAATTCTAGAATTTAATTTGATTACGATTTGCCACAATGACTAACCAGTCTTGATGCATTCGAATCCTTAAGGAGTTTAAATTGAAGGATCATACTGAAACAAGTAATTTTACTTGGATTTGAATAATTATATTAATACATTGTATAGATAAATCAATTTAATTGAAGTGAATTATAGTTTTTAATGAAGTACTTTTGACATTAATGTTAAATTTAATGTAGAACCTATCATGATGTAAAAATAAATTTGTGATGATTTGACAAAAAAAGCAAAAATGAGAGAAAGATTAACGAGATACTTGAAGTGTTATGATGGAAATTAATTTATGAGGGTGCAAACTAGGTCATTATAATAACAACAATAGTGGTGGTTTGCATAAAAGAATTGCAGAGAATCGAATGTGATTCAATGTGAATTTTTAATTTAAAAATAAAAGATTCATTGCACCGTGCAATTGTGTCTACTATATTTTTCGACGCAGGCAATTCAATTTCCGCTTGCAGAATATATTTAATTTAACTGAAAAATGACTTTTGGTTAGTTACATCATCTACCAGAACTCCTCTTTCACTCTTATTTCCAAAGAATATCATCAGATTATAAAGACAAATAAATAATCTAAACACAAAATTCATTTTTTCTTAAAATACTTTTATTAATATCTTCGATTTTGACCACACAAAGTCCAATCGATATTTGATATTAATTTATAATATTGCTACATGACATTTATGATTTTGGCATACATTTAAGTAATTACTTCTCTCACATTCTTAACAATCACCATTTGAGTCACATGATAGTTAATGCTGAATAATTTACAATAGATTTCCCATTTTCTCTCTTTCATTTAAATATTAATAATTTATTCAAATCAATTGTGTAAAATAAAATATCTATCTTTCATTGTACAGAGTATACATATTATCTTTGGTTCATTCTGCTTTGTACAGATGACTTATGCTTATGAAACATCAACCACGAGGTTCAATAATGTTTCAGAAAAATCATTAGTAATAAAAATGAAATATTTACTAAACATGTCATGGAAAATATTTGAATTATAAATAGGTGATAAAAATCTAATTTGTTCATTTAAAAAAATAATACTAGAAAATTAAAAAATAATTTCCAAGTATTTTAATAAATATTTTAAATTTATTACAAACATTTTTCAAAGTTTTTAATTCTAATGACTTAGTTAATATAATAATGGAATACTTCTTTTTAGGGGATAGAGATCTTTGTAGTCACTTGATTGTTTTGTTGATAATATCACTTTAAATGAATATTTAAATACTTCTATTTCATTTAAATAATTATCTCTTAATATTAATGATTGCTCTCCACTGATCTTATTTTATCAACACTATGTTAATAATGTGCGCATATTTGTTTACTTTTCTGATTTGTTCAGTAAATGTTTAATCAATATATCTTATCTTTTATTACATTGATTATTTACAATAGAATTTGTTCATTTACACAATTAATCAATATGTGATCTTCAACACCATCATTGTTATCATTAATATGAATACTTGAATTTTTTATGTTCATTAGGTAATTATGTACAAAATATATAATCTAAAAAAAATCAAATGAAGTTTTGATATCAAATTAGCACATTCACAACTAGGACAAAACATTTAGCGTTTAACTTGCATGTGCACGTAAACTAACTAGAAAAACTTGTATGCTGGGATGTTGTTACTTGGTCATTTGGTTGACATTTAATTCCTCTTGCTTAAGAGATAGATTGTTCTAATCGTCTAACGTTGAAGAGCAACCATAGTTGCTCTCTTGTGGGACATACTTAATGACCTCGATTTTTTTTCATCAACCTGTTTACCATCATGTTGAGAATGTTCACCTTTTAGCTGCTGTTTTCAAGTATCACCCAAGTGAAAACCTCTTTCAGTATTTTCATCCCCCATTCTTTAATGTCTATTGCCTAAAACTTCATCAAAACTAGCAATAACTAAATTTAAATCACAGGTTTAAAGTATATTTATATTTGTTTAATATACAGATATTGCATTTTCTTTGATGAATCATTTTACAATTATAGATATTTTTGAAGAATCTTCAAGAATTATATTGATAAAATAATATTTAAACTTTATTCATTGAATTGGAAAATTAATAATCAGTTGAAGAACCAATATAAAATTATTTTTAAGTTTCAAAGATAATAATTTCAAATAAATATTAAATTTAATTTGAATGAAATATGATAGAATTTCAATTGGAAAATATCTTTAAATGATTTAATGTAAGATTTTTCGAAGAATAAATTAAATGTCGTGTCATGTCTGTAATAAAATATATTATTTAGCATGATGTCTAAAATATTCTTCAAAAATATCTATTTTAGTAGAATCATTTACACAAAAACTCCTCAATAGTCATTATTTTTTCTTCTTGTTGTGATATATTCTTGATTTTATCCGGATATTTCTTTCTATTGGGTCTTCATCTCTCTCACTTTTTTTACATTCATCTACATATTTATGTATATACATACATATACATATATATATGTATATTTCTTTCAAACAAGTAGATAGCATAGAGAGTCACGTCGACCTGCTTTGACACAAGCTTCATTGATTTTTTCTAATTATACACGTTTGACGAACTCATCGTTCCAAGCTTTGAGGATATTTTCGTGTGAATTTTCTCAGCTCTTATCAATTATTAAGTCTCAGCTGAATTGACTTTCTTCTGTGTAACTTACATTAATTGAGAAAAATAATTTTAAAAACAACTTAAATATAAAAATGATATTTAAATGAATGACTTAACTTGATTCATTTATTCATTGCAAAACTGACATTCAAATAAGTTTGTTTATCGATAAACAAATAGTTGGCACAAGTATCTGAGTATTTACAGGAAGTTTGTTTTCATTGTGAGGTTCAATAATTATTTGAGAAGTTCATATAGCTAATTGTTTAGTTTCTCTCACCATTATCAACATATGCCTCCTTGTCTGACTTAATTTACGTGTGCTTCACTGCCGAGAATAATAGCCTTCCTCAGTCTATAGTAGCAGTAAATAGACTCTAAATACAAGCCTCGATGTGAACATTGGTCATTTCACTTCTCAGCTGATTGTTCACATGCAGTTCTGACGATGCATTGCTATGTACAAGGTCTTGTTTTCTGTGGACTTGCCTGAGGTCTCGTACTGGAGCCAAAGCAGCACAACAGCTTTCAAGGGTTTTACGAAAAGCTGCACGAAACTCACGATTAAAGTACGCATAGATGAGAGGATTGAGAGCACTGTTGAAGTAACCAACCCAGAACACTGCGGCCACTACGATGCTACTGCTTTCACATGTGTCACACAGAGACGTGATCAAGTACCTGTGGACAAACAACCAACAATCAACACTCGTCATTAGTAACCTCATTAAAAAATATTTTTTATCTGACTTATTATTTTACTTGGTAAGTCATTTATTTTTGTTTTCATTTTTATGGCTTTGAATTCATTATTGGGTATTTTGAACCAACCCTATTTTAGTTATGACTTGTGGAAAAACAAAAAAATACTAAAGTAGGTCAGATTCCTTTTTTTCTCTTGCATTTTTTCAAACTGTTTTTCTCTCATTTCGAGGTAGTTGTCCAGCCAAGTATCTGCCTATTGTTGTACTTATGCACTCGTAAGATTTCATCGATGCATTTATTCTGTGTGAGGAAAATACATAGAAAAAAGTGAAACGTTGGATTTTTTTTATATGGAAAAAGAGAAAATCCTTAAAATAAAAGCTACTCTTGACTTTTTTTTTGTATGGCATATGCAATTCATTGGAATGTCAATTTTTTATGTTTTTGTCTTTTTGATATTAAATTTTCTAAAAACACTACTCTCGTTTTTGTGATAAATTTTTTTCGGTGAATAGAGAGGGTAGATAAAAAGATGTGTTAGTAAGAGTTTTAGGCTGAGTAATGGGGACAAAGAAGAAGATAAAGAAAGCACCTGTGTTCTTAAATTTGATGACTTGCAAAAATATCCTGTATGAAGCAGTATTGTGTAATTGATGAATAAGAATTTTTCAATTTCATCTAGTTTATCAACAAAACAATCCATCCCCAATTACTTGGTTTTATTTGTAACAAATGAATTCCTGAGAAAAAGTTTTCACTCAACTTTTACCAATTATCGACCCAGTTGTTCTTTTAACAAACTTTTTAGATTATATAATTTATCGGTAATTACGTGAATTTAAGTATAGTTTTGGGTTAAAACTTTTTCTTCAAGATCACGTACAATCGATCGAGATAAACGAGTAGATAGTGGGGTTTCGTTTGATAAAACCCTGTCTGTCTTAATTAAGAGGATGTCAGTAGAGTATCCAGTATAAAGCAAAGATGATGATAATCTTTTTTTCTACTAATCAACTTCATACTTCCAGGAAGAAAAAAAAAACGAAATTCATTGCTAAGAAAATTATCATTTTTTCTAAGAATAGAGAGAAATTTGAGCTTGTGGAATATTCATTAGCAACATTATTGAGGATCACTGAAAAAATACAGTTATTCTGTATTCAAGAATATTATGATCATGTATGAATTTCTTCTTGATTTAGAAATACCTATTTTTTAGTGGCGTTGAAAGAAGTAGGAATGTAAATTGAAGAAAAAATTTTATAAGAAGATGAAAGATTTAGTTTAGAATAAATTCTATTTTCTTATCATATTTAATTTTATTAATTTTACTGATGTAATAAAAAGTGAGAAATTGAAAAAACGTCCTTTTTTACTGTAATATAAAAGAACCGACGCAAAAAAATTCCTCCTCAAGATTTATGAATATTTATGGAAAATAGATATTCATAAAAAGTTCATTTTGCTTGAGCTGATATATTTTTATAAAAACTCGAGCTAAAATCATGATTTAAGTAATGAATTTTCTGATTTTTTTATAAAAAAAAATAAATATATTTAATTAATTAAAATAATTTAAATGATAATAATTAATAATGTACTAACATATTCCCAAGGTGTGGAAATGTTGAAAAAATAGAACGATTTTCTTCCTGACTGAGAAAATGGATGGTTAATGAAAAGCAGTGGACAAGTATTTGGGTCGTAGTCTCAAAAATGGTGTCCTTTTATTCTCAGCTAGAAAATAAGGAAGGTCAAGGGTTGCAAAAAAAGAAAGAAACAAGAAGAAAAGAGAAATAGAAGAGAACGAAGGTGCAAGTATTGGCTCTTATAATGCCAGAAGAAATAAAAAACATAAAAGAAAAATGGAAAGAAAACTAAACTTGATAAAACCGCATACAAGTAGTTGAACTTGGGATTCTTTTTATATACTTATACACTCTCATTCCAATATCATATAATATCTCTTCCGTAACAAACTTTCTGCAAATTTCTCTGTCAAGACTCTAAATAATTTCATTGCTTATAACTTTGATACTCGTTCGCGTTTTTCTGTGCACTTTCCAACCACTCAGTGTCATACATAACTCTCCTGTCATATCAAAACTTTGTTGAGAACAAATAATCTGTAGTCTAGTGTTTGTCTTTAAAAAATCATATTTTGGGATAAATAGAGTTGAGGAAAAGACAAAAATGTGAGAATAGAATAGAAAAAAAGTTTTGAAGAAAACCAATATTATACCGAAGCCTTAGGATTAAACTCATCTCCAAGAACCGATGAATTGAAGTAACCTCGGAGTGACGAGCCAGATGTTGGATTTTACACCTCTAACTTTTTATGTGTTTAGAAAGCTTAGCTGCCGAAAAGGTGGTTGGAAGATAAAGGATCAACTAAGGCAAAGTGGTCATTCGCAAAAAAAGATAAAACATCTGAAGAAAAAGAATCAACATAAATACAACGTGTGCTTGAAATAAATAAAAACTTTCGATCAATCTGTATAGAATGGAGTTTTCAGAATTTTTTTATCATTAGTTTGGATCATAAATCATCTTGAGTGGATTTTAAAACTTCCAAAAAGTATTTAAGCTTATAAATCTGGCATGTCTGAACAAAAATGGACACTACTACTTCTTTCGCAACATTTTTGTTCCAAAGACTACAACGGTTGTTGTGTCATGTTTGGAGTTAAACTATTACTGTTAGCAGTAAGAAGACTGTCTGGCGTTTTTTAAACACTATTATTTTAACTTTTTGTGATAATTAATTTAAAAGTTAAAAGCATTTTAAGTTAAGTACTTTGAATGGCTGTTTTTTTTATAACATTTCCTATTAAACAAGAAATGGGTTTTAAATAAAACTGTTTATTTTATTACTAATTATACTAATATTGAAAAGAAACATTATTATTAAATATTTAAATGTGAATTTTAGTAGAACTGTAAAAGAAAAATAGATTAAATTTAGCAGATAATGAAAAAGTATGAAGTAAATTCAGTTCTAAAATTTTTTTTTTTAAGAAGTAAGTATAGAAGTTAAAATTAGCATGAAGTAAATATTAAAACTGTATTAATGAAAAAACTCTCGACATAATAATTATAAAAAATGAATAAATTTCTCCAGTTGAATATTTCAATTAAAAAGGACTTTTTACAATTCAATTTTATTATATTTAAAATAAGTATTTATTATATAATACGTTTTTAATTATTAAATTGAATATAATACAGATATTAGAGAAATAAATTCAGATAATTATAAATCATATCCACAAACGTTTTTTAAAATTAATTTTTTATGAATGAATTGTTTTGTTGTACAAACAATATAAATTTTTTATAACTAAAATATCAAACAACAACATTTATATAGAATACACCCACTTGTATTTTCCTTTGTGACATTTAATCGTTTAAAAATAAATTTTAGTATATATATTTTTTATATTGAACGTACTAAATATAAATAAAAGATATTTTAATGAATAAAATGTGATCAAAGTAACAAGAAAAGTTGTTTATAGTCTACAACAGTAATTTTGTCATTAAAAAATCTCATTACATTTTTTTAAACTTTTTTTTTAGATAATCTTCTTAGAATTTTTTGTTTTATAACAACACAAGTTTTTTTCAGGCTTGTATTACTAGAAAAAATGTAGATATATCAATGAATGAAATAGAAGACACCATTAATATTGTCTGTAACTTTTCAAATGACTTGTCTAGCACACAACTTTCATCTGAAAATTTAAAGAAAATACTGATAAATGAGTTTTTTTAGTTTATAAAATCTAGATATAATCAAGCAGTTCATTTATTCTTCCAACACCGTCATTTTCTATTAAATAATTTTTCCCCAACACTTTACTGTTGATAAAATAAAATGAGTTTTGTTGGAAAAAATTATTCTATTCTATTTCTCAGACAATTCTCATAAAGATAAATGTAACGTAGCAATGATTATCAAGAAGAGTTGGGTTAAAAAAAAATATATTCAATTGTTGATCCCTCCTAAGAAAGCTCATGTAACGTATCTAACGTAGCGTCAACAACAAATGCTACAAAACGTTTCGAATTTCCTGACATTTGACAGTAGTCCAATTGCACCCATCTGTTATCGAAAGATATTCCATTCTTTGGTATTGACAGGAGTCTTTATGGCTAGCATCGACTTTCCTGAAGAAAAAAATATCCAGTTCTTAACTCTGGTGAGATCAAGTACAGTACATTCAACTGATATATGAAAAAGTTGGACAAGTGAGGGGATTCAATTGATGATTGCCATTAATTTCATAGCTGATTCAAGAAGTTGATTATTTGGAGCAGAAGAAAATGATTGAAATAGGCATATTTTTTTTTTTTCTTTGGACCAGTTGTGCATGGATGAATCTAGGTCTGCATACTTGACGATCGTACTTGACACACAGCGAATGGTGTATCAAGTCCCAAGCGAACTCTACCACGTCCTTAAGATAGTTCTAGTAGCACTTGAATGTGCCAACTATCGACCGAAGTAAGTACAGAAGCTGTCCTTCCTTCACATATTCTCTTAGTGTATACATCAAATGAGAATTGACACCCTCAGGAATCTCGATATACCGTCAACCAGAATATCTTGTATCATACAATGTTTTCCAAGTGCTCATCATCAATATACGTCTAATATTATTTTTCCTCTTCAAACTTTCAAGCATTTTACTTAGGCGTTGCCAAATATTCTTTAAACTTGTGAATCATTATTGGGATAAAAATTATTTTAAATACTCTAGGAAATAGAAAAGGTATCGATAAGCTAAAAAAATCAGTTTCTCATCAAGAAAGTTCTCTAATGTTTTCGATAACAGATGACCTATATTTCTAGACCTGGTGAATCTTGACCTTTTTCTTGAGGTTAAGATTAAGATTTGATTCTTTATGATTTTTTCTCATTAAATGATCTGTAATAACGAGAAGAAGTGGTATGTTTTTAATTTGATTAAACTTAAATTGACTTGGGAGTTCATTAGAACTCATCGATTGCACTTTGGAAAACTCCGATTGCATCATCCGTTTGTGGAATACTACTGATTGAAATTTCATAAGAAAGATAAGGTGGAATGAATCACCAACCAATCCAAAACATGAGTCATCTTTGGAACCAAGTCATGATAACCTGATTATTTATAACAGAAAATATTCCTTTTTATTTTAACCTCAATGAATTATTTATGCTCATTGCAGTTGTTTATGATTTTAAAGGTGACTTTGGAAGATATATCATTTCAGATTTGCTGTAAATGTTGATTGTAAAACAGGATCTGGCCTCTTTATGTCTTTAGGTGATTTAATACGTAGGTTTTTTTTAGTTTGCATGAAGGAATAAAATTTCAGCAAGTAAAGTAATCCCTTTTTTTCATTACAACAATTTTTTTTTTTAGCATATTGATACCCTTTCTGTTCATGAAGAGTATTATATACAGAAAATGACAGGGGAATTGAAAGAGATGATTACCAAAGAAAGAATGGAAGCCAACATGCTAGAAAAGCCGACATGATGATCCCCAGAGTCCTCGCTGCTTTTCTTTCTCGTTTCATTTTGCTGCTACTGGTGATCGGTGGTTCTTCAGGTTGTGGATCTGGTGGAGATTGATCTACTGGTGGTAATGATGCCAAACCCGCTGAGATCCCGTTTATTTGTAGATGTTTGTTTAGAAGTGCTGCTGCAACTTTACTCCTGAAATGAAAAATATTTTTTCATTTAATAAAAATTTCACTCATTTATTTAGTAATAAAAATAAATGTGATTCTCTCTTTTACACTATTTTTTTAAACGTTATACCGTGATGATAAATAATTGTTCATGTCAGCATAGAAATTTCGCTTCCATGAATTGTTATTTTTTTTTTTTTATTAAAATGATTAACTGTTTGTCACAATTTTTTCTTTTATTAATGTGCAATTAGTAATGTCTTTTATAGTAGCTTTAATATCGGTTGAAGAAAATACTTGAAAGACTGTAAATTGAAAAATAAATAGTGTCAAGTACACAATCTTGTGGATTGGCTTAATAAATAAAATAATTTCATGTCTATCGACTCTCGTGACAAGTTTATTTTCCAAGACTTTAGATAAAAAATTATGCATGTTGTATTTGAGCACATCTTTTTCATATCAAGTATTAGTTTGTTTTAATTTTTCAATATTCTCTATTTTTATTCACTTTGTTCCAACAGGCAAAATAATCATTTTGATATGAAAGACAACTATTTATTAATTTTAAGTCTGAAACTGCTGTCACTGACTCAAAATCTAATCTTCTTATATTAAACCTGAAAGAGATAAATCGTCGCAAAAATAAATATGAATTATTCAGCATCCAGTATTTTATAATCACAATGACTAAATAAAACTTTCTGTGGAATATATCTTGGAAAACTTTATTTATAAGTTGAAATACGATTGACAATTGTGAATTTTATGAATCCTGAATTTATTGATCATAAAAATTTCACGGGAGCATTTTAAATAATGCATTCAATATCAAAGATTAACGATTCTGATGTAATATAACACTACTCATTGATCAGTAAATGTCCAACATCCTGAAAATCTCATAAAAATATCAATAATTCAATTAGAATGACCTTTTTCTCAACTAAGTATTTGTTTAATTACATAAAAAAATTTTTTATTCAAGCAGAAGACTAATCAAACAATTAAAAGGTATTAAGCTAGGTGACATAGCATTTCTCATGGAGCATTGAAGAGCTTAAAAAATCTTGGCAAGTCCAATTACTCGTAACAGTCTGAATGATTATCCTACTTTATATATACACTCAAGACTAGAGTAAGCGACATCAATCGATCGAAATCTACTGCCGCAATGCCAAGGGATTGCAGAATAAGAATCGATGCCACTGCTGTCCATGACTTTCAAGTTGGCAAAGAAGGCTTTCCATAATTGAAGAGACGTTAGGAATGCCAGCAGCAGTGCAGTGGGTCGACGATGCGTAAAGTAAGTAGTAGTTGCAGTAATACCAGTTATCTTTTGTCTCTTAGAATTCCCTACAACACATATGGGCATTCGATGACTGAATTCCTGAAGGCTCAATAATACTCTATCGATTTAATCCAATAATATCTACACTATTCTAGTCTCTATACCAGTAAAAAATATATATAAAAAAGTACAATGTAGAGGAAAGAGAAATGGTAGAGGAAGAAGAAGCACATTTATGTACAGCAATTGACAATAAAAATATCATCAAGTTTGAAATTTAAGATTTTTAACGAAATTCAATCGTATTTCATGGTGGAATTTTAACTGGTATTATTATTCGATTTGTGATATTACAGATTATCGGATTCTATTCAACACTGAAGGAGGATTTTTCAAGTGAAGCTCTAATTAAAGTACGATATATTCAAACTTGCTATTACTCTTTTCGTATTGTTCTTACTCTTGAATTCAAATGAGCATTTGGTATATATTACATTGATCGAAAATACTGGTAGAGAATCAGCAAACATGAGAAATATGATAAATTAACTCATAGATAAGAGATAAATGATTTTAGTGATAAAATGTTTATAGCTGTAAATAAAATATTATTTCTAAAGTATTGATATAACTTATAAGTTTATGATGAATGTTATCATCAAAGATATGATGATAAATATGTTTTTTTAAAAGCATTTTAATGTTGTATTGAATTATTTAGCTATTTATTTATTGCACTAATTTTTGTTGAAACAAAATGAAGAAAGAGTGTGAAAAAGAATCTTTTATTACAATGGATTTATTTTTTATCCCTTTATGTCATTAAATAAAGCGACAAAGTGGAGTAAAATTAATGCCAAATGTACTTCATTGATAAAAGTCCCACGGCCTCAACCTCGTGAACGGCATAGAATCAGAAATATATTTCAAGGACTTATTTATTGAGCATTTAAATGACTTTAGTAACATTACTATGGACATAAAATAACTCCTTTAAATTTTTTACAATCTCATATTGCTTTAATACTTATTCTTTCCTCCGGTGCAATATGAAGCTTTCATTCCTAGACTTCTGCACTATGCTCAGAGAGTGAATTTCTAGACAGTGATAAGTTTTTAACGCAATCACAGCTTTGAGTCCTCAAGCATTACTGAATTGTCGGTGTCAGATATTAAACGGAGATATTGCGAAAGGGAATATGAAACGTTTGCATCAGTGTGTAGGAGTTATTGATCATTTTGATTACACGAAAATCAAGTTCTAGTATTATTTTAATCACAGGTAAAGACTATTTTTCATTGATGTCAATTAGGTTGACATTGGAATCAAATGATTTGAATTAAATATCTAGTTGCTCTGTGTACGAATAAACAAATTAAAATGCAGTCGATTGATCATGAACGATTACTTGTCAGCTTATCGAATTATGTACTCTTTCTGGCAGTAAACACAAGTTCGATGTGTCGATATGATAAAATACTCAACACAAAACGCTGTATCATCACATGTTCAAACAATTGGATGATTTTGGAGTTAACGATAAAACAGAGTTGAATCTTTTTTCATTTTTTTTGTCAATTAAATGAACAAACGTGTCAGCTAATCGATCTATTATTTTATTCAATCTCCATTGTTTTTATTAAATATTTTTATACTACTCAATAAATAAGCTTTGCATATAAAAAAATTTCGTTCCCAAACATTCCCGTTTTACTCCATTTTGAGAGTGAAATAATGAATTTTTCCAGGCGGTGCCCCGATTCCGTATTTCTACACTTCAAGACGAAGAGAATGAGTGGTCGATCATCAAAATCGGATAACTTCGATTTTTCACCCCCAAAAAATGGCAAGTGGTACCCCTTTCCATTTTTTTAGGCCAAAAAATAAAAGTTCTCCGATTTTCAAGTTCGACCACTCATTCTCTTCGTCTTGATACCTAGAAATGCGGAATCGGGGCACCATCCAGAAAAATTTACTTTAACACCCTCAAAATGGGGTAAAACTGGATATACACTAAAAACCATCATCCTCTTGACTTTAAACCCCTATAACTCATGAACGGACAGTCCAATAATCGTTTTTAGGGACGTTTCAGAAACCTTAAAATCTGAGCTTTCTAACAATGTTCATAGATTTATGAAAAAAAATTTCATTCACCCTTAAAATTGCTAAAATATAGAAAAAAATCACATTTTTTGGGAAGTTTGCCGACTATTTTGGCAATTTTGAGGGTGAAATAAATTTTTTGAACGTTTTTCATGGATATGTATCTTTAGCTTAGATTCTGAAGTTTCTAAATTCCTTCTAAAAATCATTATTGAGAGATTTGTACAGAAGTTATGGAGGTCCAAAGTCGAAGAGTAGATAATTTTTTACCCTTCGATCAACTTTGGACCTCCATAACTCTCATACAAATGATGTAATGATGATTTTTGAGAAATGTTTAGAAATTTCAGAATCTAAGCTAAAGATACGTATCCATGAGAGACGTTCAAAAAATTTATTTCACCCTCAAAATTGCCAAAATAGTCGGCAAACTTCCCAAAAATTTGATTTTTTTCTATATTTTAGCAATTTTAAGGGTGAAAGGAATTTTTTTTCATAAATCTATGAACATTGTTAGAAAGCTCAGATTTTAAGGTTTCTGAAACGTCCCTAAAAATGGTTATTGGGCCGTTCTTTCATGAGTTATAAGGGTTTAAAGTTGAGGGGATGATTATTCGTAATTTGTATTTAGTGTAACCCGTTTTTAAGGGTGTTAAAGTGAATTTTTCCGGGCGGTGCCCCGATTCCGCATTTCTAGGTATAGAGACGAAGAGAATGAGTGGTCGAACTTGAAAATCGGAGTACTTTTATTTTTTGACCCAAAAAAATGGAAAGGGGTACCACTTGCCATTTTTTGGGTCGCAAAATCAAAGTTGTCCGATTTCCAAGTTTGACCACTCATTCTCTTCGTCTTGATGCATAGAAATACGAAATCGGGTCAAACTTATAAAAAATTATTTTTTTCACTCCTAAAACGGGGTAAAACGGGATACACACTTAAAATTATCATCCCCTTGACTTTAGACCCCTATAACTAATGAACGGACGGTCTAATAACCATTTTTAGGGACGTTGTAGAAACCTCAGAATCTAAGCTAAATATGAATATTTATAAAAAGGGTTTAAAAAATTTCTTTCACCCTTAAAATCGCTATAGTATACAAAAATCACATTTTTCGGGAGTTCACCAAGTATTTTAGCCATTTTAAGGGTGGAATAAATTTTTTAAACATTTTTTATGGATATGTATCTTTAGCTTAGATTCTGAAGTTTATAAATACCTCCCTACGACGAAACCCATGCTGAAGGATCATCTTAACAGTGTTGCTGAAGCTTCTGAAGCTCTTATTTTATAGTTCTCGAGTAGAAGAAGAGATTAAAAATCCTTAAAAAAATCTCTTTAAAATTCCTGAAGCTCATTTTATACAGATACATAAGTATATTCAACTTGATCTTTGGCCTCTTTTTTCATACAGCAAGCAATAAGAGTTCTTTTCTATTTTCAATGATCGCTTAAGGGTATACCTCGACGTAGCCTATTTTGAGAATCTCCGTTCGACATTAAAAATCACACAATAGCATCTTTCAACTCTACGATTTATTCGATTTCCTTACTGTACTCTTACTTATCAATATCTCCATAAATTTAGTACTTGGAGACGTAGCATTTTGAATTGATTGCTTACAG